CTTAAGGACAAAGGTTAGGTGGGGGTGATTTTAATTATGACCTGAGTTAGGGAGAGTTCCTTTCCCGCGGGCTCTGTGGAAAGCTCCAGCGGACTCCACAAACCTCTGTCGGTAGAAAAGGTGTCAGGTGACCCTGTGGAAAGGCTGGGATATCCCGGGGCCTGCCCAACGTGGGGCTATCAACCTTGAAGTTCCAGCTTCAATGATCCACCCCCTATTTGGCCTTCAGGCTTGGTTCAGGAGCCTCTCTTTTATTTATTCAATAATTATGAAGGGCCTACTATGTGCAAGAAACCAACCTCGCCTTGAGACTACAGAGCACACAGGAAGACAAGCCTTCTCATCAGTTTTACAGCTGCGGTAATTTCATTAATTACACCTGTGAGGAGTGTCCTGCAGTGCAACATGCTCACCTGGCCCAGGGTCAACGAGAAGGTGACATTTAACTGGGACTTGAAATTGAGAGATTAGGTATGTGAAGGTGGGAGAGGGCTGTTTCAGGAAGAGGAAACAGCATGTGGAAAATCCTAGTGGCAAATGAGAGCCTGTGGTGAGTTTGAGATGTTTTGAAGGCAATTCAGAGCAGTTGAGTAGAGAGCAGCACGGACTAATGGCCTGAGTGTTAGGCAAGGAGGGCCATGAATGCTAAGGTAAGGCTTTGAACTTGATCCTGAGGGCAATGGGAAACCATCAAAAGGTTTTAACCTGGAGGGTGGCATGTTCCAATTTTGGGTTTAGAAAGTTCCTTCTAGCAGCAGGAACAGGTGGTTCCATTCAAAGCCAACTTCACTTGTCTAGGAGAAAGAAGAGTGGCTTGTACCATGGTTGCGACAGTGTGTAGGACAGGAGGGGTGGGTCAGCCCGACGTTTTGGAAGTGAACCTGACAAAACTCACTGAAGAGGGTAAGAAGAAGAAGGACATGTCAAAGTCATGACCAGGTTTTGGACTTGGGCCACTGGATGGTGGCACTGGTGGTGCCTCTACTTTCCCTAGGAGGGAATATAGGATGAAGAGGAATTTGTGGAAAAGATGATTTCAGCTTGATTCACAATGAGTGTGAGATGTGGGCTTGAGTAGGAGGTTGGACATGGAAGTCCAAGGTCAAGAGAACACTCGAAACAAATGATACAGACTAGGAAGGCAGTGGAGTGGACGTACTTGCTCAGGAAGAGTGCACGGGGCAGTAGAGGGGCCAAGACAGAGTCCTGAGGAACATTATCTTAAATAGAGGGCAGTAGAAGGGGAGGCTGGGTGGTTCAGCTGGTTAAGCACTGAGTTTGGCTCAGGTCATGATCCGTGAGTCTGTGGGTTTGAGCCCCGTGTCAGGCTCTGTGCTGACAGCTCAGAGCCCAGAGCCTGCTTCGGATTCTGTGTCTCCCTCTCTCTCTCTGCCCCTCTCCCTATCATACTCTGTCTCTCTCTCTCTCTCTCTCTCTCTTTCAAAAATAAATAATAAAATGTTTTTTTTTTAATGGAAGGCAGTAGGAGAGAGGAGGCAGAGAAGGACTGGTGAGCGACATTGGTGGAAAACACGTGTGGTGTCATATAAGCCAAGAAGAGTATTACAAAAAGGGAGTAGCCAACTATGTTGAACACTACTAAGAGGCTTGGCAAGATAAAACCTAAAAACTATCCATTGGACTTATGACTTCTGGGAAAGGTCATTGATGGCCTTGACTAAAGCCATTTTGAATGAAGAGAAGAAACAGAAACATATATGTGGACATCTCAACACAAAATTTGATTTTGAGGAGGAGAGCCACAGGAGCCCTAGTGAGAGAGGAAATGGGGAGTTAAGGGAAGATATTTTTAAGATGACAGAGACTGGAGGATATTTTTTAATTTGTTTTTTAGTAAACTCTACAGCCAACATGGGGCTTGAACCCATGTCCCTGAGATCAAGAGTCACATGCTCTTTCCACTGAGTCAGCCAGGCACCCTGAGACTGGGGGATATTTTAGACAACTGGCCTTGCATCTACAAAAGGGGATAGTTTCATCAATGATTTTTTTTTAAGTTTATTTATTTTGAGGGAGAGAGAGAGAGAGTGCATGGGAGGGGTAGAGAGAGAGGATTGAGTGAGAATCCCAAGCAGGCTCTGCACTCTTTGCAGAGCCCAATGTGGGGCTCAAACTCACAAATCATGAGATCATGACCTGAGCCCAAATCAAGAGTCAGCTGTTTAACTGACCGAGCCACCAAGGCGCCTCTTCAGGCTATAGTTTCAGCACCGACAGAGGAAAGATTATGAATATACCCTTGATGATCCATTCTGATTGGCTGCCCACATTGCTAGCTCTGTTTTCTGCATTCGTGTTGCTTTTGCTCAGTGTTTCCAAGTAAGCTAGGACCTCCTACCTCTCTCAGAACCTCATGCATGAGGGCTGGTTATCTGGGCAGCCTCTAAAATCCTCTTGGGAGCTCTGTCAGTTAGGTGGAGGTGCTACCTTCTTTTCTTTTGGGTAAAATCACAGGAAAGGAGAGCTTTCTTGGCATAGTGACCCACACTGCCCCCAGGCCCAGGGTGTAGATATTCAGAGCCTCAGGAAAGAGATGACTTAGTGAAATGGAGAAAACAAAGGAATTTATTTTCCTTTTGTTTTCTGAAAGCTGAGTTTTGGCAGTAGAAAAGAGATGCAGAAGATTATGTGAACAGTGAAAGTCTGTTTTCCCTGCCCTGAGAACAGATTTCTCAGGATTGATAGAGGAAAGTCAGAGAAGAAGGAGGTGAGTTTTTTGGGGTTTTTTTTTTTAGGAGGTGAGTTTAGATGCAAATGTGTTACTGAGAAGAAAGGGAGCCCAAGGGCTGCCAGCCCCAAATGGCCTGAGGTAGATGCCAGAGCTCAAACTAAGTCCTGGCATGGCTGAGATGCAGAAGAGCAGAAATAACCATGTGTAGCCTTAGGCCAGTGAGCCTTGGCCAGCGCCATCAAATTACTTCAGCTGCAGAGGAGTAAGCCCCACCCTTTGTAGTTAGACACACCCAGATTCCTCATCTGTAAAATGGGAGTGATAAACCCTACTGTAAGCAGAGCCCTAAGAATGAAATAAGAGCATACAGATGAAAGGCCTTTCAAACTGTTAAGCATCAAAACAGACATAAAGGATTATTACTGAGCTTTAAAAAATTATATGCACACAAGCAATTCAACCTATCAAAGGGGAGCATACAATTATGATTTTTAGCTTCTTCACAAACTTTCTTTTTAAACGTTTTTCTTTTTTAATATTTTATTTATTTCTAGGAGAGAGAGAGATACAGCATGAACAGGGGAGGGTCAGAGAGAGAGGGAGTCACAGACTCTGAAACAGGCTCCAGGCTCTGAGCTGGCAGTCAGCACAGAGCCCGACGCGGGGCTCGAACCCACGAACCGCGAGATCATGACCTGAGCAAAAGTCGGGCGCTTAACCGACTAAGCCACCCGGGCGCCCCTCTTCACAAACTTTCTTAACAGTTCAGCAGAGAGGGATACACTGGGTATGGCCATGTTTGCTCTAACTAACACATTCATTCCCCTCCACAAGTTTTGTTTGGCTTGTCATGGTTTTCTTTTCTGCCAGGATCCATTGTTTGATTGGCCAGTTTCACGTGTACACATTATGATATATACATGCATATATTTAAACACTGATCTCTTGATACAGTCAATACCAAGACAATGTGGAAGAGGACCCTGTTTCTGTAGAGAGCAAGGCTGGATTAAGAAATTTTGTGAGCTTAAACATTAAAGGTTCTAGTGATCTATATATATTAATATATAGAAGAAATACCAAATTATAAAGTATGACCAAAATAAGTTCTAATTCTTCCCATTACAATTATATTGGTACTTTTTCAAAAGGCCCAATTCTTTAAAAACTTATTTTTGGAGATATAATTTACAGAGAATATTAGCTTCAGGTGTACAACATAATGATTTGATATATGTATATAGTGTGAATTGATCACAACATCCAGTTTAACATCCATCACCACATATACTTACAATTTCTCCTTGTGATAAAAACTTTTAAGTTTTTTTTTTTTTGAAAGAGAGAGAGTGAGCAGGGTGGGGGGAGAGGGAGGGGGAGAGAGAGAGAGAGAGAGAGAGTCCCAATCAGGTTCCGTGTTGTCAGCATAGAACCCAACACGGTGCTCAAACTCACAAACTGTGAAGTCGTGACCTGAACTGAAATCAAGAGTCAGACACTTAATCAACTGAGCCACCTTGGTGCCCCTTGTGATGAAAACTTTGAAGATCTACTCTCTTGGGTTCGAGCCCCGCGTCGGGCTCTGTGCTGACTGCCAGCCTGGAGCCTGTTTCAGTCTGTGACTCCTTCTCTCTCTGACTCTCCCCTGCTCACGCTGTCTCTCTCTCTCTCTCTCTCTCTCCTAGAAATAAATAAAAATAAAAAAAAAAAGAAGATCTACTCTCTTAACAACCTTCACATACATAATATAGTATTATTAACCATAGTAGCCATTACATCACCATAATTATTTATTTTATAACTGGAAGTTTATATCTTTTGATCACCTTAAAAAGTTTTGTTTTGTTTTAGATCTTTGCTGATACAGAAGCCTGTGCTTACTAAGCTAGGTCAGCCCCAGACTCATAAACCAGACACCCAAAAAGGTCAGGTCCGGCAAGGTGTCCCTTCAACCCTGGCTATCATCACACAGGGAGATGTGCAATACTGAGTGAAACCAAAACATCAATGTAACAGCAGATCAAAAGCAATTCTCCTAGAATGGGTCTATTCCAAGATACCAGGATGATCTCAGGACAGAGAGGAGCTTGGGCAGTGAGGACGGTACAATGTCTCTAGAAAGGCAGCAGCTGCAAACACCACCCCCAGCACTTAGCCGGCTGCCAGAGGTGACTCCCGCCAGCCCCTAAGCATTCCCCTAGGAGGCGTGGCTGGGAGGGGGTGGGGCCAGAGAGGCAGGGGGCGGGGCTAGGCAGAATTACAAGTAGGAGAGGGGCGGGGCCGGATCCAGAAGGAGGAGCAACGCCAGTCCCGGAAGAAGAAACCGAGGGGAAGGCTCAATCCTACCGGTAGGGCCAAAAAGAGGGCGGAACGCGAGCAGAGGAGAATCCGGGGTCGGGTTAGGTCTGGGCAGAGCAGGAGGAGAAGGCCTGGAAGGCGGAGGAGGCTGTATGCCTACCTCCTCGGTAACCCCGCCAGGCCAGAGGGAGAAGCCCGGGCAAGACCCAGACGGCTGGGGCGGGGCGGGGCGGGGCCATGGCTCAAGACGCGGAGCAGAGGCGTGCCTAAGCCTAGGGGGTAGGCCAGGGACGGAATCGAGACCCCTTGTGGGCGAGGCAAGGGCTCGGGGGCGGGTCCGAGCCCGGAAGGTGAAGCTGGGAGGGTAGCCGGCAGTGACCAGCGGCGCAGGTCAGACGCTGGACGGCTGCAGGGCTCGGATGTGCAGGGCCAGGGCGAGCAGCCCGAGGAGCAGCAGCAGCAGGCCGAGCAGCAGCCGTAGGAGCGTCCGCGCGGTGGAGCTGCGGGACCGCCGGCTCATAGACCTCACGTATTGCTCCACGACGTCGGCGAAGTGGAACTTGTCTGGCGTGTAGCCAAGCTGGGCGCGGGCCTTGGCGATCTGGAAAGTGTGCGTCACGGCCACGCTGCGCACCTGCGGGGAGAGGGTGTTGGCGGTGGAGGGAAGGGCCTATGAGGGTGGGAAACACAGTCCAACTTGTGTTACCCCCAGGGAAGAGAGGGCAGGGGTTTTCCTGTCTTTGCACGGCGGAACTCATGTGCTGCGTTTCGCTCCTGCGATGCCTTCCTCAGGGAAGATTTCCTTTCTCCCTTACGTCTCCCATTCTCCTGGAGCGCGACGATTCCAGGAGGTGTTTCCTGCATCTCCCCAACCCTCCTGAACTTCTCAGTCCCCCAACAGTGACACGTCCCTTCCCGGCCTAGCACGGGCCGGGACTCAGCAGGTTGTTGGCTATGCTCTAGGAGAAGCTGACCGCCCTGTCTGGGCCCTGGGTGCTGCTCTCTGGAAACGCTCTAGGCTTCTCTGGCCACCGCACCAGGACGCAGCCTTCTCACCCTCCCTGGTTAGGCTTCCCTAAGAGAGGAATTCAATTATGAAGAAATGATTACTCTCCACCTTCTGGGCTGCCTGGGGCCCCATAGGCTTCAAGGGCAGTACTGACAGCCATGAATAACTGAACAAGCACTGTGCCTGGCCTGGGTTTAACCCTTTCGAGGCCTTATCTTATTTAATTCCCTGAGGTGGCACTAACACTATCTCCTCTTTACATATTTGAAAATTACAAGGGGGCACCTGGGTGGCTCAGTCGGTTGGGCGTCCGACTTCTGCTCAGGTCATGATCTCAGGCTCGTGGGTTCAAGCCCCATGTCGGGCTCTGTACTGACAGCTAGCTCAGAGCCTGGAGCCTGTTTCAGATTCTGTATCTCCCTCTGTCTCTGGTTCCCTGCTCACGCTGTCTCACTCTCTCTGAGAAATAAATAAAACATTAAAAAATTAAATAAAAAAAAAAGAAAAAAGAAAATTACAATTAGAGGGGTTAGATGACTTGCCCAGACTCACAGGGGAGCCACATTCCAGGCCCTGCAATTCCCAGCTGCGGCTGCGCTGGGCCTGGAAAGAGGATGCCCTCCCACCTCATTTCTTCCTCTTGTTCCTCAGCCTGACACAGGGAGGGGGTCCAAGAGAGCCACTTGATTCTCCCGCGACACTGAAACAGCCCCTCCACCAAGCCGCTGGTCTTGGATGTTCATGGGGGAGGGGAGAGGCCAGTCTTGTTCCCTTTTGCCCCAGGTAGTAAGTTCAAGGCTTTGGGAGATACACCTGGGAACTAGATCAGCAAGGTCCTGGACACAGTGCTCTCAGATCTCAGGCTTAGATGTTACCGTACTTTGGGAAGTCTCCCTAACTGCCTCAGACCTAGCTCAGGTGCCCCTTCTGTGTGCTCTGAAGTTCCTCATAATTTCCTCCAGTAGAGCCCTTATCATTGTGTGTTAGGTTTCCCGGTTGCTGAGCTGTCTTCCCCTTTGGGCTGTGAGCTCCTTGAGGTAAGGGCCGTGTCTTGCCTTAGTTACTCAGCACAGTTCCTGGCACACACTAGGTGTTCAAAACATGTTCAGTGAATCCGACTGTAACTAAAGGGCTGGCTGGTTATGTCACAGACTGACCAGCAGAGGGCGTGAGAGCCGCAGTGCCCAGAAACTTCCTTAGCTAAGTAGGGATCCTTTGCCCCTGAGAACAAGGAAACCTACAAGTGAAACCAGAAGGAGGGGAGCTAGTTCCCTGCCACAATTCAGCAGGCCTTGGCAGCTAATTTACATTAATGTGATTCCTGACTAACTTGAAGCTTGAAATCATTTAGGTCTGGTCTGGGTTCAAATGTCAGCTCTGCTACTTAAGAGCATGCTTATGGGTGGGTTATTTCACCCCTGTGTGTCTCATTTCCTCTGTAAATGGAGATAACAGTCTACAATTTCGAGTAGCAGGGAAAACTAAATGAGATAAAGCACAACACCTGGCATATCGTCACCACTCAGTAGACAACGATACTGTCATTATTCTCTTTCCTCTGCTAGTCTGCATAGTTCGAAGGAGAAACTACAGGGAAGTGCTTTTTGCTGTGGCCCATTCCCTATCCTCTGAGTGAAACAGCACTGAGCTTGGAGTATGAAGTCAATTCCAGAATCGTGTGATCTTGGACAAGTCACTACACTTCTCTAGTGCTCAGTTTTGTATCATAAAGCACCATCATAATCTCTTGCCCTTCCTAACTTAGCAGGACATCAGAGAGAATCAAATACAAAGTGACCTGGAAGTATTTTGCATTAACACCAAACACTACTATTTACAACCTGCATTAAAACGTCCTCTCTTTTAAACTGTGTGTGCAAAGAGAAATCTGCATGATCATTTGGGAATAGTATTCGGTACTCACTAGGCACTTATATACTTATTATTCAGCAAGCATGAACGGTGAACCCGGAACCACCAGGTTCTGTGTGCATGTGTCTCGAGAGTTGGTGGCATTGGTGGGGAGTGTTGGCATATTCAAAAACATGAATGTCACAAAACCTGCCTTCGGGAGCTTCCAGTCTGGCAGCGAAGATAAGCTGCTTATGAATGAATGACAGGGATGAGGGTCAGGCTTGGAGCTAATCACATTTCAGACCAAGAGAGCACAGCCTAAGCAAAAGCCCAGAGGTTGGGATGATTATAAAGAAGCTAGCGCTAGATTTGTGCCCACAAGGAAGGTTCTGAGACCTCAGACAAGCATCCAGTTATGGTGTCAGAGGGGTGAGGGGTGGTGGGGGTCTGGAGGTGGTGCAGGGCACCCCTCCCTCCCAGCAGCAGCCCACCTACCTCGCTTCGGGTGAGCAGCGGCGGAACGCTGCAGATGGGCCTCAAGGCCAGGTGCAGATATTCCATCACCGCAGCTGTGGGGGGAGAGAAGGGCCAGTGATCAGGGTGCCTCACTCTGCAAGTTCTGGGGAGGCCCTCGGGGACAAATCAGTTGGGGGCATTATTTGCTTTGCTAGCGGGGAGTCTCTTCATTTCGCAAAATTCTTCTGTCCCTGGGTTCCTTTAAATCAGCAGGTGTCAGGGGCACCTGGGTGGCTCAGTCGATTAAGCATCCGACTTCAGCTGAGGTCATGATCTCATGGTTCATGGGTTCGAGCCCCGCGTTGGGCTCTGTGCTGACAGCTAGCTCAGAGCCTGGAGCCTGCTTCAGATCCTGTGTCTCCCTCTCTCTCTGACCTCTCCTCTGCTCATGCTGTCTCTATCTGTCTCTCAAAAATAAATAAAACATTAAAAAAATTTTAAATCAGCAGTTGTCAGCATGTCGGGAAGGTGGAGGTGGGGGCTCGTTGGCTGTGAAATATGGCACAAGTACATTGTTATTAATATTAAAGGCTGACATTTGAAAACAAATCAGAGCAGATTCAGAGTTATCTCAAATCATGTCTCCTTCCCTCCCTCACTTCTATTCCAACATGGTCTCCTGAGTAGGAAAGAAAGAAGTTGGAGCGGTGGTTCTCAATCTGGGTGGCACATCGGACCACTTTTAAAATTGCTCATGCTTCCCCTGCCCCCTTGCTCTCGTCGACCCTAATGTAATTGGTCTGGGGTGAGGCTGAGGCATTTTTATTTTATACGCTCCCAAGTGATTCTAATGTGCAGCCAGCATTAAGAACTAAGGGGTAGTGGTTAGCTCACTGGGAACAACATACAGTCCTATAAAACTGCCTGAATGTGTGGCTGATCTCTTCCCAGCTGAGGGTCAAAGAGTGTCAATCATTGTGGCAGCACTGTGCGCGAGAAGTCGCCCCATGCATGTGGCCTGGTGGGCAAAAGTCTGCAAATCCCTGCTTTAAATGGCAAGCATCCCAATGCATTTAAAATACAACAGATCTAGCTAAAGGGGCGCCTGGGTGGCTCAGTTGGTTGAGCGTCCGACTTCGGCTCGGGTCAGATCTCATGGTTCATGGGTTCGAGCCCCACATCGGGCTCTGTGCTGACAGCTCAGAGCCTGGAGCCTGCTTCCAATTCTGTGTTTCCCTCTCTCTCTGCCCCTCCCCCCGCTCATGCTCTGTCTCTCTCTGTCTCAAAAATAAATAAACTATTAAAAAAATAAAATAAAATACAATAGATCTAGCTAAGGTTTTCCAGAAACGCAGCTGTTTGTGACTTGAGGGTCACTTGTTCCCTTCAGGCTTGATCACTCCATGCCTGAGGCCAGATCTGCATTGTGGCTGGAAGGCCAGCAGAGGTGATGATGGAGGGTGCAGATGAGAGGAGAGGCTGACCTTCAGGGTGAGGAGAAAGCTCCACATGCCCCAAAGCAGCCTTAACTTCAGCAGGACCTTGGGAGACAAGGCACCCCCGGGGCTCCTTCTTCTGACTGGCATGATGCCTTCCAAGACCAACCACAGGGCTGGGTGTGGGCTTTGGAGTCAGCCAAGCCCAGGTGTGAATTCTGCCTTTCTCACTGTGGCTCCATGAGTAGGTCCCTAACCTCTCAGGGCCTCAGGGGCCTCATCTTTACATGGGTCCAATCACACCCACCTAGCAAGTAGGACAGGGTTTACACAGGGCCAGCGCTATGGCAAGGAGGTTGCCAGGCAAGTGCAGATGGGACTTGGAGCACCTGACCCCTGAAAGTGACGGTCTCCTTAGATTTGTGCCCTCAGTGCCTCACTCGCCTCCACCTAATCCTGACCCTTGTCTTGAAATAAGTGATGCATGTGTGCCTGGTACATGGAGGGCTTGTAACACACACACCATTTTCCTTACCTGTTAGGTAAACCCAGGAAGTGGGCACCCGGATCCAGGGCTGGCTGTACCCTAGCTTCTCAAACTGCAAGGAAACATGGCCTGAGATGAGACGTGGTCTTTCAGGGGCTGTGTGGAAAGGCCACATGTTCCCTTTGCCCTGGGACTAGCAGAGGTACCACGGGCCCCCTGCCTGCCCACACAGGAGGGCAAACCCAGCAGACAGCCCCAACCCTGCACCAGTCTTGAAATGGGAAACTTTGATCTAGGAAAGTCAAGCAGGGCTTGAGTGCATGGGTAGGTTTTTAGCCTGGGATCATTCACATCGTTTAGTTATTTTTTCCATCTGCCCACACCCAAAGACATTCCAAGGCACTTAACATAGAATCTAATTTTTCTAGAATTGACTTTTCTGCTATTAAAGAATAACAGCAGCAGCAGCAGCAACAACAACAACAACAAAAACCCCTCAGCACATGTGTGGAGGGTGGTAGGAGATGTATGAAGAGATGGGCTGGCACAAGATGAAATGAAGTTCACTTGTATAAAAACTGTCTGGGTCAAAAAAAAAACACAATAACAAGTGTTGGCAAGGATATGGAAGAATGGGACCCTCTTACACTGTTTTTGAGATTGTAAAATGGTGCAGCCACTTTGGAAAACAGCCTGGCAGTTTCTCAAAAGGTTAAATAGAGGGGCACCTGGGTGGCTCAGTCAGTTAAGCATCTGACTTCAGCTCAGGTCATGACCTCATGGTTCATGGGTTCGAGCCCCACATTGGGCTCTGTGCTGACAGCTCAGAGCCTGGAGAATGTTTCGGATTCTGTCTCCCCCTCTCTCCGCCTCCACCCCACCCCTGCTCTCACTCTGTCAATCTCTCTCTCTCTGAAAAATAAAAATAAACATTAAAATTTTTTTTAAAAAAGGTTAAAAAAAGATACCATATGATCCAATAATTCCACTTCTAGGAAAACACCCAAGGAAAATGAAAACATACGTCCACAAAAAAGGTATACAATACTATTTACAGCAGCATTATTCTTTTTTTTTTTTTTTAATTTTTTTAAATGTTTTTTATTTATTTCTAGGAGAGAGAGAGAGAGACAGCATGAGCAGGGGAGGGTCAGAGAGAGAGGGAGTCACAGATTGAAACAGGCTCCAGGCTCTGAGCTGGCAGTCAGCACAGAGCCCGACGCGGGGCTCGAACCCACGAACCGCGAGATCATGACCTAAGCGAAAGTCGGACGCTTAACCGACTAAGCCACCCAGGCGCCCCAACAGCAGCATTATTCTTAATAGCCCCAAAGTAAAAAAAAAAAAAAAAGCCCAATTTCTATCAACTGATAGATGGATAAACAAAATGTGGTCTATCCCTGGAATAGAATATTTTTTTTTGGCAATAAAAAAGAATGGATACTGATACAATGCAGGCTACACATGAACTTTGAAAACATGATGCTAAATGAAAGAAGCCTAACACCAAAGTTCACACACTGTACGATTCCATCTATTCTAAATGTCCAGAATAGGCAAATCTACAGAAACAGAGAGTAGATTTGTGGCTCTGTGGTGGCTTGGGGTGATGGTCGCACAACTCTGAATATACTAAAAACCATTGAATTATGTGCTTTAAATAGGTGAATCGAACAGCAAATGAAAAGCATATAAAGCTGTTGACATTGGCATGTCTGCACGCCCCACAGACGGATCCTCTGGCACAGGGGTTCTGGTTGATCTCTTCCAGGCAGGCCTGGCCCCAAAAAAGGAGTGTGCAGGGTGCTGGGCGAGGAGGCCAGGGTCCTTGGAGGGGCTGCAGTTTAATTAGGAAGCCCCAGCACTAACATCTCCCTTTGTGCTTCAGGTTACCTTCCATTTACCCCTTACACAGCTTCCTCACATAGTACCGGGGCATCATGGCAAACTTCAACAGGGCAAGCTGACATAAACAGGAATCCAGGGGCACCTGAGTGGCTCAGTAGGCTGAGCGTCCAAGTCTTGATTTTGGCTCAGGTCATGATCTTATGGTTTAGTTCATGAGATTGAGCCCCACATTGGGCTCCACACTGACAGCACGGAACCTGCTTGGGGCTCTCTCTCTCCTTCTCTCTGCTCCTAAGCCTGTTTGGGATTTTCTCCTCTCTCTCTCTCTCAATCAAAATAAATAAATAAACTTAAAAAAAAAATCAGGGGGTACCTGGGTGGCTCAGTTGGTTGAGCATCCAACTATTGGTTTTGGCTCAGGTCATGATCCCAGGGTCATGGGATTGAGTTCTGTCTCAGGCTCCATGCTGAGTGTGCAGACTGCTTGGGATTCTCCCCCCCCCCTCACTCCCTCCCTCCCTCTCCCTCTGCCCCTCTACTCTGCTCACTCACTCTCTTGCTCTCATAAAATAATTCAAAAATTTTTAAACAAAAAAAATCAGGAATCAGGCTAGGAGAGGCTAAGGCAAACCAGGGGAGTACATGGTCCCCAAAAGGGGCAGCCACAACCCAGCTCCAGCCAGTTGCATTGTTGCCCAGTGGACACTATTGCCGGAGCTGGTTTTCAAAGGGAAATCTTTGGATTTTTGGAAGTAGGAAAGGATGACAAGGAGAGAAGATGTGCAGAACCCTGAATTCTCACTCAAGACGGAGAGGGGTGGACATCTGGGCACCTACCAGTGGAGCCATCCACTCGAAGAGGTTGACACTCTCCCCGTCATTGATGTAGTATGCCTGGCCACTCTGAGAGGGACATACAGGGAGGGGGACAGTCAGGCATCTGCCCACCAGCCTGACCCTACCCTTTCAGATGGCTAGCAGCAGCCCTGACCCCCCAGTTCTCCCCATCAGCCACTGAGGAGTCATAGCCATTCTCCAGCCCTGGGGACAGACCTCAGCAATTCCCTTTGAATTCCGGGACTGCCACATTGACTAGCTGTATGGCCTTAGCAGAGTCACTTAACCTCTCTGTACCTAAATGTGACAAAAATAATGGGATCTCCCTCTTGGAGGATCATAAAGAGTACATGTGACAGCATATGTAAAATGCTCAGCATGTGGTGACCATTACTTCAGGATTAACAGCACCTACATCACAGGGTCACTGCAAGGAGTTAGTGATGCCCCATAAAGACACCCCAACCCTGGCTTCCCTGGGCCCACAGTCCCACCGGCCATCTTGAGTCGGGGAGAAATGTGTGTGGGCCAGGAATCCCCAGGGATGGGGCACCCCACCTGCAGCCTGCTGGGGGAAGGCTGGGAGAGCATGGCAGGAGACTCACAGCCACGTAGCCCTTGGCCGCGGTGAGGGCCTCGGCCGCCAGCACGTGTGCCTGCACCAGATTGCGCACGTGGACCCAGTTCATCTGCGTCCTGTGGTCCCCAAACCGGAACATGAATAGCCTCTTCTTGATGTGGCCCTGGAGAAGGTGATAAACACAAACCCAAGCCTGGAGGGGCTTTGGATGCCACTTATATGATGATGGCTCCCAAATTTCTAGCTCCAGGCCAGACCCATGTCCCAACACCTCCATGTGGTGGTCGGTTGTCCATGTCCTAGAGCATGTACCTGACCTTCTAGCTCCTGTTCACCCCCTCCCCCATCTTACTAGAGAGCACTCTGTGACTCAGGCTGAAACCCCAGGGCCTCCGTGGGCCTTCCCTTCTCTCCAGTCCACATCCAAGCCACCTGTGAGCCCAGTGGGCTCACCAGTACAACCTGTCCAGAATCCAACCACTTCTCACGGCCGTGACTGCTGCCCAGCTTCTCTACCTGGACACCGAAATAGCTTCCTAACTGCTTCTGGCTTCCACCCATGGGCCTCGCTGCTGTTTTCCACACAGCCAGGGGGATCTTCTGAATTCTAAGTCAGATCCTATGTCTCCCGGTTCAGAGTCTTCTGGACTCTCGCTGCCAAGTTGAAGGCCAAAGTCCTGACAACAGCTGGCCGAGGAGGCCCTTCTGACTTGGTCTCGCTTACTCTCAGACTTAGTCTCCCACTAACTCCCTCACTCACCCAGCTCCCTGGGGCCACATGGCCCCTCCCTGGATGTGCAGCAGGCTCCCATCTAGGGCCATCCTGGCCTGGAAGGCTCGTCCCCCAAATGCAGGTGTGGTGCACCCTGCCAGCTTCTTCAAGGTGAAGGAGCCTCAAGGTTCCCCTGTCCCCTGCTCGATGAGACTCCCTGGCTGCCCGTGTGCCCATTTCCCACACCTGCTCCCCCTGTCCTTTTTTTCCATCATCCCTGGTACCTTTGAACCTCTTTATCATTTATCATGTTTATTATCCATCTCCTCCTGTGAGAATATAAGCCCCACAGGGCAGGGAATCATTGTCTGTTTTGTTCACTGATCCATTCTAAAGCCTGGAATAGTGATCTGATTTCCAGGTTTGTACCCAAGCTGGCTGCTCTATTTGGACCACCTTCTCTCTACCACCCATTTCCTTGGTTAATTCTTTCTTCTCTTTCCAAACAGCTCAGGTATCACTATCTCTAGGAAGTCCTCCTGGACTGCCCCTGCCGGGCCCTCTCTGTTGTGCTCCCATATTCTCGCTCTTCCCTCCACGTAGCCCTTACCACGCTGACTCTGTGACTGTGGCCTCGGCCTCCCTGACGTGGCTGTGAGAAATGTGAGGACAGGGCCTCCACTCCCTCGTAGCTATTTTGGTGGCACTCGTTTTCTCTGGAGAGGCTTTCTATATGAAGACCCTTGTGCTGGCAGCATGAGATGAGCCATCTGGCCATTTTGAGCCCACATCTGAGTAGGGACAACAGGCTCCCTCTGCCCCTTTGGGGTCACAGCTCCGTGTCTCCCTGGTCTGTGCCTAACCCTGGCTGGCACACACTGAGACCTTTGTTCCTGGTGGGTCTGATGGGGGTGGGGACATCTCCCAGAACTAAGAGTCCCAGATTCAGGACATTGCCCCAAGAGCAACACAGTGACTGTGGACTGCAAGGGCCCCATCCATGCACACATCGGCCAGGGTCCCCCTGTGCCTTGGGCACAGGCCTGGGTTGACATACCGCCACACGGGGCAGGTGCCTCTGCTCTTCAGGGCCATAGATCCCCGGGGGCCGGAGCACACACGTCCGCAGAGTGCCGCCTCCTAGGACACAAGGAGGGTGGTCAGGGCCTGGGGAGGGGTGGATCGGCAGGGAGAGACACAGACATGCTGTCCACATCTCCTGGTCCTTACCTGGACAGGTAGGCAGGGAAGACAGGCCCTTGGGGTTTCCTCATTTAAGTACTTATTCTCAGTCGATCAGTGAGTCATTTAACAAACAACATTCAGGGGTTCCCTAACGTCTCCCCCTTGCACAGGGCACTGGGATGGATGCTTTGGAGAATCCATGGATGACCAAGAAATGGTCATGAAGCTCATGGGCCAGTAAGAGAGGTAAGTCCAAGATGCATATCTGTACTTGGCCCATGAGAGTTTAATCAGCACTTGACAGATATAATCTCCTTTGACTCCCCTGAGAGTCCTACTGTGCCCATTTTACAGATGCAAACAGAGACCCTCACTCTTTCATGCCAATAGCTGTAGCTCTTTCCTTTTTCTGATCATCAGCTAGATAAGGACTATGAGGGCTCTCAGGGAGAGCCTACTATGTACTTGATGCTCTGGTAAGCCAGGGTTTGTTTGTTTGTTTTTTAATGTTTATTTATTTATTTATTTTTGAGAAGCAGAGTGTGAGTGGGGAAGGGGCAGAGAGAAAGGGAGACAGAGTCTGAAGCAGGCTCCAGGCTCTGAGCTGTCAGCACAGAGCCAGATGCGGCCAGAAACCCACAAACTGTAAGATCATGACTTGAGCTGAAGTCAGAGGATTAACCAACTGAGCCACCCAGGTGCCCTCAGGGTTTTTTCCTTCAAGGCAACCCTACAAGGTGGGAACTGTTACTATCCCTGCTTTCTGGATCAAAGAACCAAGGCTCAGAGAAGGGATGTGATTTGCCTAAGGGCACACAGCTCAGCCTAGTGGAGATGAACCAAAGCCCAGGTTCTGATGCTACAGACTGTTTTTCTACTCATTCAGCCTCTGTCTTCCTAGAAAATGGGTGCTTTGTAAGTAGTGGTAGTAACTGTACTTTCCAGGTAATCAGTGGAGAAAGGAAGAGATTGGAGCCGTCAGCACAAGAGCCTGGAGGCTGTCCCCCTCCCTCTCACTGCTCTGTGCCAGCAGAGTCCCCCAGACCAATACGGAGCTTAGTCCAGGGCCTCCCAACTTCTCTGCCACAGGTCTCTCCACATTGATGGAAGCAGTAAATGAGTCTCCCCTGGGGAAGTCCGGGGGTGCAGCCTGAAGCCTGCCACAAATATACTTCTCTCAAGTCTAAGAAGCCCTAGAAAAATTTCAGTTTATCATAATCTATTTAAGATTTAAACAATTTTTTTCTTAATTATTTATTTGTAAATTATTCGACTTTCAATCCCAACCCCTGGAGATGGAACCTTCTGGAAGGTGTTCCACTCCCCTGAGGCTCAGGTTCCCCAAGGGACTGCACCCTAGTTTGGGAAGCCCCAGTGTACATCATCCTCTGGGATCAGAAGCCCACCTTCCTTCGGGGGCCCCTCCCCTCCCTGCACAAAGTCTTAGAGGACCGTCAGTCTAGATGCACCAGATGTGCCACTCTCCTCTGAGGTGGTGGCCATGGGACCCAAGCTGGGCCAGTGACATGGTCTCACCGAGGAATGTGACTCTCGCCATCACTGACACCGGGATCTAAAACCCTACGGGTGGGTTCACCCTAAAGAAACTGGTCACCAGCTCCTGCCACCCAGGTCTCTGGAGCTGCCCCGATCTTGTCCTTTCCAAGCCCTGGTGGTCATTTTTCCAGAAATACATTTCCAGAAGCTATCCCACATCCTTCTGCTGTAAGTTCCTTTTCCTTGCAAACTCTACCGGGGCCAGTGTCCTGGTTCATAGCCAAATACCCTGACAGCTTCCCCACCGATATCCTCACTTTAGAATGAGGCCAGTGCAGTGGACTGAGTGGTAGCCCCAGAAAAAATATGCCCACATCCTGGAACCTGTGGATGTAACCTTATTGGGATGAGGGCCTTTGGAGATGTAATTAAGATCATTCTGGATTGTGCCGGTGAGGCCCACATCCACTGTCAAGTATCCCTTGTAAGGGACTCACAGAGAAGAGACACATGAACTCAAGGAATGAGTGGGGCCACCCTAAGCTGGGAATTGATTCTCCCCTAGAGCCTCCTAGAGGAAGTGCAGCCCAACCCACACTTCGATCTCAGACATCTGGTTGTGAACCACAAGAGAAGACATTTCGGTTTTAGGCCACCAAGTTTGTACTCATTTGTTCTGTTCACACTGAGCTGAGATCTGCAGTCTCCGGGCTCTGCTTCAGGGACCAGGGCTCTCCTTGCTGGGTTAGAGACAGAGTCTCAGGGACCAGCTTGTGTTAGCAGGGACTGGAAATCATCCAGGGTGACCATGGCTGGACTCCTGGAAGGCAGGTATCAGGAGAGCTTTTCTGTAAACAGACTGCAGCTAATTTTAAACTCTGGGTCACCTGGGCATGGTGGAGGGGGGGAGGTCAGGTTGCAGCTGACTTGACTGGTGGGGCACCCGGCAGCCACGTCACAGAGGGGCGGGGCCCAGGGTATCCATGACTCCTGGCCACGGAGAGCTGGGGATGCTCGTATAAATAATTCTTGTCCAAAGGATTAAATGTCTGGTTTGCAGGCTGCTGGTCCAGCCAGGGAAGGCTCCAGGCAAAGAAGAGAATTCAACCGCACAGGGTCAACCTCCTGGGAAAACACACCCGGATGTATGTTCCCACTGGGATCAGGGGTCAAGGCCTGACAAGCCCAGGGTGCTAGGGTGGAAGTGGGGAGGATTTTAGGGAAAAGAGCCCAGTGGCCTGCTTAGCTCAGTGAAGCATGATGGTTCAGCTCCAGGCTCTGGTGTTAGACACCCAGTGGAGTAGGGGTGGGGTATTCAAATCCCACCTCTGCCACCTAATAGCTATGTGACCTTAACTAAGTCAGTTCACCTCTCAGCCTTAGCCTCTTCCCCTGTAAATCTGGGGATTATAATTGCAACCATTCCTCACTCTCCAAATCTACTTGACTCCTGAGTTTAGATAATTGAGATAGTAAGAAAAACCAAGTTTTCTGATTCTTTTTTAGTTTCTGAATTTCGGAAAGCAGAGAGTGATAATCTGAAGAGCAAGGGATCTATCTGAATCTTTCTGGCTCCTGAGTTTGGAAAGCAGGGGATCCTTAGGGTTTTTAGCTCACATGGATGCTGTAAAGAACTACTGAGACTTTTGCATATAAACTTAGCATGTAAGGGGCACCTGAGTGTCTCAGTCTGTTAAGCATCTGACTTCGGCTCAGGTGGTGATCTCATGGTTTGTGAGCTTGAGCCCTTGTCAGGCTCTGTACTGACGTGACAGCTAAGAGCCTGGAGCCTGCTTCAGAGTCTGTGTCTTCCTCTCTCTCTACCCCTCCCTAGCTTAGTTCTGTCTCTCAAAAAATAAATAAACATTAAAAAATTTTTGTTAAAGTAAAGAGCATCCTTAAATGAGATCTACTCCTATGTGGCAGAAGAAAGATCCACTCCTATCTGTCTCTTCCCTCACCCAAGATGTGAGCCACATGAGGGCAGAACCTGGAGATGACTTTGTCCAGACTATGTCCCCGGTGGGGTTCAGGCACATAGCAGGTGCTCAGAATTTGTGAAATGATGAGTGACAGAGGCCCTGGGGAACTGTCCTTTGGAAGGAAGGTGAACCTCAGAAACAGAAACAGAAACTGAAAGCTGAACTCACACATACATTCTGGGGGGAGACTGGTTGGGGGCAGACACATTTGCCCTGAGTAGGGGCCCATGACACTCACCTGAGAGAGGTGTGCCATTGGCCATGAGTGTCAACTGGTCAGCGATGGCTTTGGTTCGTGAGTAGTGGTCCATGTGCTGCCAGAGGACAAGAAGAAAAGCACCACCGGGCAGGGATCAGTGGCACTGCCCAGCCCACCTGGCCCCAGGGCTGTCCTCTTGCTTCAGACCAACAGGGGCTGGATTCTGGGGGCTCCCCCTGGGCAATGGCCAGTGCCCTTCTTTTCCCTTGGGCCAGGAGCCATGGGAGCAGATTACAGAGCAGTAACAACAACCAGGGCTCCTGCACTCAGGGAGGCTCTTGCTGGCCCCCAGTGTGAGCCCTGGAATGCGGACGCTGCGTATGCATTGGATGAACTATTTCCATGCAGTCCTCCAGGTGTTCCTGGCTTTTCACATGCATCGGCTCGCAGCCTGCTCTCCACACCCCACAGGGGTGGTGTTTTCATGCCCAGATGAAGAAACAGAGGCTTGGAGTAAAGTGACCTGCACAGGGCCCCACAGATAGCAAGTGGCCTGGCTGGCTCAAGGCCAAGTCTGTGTGATTTCAGGATCCCTAAAAGAGGAGCAGATTTGTGCTACCCAGTTTTGGGGCCCCTTCTTCATGGGACTCAATCTGAGTTGTGAAGCTGACCCTGGTTTCCACCCACCCCTATCCTTCGGGCTGTAGGTCCCAGGCCCAGTGGCCCTGCCCACCTCTCCTGGAAGCCAGGTACCTTCTCCAGTGGGAAATATGGCACAGAGTCCTCATCGCCCTGTTCTATGGGCTTCCCGCCGAACACGACATTGACGGTGCTGGTGTAGACGAGCCTCGGAACCCGTCGACGGACACAAACTGCAGTGACAGGTGCATACAGCAACACACACACACACACACACACACACACACACACACACACACACACACACGGGGCTGAGGTGAGTAGGAGCTGGCTGAGGAGGTGGCTGCTGGGACCTCCCTGGGGGAATCCACTGACCTCCACCCAGTCTTTGCCACACATCCCGGCCCCTGGGGCCCTCCCAGAATACAGAGTTGCTCAGGAGGTAAGGGGTGTGGGCCAAGTCCCTGCTCCATGGGGCCCTGGGGGCCAGGCTGGCTCATTCCTCCTTCTCAGTATGGCTGTGGCCCCTGAGCTACATTGCTGGGGGCAAGTCAGAAGAAAGTTTCAGTCGATGGGGACATACGAAAAACACTCTAGAATCAGAGAAAAGACCAGATGCAGGACAAAGCAGACATGCCCAGAGACCCCAGATGTGGGTCTTCTATTTTGGTGCTTCGGTGACTTTTCTAACCCTGGATCCCTAAAATGTAAACTCCGCTGCCTGTGTCCCCGGACACGCCGTGGCCACACTGAGCCACCCCATGCAGGAGCCTGGGCAGGTCTGCAGTTCAGGAAGGATGTGCTGCCCACAGGCCCTCCACTGGGGTGGCGGGGGCAGGGGAGGAGAGTCTCACCTCTGTCCCCCTACCCTGTCCCCAGGGTAGGACCTGTGGCAGGAGAGGGGAGAAAAGCAGGAAACACACAGCAGGTCACACTGAGCTTGGAGTGCCTACCATTGATCACTAGTTTGGTGCCTCCAACATTAATAGACTCAATCTGCTCTTTTTGCAGCTAAAAGATAAGACGGAGGTGGGAAGTCATGGTGCTGTTCATGCCTCGTCGCTGAGGCCGTAAGGCCAGGCTCAGGGTCGGGCAGGGCAGGGGCTGCACAGTGTCCAGCTCAGAAGCAGGGGTCTGGGAGGCCCATGGGTGGTGCAGGAGCCCTGCTCTGCATCTCGCTGAGCAGGCAGGGGATGTTCCGCCCCCCACCGCTGCCTGGCCTCAGCTCCCTCATCACCTACCCCCTGAGGGTCAGCAGCACCTCCCATAAACCCCATGGGAGGACGTGATGCAGTGTTTGACCCAGAAAAGGGACTCAAAATGTGTTGGGTCATTTCCTCATTCTGGAAGTCTCAGGCTCTTTATCTCTAAGATGGACAAGTGTAATACTGTCCATGCCCTCAAGAGGTTGGGGTGTAAAAAATAAAAACACCTTGTGTACAGAGAGAGAGCTGCCTGTGTGCCCAGGATAGGGCAAAGCCTTGTACATCTATCTCACTTAATCCTTCTGACCACACTAGGAGATGGGTTCTATATTGATTTTTAAACTACAATTATTCTCATTGCAGTTGCTTAGAATAAGTTAAAAATGTTTCAACAGGGGCGCCTGGGTGGCTCAGTTGCTTAAGTGTCTGGCTCTTGATCTCAGCTCAGGTCTTGATCTCAGGGTTGTGAGTTCAAGCCCCGTGTTGGGCTCTGTGCTGACAGTGCAGGGCCTGCTTGGGATTCTCTCTCTCTCTCTCTTTCTTTCTTGCTGCATCTCCCCCTCTTCTACTTCCGCACACCCATGTGTGCATATTCTCTCTCTCAAAATAAATAAGTGATTAAAAAAAATCACTCAAACAGTGTAAAGGGTATATAAGTAAAAAGGAAATTTCCTTTCCATTGCTGACTCTCAGCCTTCCTCACCAGCCCCCACAGAGGCGACTACTGTTACTATTACAGTCCCGTGTATTTCTAGACATAATCTCTACTTACTAATATCAGCACATACACTTGTGTGAGCATGAGTATCCTAGCCTCTTTTCTTTTTATACAAACAGGAGGAGATCAAACACTAGTTTTGCATCTTGGAAACTGTTCTGTTATCAGCACATACTGAGTTACTTCACTCTTTTGAATGGCTGCATAGAGTTTCAATGTGTGGAGACTTTACAATTTATTTAAATAGTCCTTAACTGATGGGCATTTACTTCCTGTGTTTTGTTACTTAAAACAATGCTGCAAATATATATACAATGTGACCTCTGAGTCAAAGGGTGTCTGTTTTGATAGCTACCACACACTGAGGAGGTTCCGAGGGAAATACTAGCATAGATGAGGAAACAGGCTCAGAGAGGTTAAGTTAACTGGCCCTGGGTCACACAGCAAGAAAGTGGCAGAACTGGCCTGTGGTCCCATGGATGCAAAATGCAGGCTGGTAGGATCTAAGTCTTTCCTGGATTAGGTGAAGGGGGGTAGTGAATACAGGGCACATAAAGTGGGGGGTATGCAGAACCAGGATCTGAACCCCGCTCTGTCTAACTCCAGGTACTGTATGTTGGGGTGCTCACCTTCTCAGCACCGGACATTCCATAGGATGCCACATGGAAGACACAGTCCACTCCTTCGAAGGCACGATACAGGGCTTCTTCATCTCGGACATCAGCCTGAAACAAAGAAGGAGGAGATGGGGTCGGGGGGTTTGGGACCAAGGCAGAGATGCCAACCCTGCACCTTGCCAGGTCCCAGAGCTGGTCCCCTGACCCAGGCCGAGCACCGGTGGGAGAAGCTGTGGGGCAGGATTTAGTGTATGATTCCACAGGGTACCATCATCTTCATCATCAGTGGAGGCTCCATTTATCGAGCTAACTCACAGGGGCTGTGCTCGGTGTTTTAAGTGCACTGTCTTATGGCCTCCCCTAGAAGACCCTTGTGCATCCTTTATGGATGGGGACACCAAAGCTCAGACATGTGGAGCCTTGTGGCCATGGCTGCCCAGGTGGGAAGTGCCAGAGTTTATTTATTTTATTTTTTAGGTTTTATTTATTTTTGAGACAGAGAGAGACAAAGCACGAGTGGGGGAGGGGCAGAGAGAGAAAGAGACACAGAATCTGAAACAAGCTCCAGGCTCTGAGCTGTCAGCACAGAACCCAACGCGGGGCTTGAACCCACGAATTGTGAGATTAAGACCTAAGCCAAGGTCAGACGCTTAACCGAATGAGCCACCCAGGCGTCCCCGGAAGTGCCAGAGTTTAAATAGTCTGATTCCAAGAGCCTGTGCTCTTCAGTACCACACCACTGGCTTCACATCAGACACTGTCCCCAGACCTCCACCAGCCGCCTGGGCCCCTCACCAGTGTCCAAGACACTCATCACCGCACCTGGATGAACTCGGTCCCCGGGCAGAGCTCCCACTGCGGTCGGCGGAGGTCGAGCAGGATGACAGAAGTGCCGCTCTTGGCCAGGCTAGAACCCAGGCTAAAGCCCAGGTAGCCTCCTCCTCCAGTCACCAGAACCTTCTGCCTAGGGGCCTGCATGGGTGTGGCCTGAGTCTTCTGCTGCGCTGCCGGTGTTGGAGCCGTCTCTGGCTCACTGGGTTTGGCCCCTATTCCAGATCCCCGTCTAGGCCTAGGCTCTACCCCTGGCCCAGGTAATGGTGCAGCTCCTGGCCTAGGTACTGGCCCAGGTACTGGCCCAGCTTCTGACCCAGGCCCCAGACCTGGCTCAGGTTCTGAAGCACCAGGCCCCAGCCTAGGTCTGGACATAGCACCAAAGCCTGGTCCAGGTCCCAGAACAGCACCAGACTCTGGTGCAGGTCCAGACACAGCACCATGCACTGGTCCGGGCCCTGAAGCAGCACCAGGCCCTGGCCCAGGTCCTAGAACCACACCAGGCCCCGGCCCATGTCCTGACACAGCCCCAGGCCCTGGCCTAGGCCCCAGAACAGCAGTAGGCCCTGAAACTGCAGCAGGCCCCAGCCCAGGCCCTGACTCAGACCCCAGGCCTGAGACTCCTCCCCAGGCCTGGCAGACAGGGCAGCTCTTCGCACCCTGGCCTGCAGCTTTGCAGGCCTCTGGGGAGGAGCCTACTGGGTTGGGCTTCATTCTCTAGTGAGCCATGCAAACCCAGGATCTATCCACCTGTAGAGAAAAAATAGAAGAAAAAACATTCTAGAGTTGTCTCAAGTAATGTGGATTATCAGACTAAGGGGAACTCCTGGTGGGGCATAGAGACCTCTGACTTCCCAGTGAACCTATCTCCTTCAGAATTTTTAGAACTTTCAAAGCAATTGCTGCCTCCCTTGGGTTTTATAGCTGGGGAAACTGAGGCCCAAAGTCACACTGCATGGCTGAGGTTTACACCAACATTCCTCATTTCTCTACCAGTTCCTTAAAATCCCTGTTCCCATGCAGCACCAGAGGAAGGCAGAATAAATCATGCCCAGGGGAACCCCATCAGACTGGAGGTGACTGCTTTCTTTCTTTTCTTTTTTTTTAATGTTTTATTTATTTCTAGGAGAGAGAGAGAGGGACAGCGTGAGCAGGGGAGGGTCAGAGAGAGAGTGTGTTTCATATTCTGAAATAGGTTCCAGGCTCCGAGCTGGCAGTCAGCACAGAGCCCGACGCTGGGCTCGAACCCACGAACCGCGAGATCATGACCTAAGCGAAAGTCGGACGCTTAACCGACTAAGCCACCCAGGCGCCCCAAGAACATACTCTCTCTTTTTTTTTTTAAATGTTTTATTTATTTCTAAGAGAGAGAGAGAGAGAGACAGCGTGAGCAGGGGAGGGTCAGAGAGAGAGGGAGTCACAGACTCTGAAAGAGGTTCCAGGCTCCGAGCTGGCAGTCAGCACAGAGCCCGACGCGGGGCTCGAACCCACGAACCGCGAGATCATGACCTAAGCGAAAGTCAGACGCTTAACCGACTAAGCCACCCAGGCGCCCCTGGAGGTGACTGCTTTCTGACTGGGAAGATGGGGAGGGGTTCCTGGAGAAAAAGAAGAGAAGGAAGAGGAGGACAAGGAGGAGAGAAGGAGAATAAAGGGATGAGATGAGGAGGAGGAGTCCCCATGGGATCTAAAATGGCTCCGTGCTTGGAAACATGCACATGATTTGAAGAGGTCCATGACCCCCACCTTGAACCTGCAGCCTCTGGTTCTCCCAGGTGCCCCAGCAGTGCAGGCGGCTGGCACTACCAGGTCTGCCCAAGCCCTCTGCTGGCGTCAGGGTCAGGTCAGGAACCCTGGGGTCCAGCACTGGGGATCCTATTGTCCCACCTCCAGACTTAAAACCATCCAGCTGTCAGTCACTATCACCATCTTCAGCCCACGCCCCGCCTCCTGCTCCACCTGAGGCTAAGGCAGCACCAGGGGCCAGATCATCATCATGATTAATAACAGCAGTGACCATGTACCATGGGCCAACTATTTGCCAGGCCGTGTGGCTACAGAGATAGGTATCTCTGCTCTGCATGATGCCTAATGGCTGTAAGAAAGAAAGGACAGGCACAGGGCACTTGGGTGGCTCAGTCAGTTAAGAGTCTGACTTTTGATTTCAGCTCAGGTCATGATGTCATGGTTCATGAGTATGAGCCCCACATTGGAATCTGCATTCTGGCACTGAGCCTGCTTGGGTTTCTCTCTCTCTCCTATCTCTGCCCCTTCCCCTGCTTATTCTCTATCTCTCTCTCAAAATACATAAACAAAAAAAAAAAAAAAAGAATAGGCACAACCGAGTGACTGAGTGATGAGCCCCCTGGTTGTGGCTGGTGATGTCAAGGGGCAGGGACCCTCACAGCTATAGGGGCTGCATCTTTTGGTCTCCCCCCATCACTGCCCTGTTCTCCAAAGTTCTAGGTGAGGGACACAGTCACACGCTGTATAAACACTGGTGCTCATGGGTTTAAGAGTGGGGAGACATCCCAAATCTGAGTCATCACAAGGGATGAGTCTAATTCCCCTACGGAGAGGGGAGAGGATGCAGCCCTCGAGTGGAGCCCTTCTCTGCCTAGGACTGTTCTGCGGACTGGTCTCTGGGACAGGAGCTGTCTTTCTATCCTATGGGAATGCTTTCTGGTGACAAAGACTGGGCGTGCCCTTAGGCAAAATCCTTGCAACCTCACTGTACCTCAGTATCCACCGCTGTAAAATGGACCCAAATAATCCTGGCTGCTCTGTCTACCTCACCAGACGGCCATGAGAAAACAGATGCCAAAGGCCTTGGCAAACCACTAGAAGGCATGCTCCCGGACGGCTGTGTTCACCTCAGCGTCCCCAGCACCTAGAACAGCGCTGGCGCCAAGCAGGTGGTAAGTAGCTTCCGACTGCATGAAACCACAAGGAGCTGTCTGCATCTGGGAGCGCCGTGGCCAAGCACCGGCTGACAGCAGCCAGGGCGGCAGTTAATTCTCCTGGCCGTCCTGTGTAGTAGAGGCTGCCGTTCGCATCACCCAGAGACGGAAACTGAGGCTCCGAGAACATTCGCTAACTTTGATGGAGTCTCAGTAAATGCGTCCAGGGTCCAGGTCCCTGGGGGCCCCAAGTGGAATGTGGTGAAAGGAACTGTGGAAGGAGCGCCGGGGACCCACCCCGGCCTCAGCGCGTCGCGGGGGCGGGCAGGAGCAGGTGCCCCCCACTCCGAGCGCCGCCCCAGCCCCGGCCCCCCGCTGCGCGGGCGTGTCCTCACCCCGCCCCCACCTCCTGCCCAGTCTCAGGGTCCCCGGCCGCAACCCCAGCCCCACACCCCTGCCAGCGCCCGGCTGCGCTCACCCAGCTGGGCTCCCGCGGCGGCGCTGCGTGCTCCAAGGCGCTGCGCCCACCTTCTCCGCTAGAAGCCCAGGCGCCACCCGGCGGCAGCCTCCTGGGGCGGGGCGGGGCTCCGGGGCGGGGCGGGGCTCCGGGGCCCGCCCCGCCCACATCCGGCGTGGGAACGCATGGACTGTTCAGGGCCCTGCGCAGGCTCTCACAGCTGGGAAACTGAGGCCCGCCGAACAGCGATGGGGTAAAATGGGCTTAGCTGTTGGTAGGGCGGGAAAGGACGCAAAGGCCCTGCGTGCTGGCCTGTGCTGCCGCAAAGGGGTCCAAGAAACAATGTTTCTTCCTTCACCCCCTTACCCATCCATCTGCTCCCTGAGACGTTCCTCTCTGTGCAGGCTGCCTCCTGCCTGCCTGCCGCTTCCTGCCTTCCCTCCCTTCTTCCTCGTCCACCCATTCATCATCCCACGTATTCTTCCATCCACCTCTTTGTCTCTTCATTTTCCCACACAATTTTTCTATTTTTGTGCATTCATGTATTCATCTTATCCATCCATCCATCCGTCATTCCATCTTTCCACCTATCCATCCAGCCTTCCATCCATCTAATTCATTCCATGTATCTTTCTTGCTGCCTGTCCACCCATCTCTCTCCCCTTCCTTTCTTGTATTCTTCCACCCATTTCTGGGTTCATCTGTCCTCGGAGGGGTCATTCCATGTGTAGGGGTGTTTCTTCAGTGCTGGTCTTTCCCTTCCTCTGGGGACCCGGCTGGATCACACCCCATCCCTGGACAACCCATTTGCAAGGGGCAGTGGCAGAGGGGAAGGCATGTGCCAGGCAGCTGGGGCTGCTCTGAGGACCCACTGAGCCGCGAGGACCACTGATGCCTGGTGACTTTGGTCTGAAGTGGCTACTGGAAAGGCTTCACCCAGTGGAGCCTCCTCTGCGGGCATAGGTGGGTGTGGGGAAGAGAAAAGAAAGTCTTAGCCAGTGTGTGCCAGGTGTTAAGGTATCTTACTTAATCCTCACAACTCTGTTTTGGATCAATTTTAGAGTCAGGGGAACAGGTTCAGAGAGATGAAAAGAGATTCAAAGTCTGGCAAGAGAGGGCCCATGGGGTCAGCCCTGGCGTTTAGTCCTGGCTTTGCCACTTTCTTGCTGTGTGTCTTTGGCAGCTACAATGCTCAGTTTCCTCTTCCACAAACTGGAAATCGCATGTGCTATACAGCTGTGACGTTGAGCTTGGGGCACCCAAGGTATTTATCAGCCATATGGTCCCCGCCCAGGCAAGGCTCAACCAATGGTCGAGTTATCATTGTAGGAGAGGTTGGGGTTCAGACCTACGTCCTGTGCTTCACCACTTCCCAAACCACATCCAAACCGTGTGCATCGTTCCATTTACCAAGACCAGCCTCTCCTCTCCCACCAACAGGGCCACAGAATCCTATCCCCAGGTCTGGCTGGTGGCTGTCATCCTGCTCAGAGCATAGTTTGCAACACAACAGTTGTGAGTTGAATTGTGTACCTCCTTCGCCCCGCAAATCCATATGTTGAAGTCCTAACAACCCCCACACCCCGCCCCGTACTCAGAATGTGGCCTTGGAATAGAGTCATTGCAGATGTAATTAAAGATAAGGTAATATAGAGGAGAGCTTGGTCCAATATTACTGGTGTCCTTATGAAAGTGGGAAATGTGGACACAGACATACTCACAGGGAGAGCATCATGTGAAGTTTGGAGTTCTGCCGGTCCCTTAATCTCAGACTTGCAGACTCCTGAACTGGAAACAATATGTTCCTAATATTCCGGCCACCCAGTTTGTGGCACTCTGTTGTGATGACACTAGCAAAGAGATACAAACACCACAGGCCATTTTCTCTGTTTGGAGAGGTGACGAGGAAGAACAGCTATCCGAGACAGTGACCAGACTGAAATCCACTGGGGCGGGGGCTATGCTATGGTCACTGCTGCCTCCCTGAGCCCAGCACAAAGCCTGGCCAAAGCCAGGGCTTGTCAAGCCTTAGTGAACTATGGGGTTTTTTTTGGAAACAACTTGAATTTTACAGCTTTACCTAGATGAAGATATAGAATATTTCCAGCACTTCAGATGTCCCCAGTATGACTCTCACAGTCACTATTCTGACTTTTATTGCCAGCAAGAATTTTGTCTGTTCTTGAACTTCATATAAATAGAATTGCTACATATTTTTCTTTTGCCTGACATTGATTGTAAGATGGATGTATACTGTTGAATGTAGTTCTAGCTCATTATTTAATTATTTTTATATTATTTATTTATTCATATTTTTAGAGAAAGGTAGGGGGAAAAGGGCAGAGAATCTTAAGCAGGTTCCACACCCAATGGGGAGCCCGCTGTGGGGCTTGATGTCATGACCATGAAATCATGACCTGAGCAGCAATCAAAAGTCAGATGCTTAACCTACTGAGCTATTAAAAACTTTTTAAAAAATATTTATTTTTATGAGAGAGAGAGGGACAGAGCATGAGTAGGGGAGGGGCAGTGAGAGAGGAAGACACAGAATCTGAAGCAGGCTCCAGGCTCTGAACTGTCAACATAGGGTCAGATGTGGATGAAAGTGGATGTCAGATGCTTAACCAACTGAGCCATCCAGGTGCTCCTACTGACCTATTTTTGAAATGGATGTGTAGAAAGGTACACTGTACATATGTACAAATGTATCATAAACGTATCAAACTGTACAAATGTATCACAATTTATTTGTCCATTCTAGCACTGGTAGGACATTTAGGTAAGTTTCTAATTTTGGGCTCTTATGAATAAAGATGTTGTAAAGACAGTTTTGTGTATGTCTTTTATGGAATGTATGCACCTGTTTCTCTTGGAGTGGAATTGCTAGATTATAGGGTAGGCGTATATTTTCCTTCAGCAAAAATGCACTGTTTTACAAAGTGGTTGAACCAAGTTACATTGCCCCACCCCCACCCCAGCAACGCAGGAGAGTTCTAGCTGCTTTGTATCTTGATACTGTCAATCTTTTTACTTTTTGCCATTCTGGTGGGCATGCAGTGATGTATCATTGTGGGTTTTTTTTTTTTTTAAGTTCATTTATTTATTATGAGCTAGAGAGACAGCATGAGCAGGGGACGGGCAGATAGAGAACAAATCCCAAGCAGGCTCCGCACTGTCAACACAGAGCCTGATGCAGGGCTTGAACCCACAAACTGTGAGATCATGACCTGAGCCGAAATCAAGAGCCGGATGCTCAACCAACCAAGCCACCCAGGTGCCCCTATCATTGTGGTTTTAATCTGCACCTCACTGATGGGTAAACCTTTTGAGCACCTATTCATATACCTATTGTCTATTTGTACCTGTTTGAGTGTTTTCTCCATTTCAAAAAAATTAGGATATTTCTCAGTTTATTATTGATTTGGAGTTCTTCATATATTCTGGATATGAGTCTTTTAAAAATGTTTTATTTATTTTAGAGAGAGAGAGAGTGCACGCATATGGGGGAGGGGCCGATAGATAGGGGAGCAGAGGATCTGAAGCGGGCTCCATGCACTGACAGCACCAATCTCAACGTGGGGCTCCAACTCATGAACTATGAAATCATGATCTAAGCTGAAGTTGGACGCTCAACTGACTGAGCTACCAGGTGCCCCTGCATGAGTCTTTTACTAACATTTTATATCACCAAAAATTTATACACACACAAACAAATCACCACTTCAGCTTAAAAGTCGTTTTGATTCTATTGAATTAAATAAAAGCAATTTTTTTTCATCTCAGGAAATCACTCCCGACCACATAATATGTGAGATATTCATTTCATATGTACACAGCAGGGCTGGGCCCAGTGGACACAACCCAGTTTTCACCTGCTTGAACAGAGCACTCTCTCTGGACTCAGCTCCAGACCAGATCTGATTCAGTTTGGTTAAACAGGTAGGGGGCTCACTTGTTTCTTCTCCTGAGATGGGCTGCCGGTGAATCTGCATCAGCCCCCTGGACCAGGGTGTTGGGAAGCAGAGAATAAAGGGACCAGGGCAGAAATAACACCCTCTGGCTGGTTTCCAGAGCTGGGCTCCCACAGCTAAGCTGGGTGCTTGCTCACAGTTTTCTACGTCTGTCCCCAAGGCAGGTTCTGGGGACCTAGGGATGGTTAGGACACCAGCCTCATCCTGGGGGAGTTCACAGTCAAGAAAAAGAGTTGGCAAAGGGAGTGAGGAAGCATGGCATGGAGTGCTAAGCATCATAAGTGCTAAATGCCACTGCTATGAAAAGAGATGTTTGGTCAGGATGCGGTGGGAGGAAGGCTGGAGGCTCCCAGCTCTTGTGGGTCCCAGGGACATCTTCACGGTGGAGATGATGCCACATGAGTTGTGCCTTGGTGGTTGAGCAGGAGTCACCAGGCAGAGGGTGGTAGGAAGGGCGTTTCCAGGCAGGGCTTGGTGCAGGGCTTCCCAGTCAGTGATAATTTTGTGGCTGGGGTGTAGGGTGTGGTGGAGGACAGGGCAGGAACATCAGAGTGGACCCGAGATGGCAGAGTCTTCCCTCCTTCAGCTTCCAGAGAGCCCTGCTGCCTGGGATCATGTTTCCTGGGGATGAACTCTAGGTTACAGCTTTCTAGGATCCCTCACCCTCAGAGCCAGTGTGCGCTCAGTGAGTGATTACTTGTAAGACGGCCTTTCAGTTGAGAGGAATCATTATTTCTGTCCCTCCCCAGAGTTACTATGGCCATGACACAGAACATGCTGCCTGGCCTTGCTGGATACTTACACGATGGAGAGCCCATCTCCTCCTCTTCCCTGAGAACTTTCTCTAGAAAAGAGTGACATCTGGTTCTGTGTTGTTTTTCTTCTGGAGTTGGGACCTGGGGGACAGAAGATGAAGGAAGGAGGTCCCCCTGATCCCCAGATTTCTGGGCCTGGTGGGGAGAAGCAGGCAGACGCTCCTGCAGGAAGGCTGTCCTATGACCAGGGTGGGCCCAGGTCTTGAGGAGGCCCAGGGTCTGGGGGAGCTGAGCTAGAGCCACGAGGCAGGTGTGAGGGGCTGCTCAAAGGGCATACCTGAAGGACTGGGCCTTCCATAGGAAGCTTCTGGCCTTGACAATCTCCTGGGCCAATCTCCTCAAATCATCTCCTTCAAATAGTGGCAATATGGGATCCTTGGAAAGAGGAAATGAGTGTGAAATTAGGTAGATCCATTAAATGACTGGATGCAACCTGAAAATCCAAAATCTCAGGAAAAAAAATTTAGAGCTATTCAAATGCAGCCTCCGACCCAGTGCAGGAAGTCTGTGGACCTCAGTTTGCATACCTCCAGGGACAAGGAGCTCACCACCTGTAAAAGCAGTCATTTTGCAAGTGGAACACTTTGAGGTAAGGTATCTGAGAGTCAGTGGAGTGGGTGGTGGTGAACCATGATGGTCACTGAACTTAACAGCAGTCGGCGCCTCTCTTCCCAGTAGAACATAAGTGGAACATGCTCCTTATCTCACTATTACCCAGTGAAATCTATTCTGCCCTCTCCCTATTGCTTCTAGTAAAACAGAGCTTCAGAGGCAGCTTTTCCCTTATGTCAACCCGTGGAATTCTAGAGGCTAGTGTTCAAAACACAAGTGCTCGCGATCAGCAAGAGAAAGACGAGGCTACCTCTATCTTTGGCAGCAGGAGAAGAATGATCCCATTCTGCATCCAGGGACTATTCAAAGAACCGATTTGATGCGGCATCAAACTGAGAACCTTTGCAATACTGTCAAGTTTGCTTTCCTGTGTCATAAGGACAGGTGAATATTTGTTACTGTTACTTCTTCTGTTCTCTGAACTATTTGTAATATTTATTCCTAGAAGAGGTACTTGAACGAAGGAGTCATGCAAAACGCTTGACCTCACCAGTTATGCCATGTCCTATGATAGTCATCTTTAACCTGCAAAAAGAAATCTGGAATTCTGGTTGGTTATGGTACTTGATACTTTGTTGCCTTGAAAATGTTTTAATTGACAGCACCATACTCCTAAACGGGATAAACATGTGCCTAAACATGTCTCCTCCTCTGGAGAGGATCTTTGGTATTCTCTTATCTTGCATGTGTGATAGAAACCATGACTTTACCAGATTTATTACTTAGATAATTGGAATATCTGTGTTTCAATGAATTGAACACAGGGAGACAGAAATAAGCAGGACTTAAACCAAAGAGGTTAAGAGCATGGGTGTCTGGGCTCTGCCTTTACCATGTGCTATGTCTTTAGGTGTACTCCTATCCCTTACTGAGCCTATTTATTCATCTGTTTAATGGGTATAATAGTGGCTGAGGGAACTCAAATGGGTATCTGTATAAAGCAGTGGGCCTGCACAAAGTAAGTGCAATGAATCTGAATTTTCTATTAGTAAATAACACCTTCACAGGAGCCTGGCTGGCTCCATAGGCAGAGAACGACTTTTAATCTTGGGGTCATGAGTTTGAGCCCCATGTTCGGCAGTTGGGTGTAGAGATTGATGGACTGATTGATTGACTAAATTAATAACACCTCCAATCTCTGTTGCTTTCCCACCCAAGGAGAGCCAGCCTAGAGGAAGAACAGCAGGGAAACACAGCCCTTTCTGGCCAATACTTTGTATTCTCACAAGAGAAGCAGAGATCTTTTTAGTTAGAGGGGGAAAAACCCCTATCTGTTGACATTATATCAAGACGTTTGAACAGACTTCACTCAGTCGCTCCACAACCTACCCTTTCATCCATGAAGCCCTTGGTCAGCAGGCGGTGGATTTTGAAGAGTGTGTCCTCATCAACGGGGCAGTGATAGCGGGCCCTGGTGAGGGAGGCTAGATTTCTCAGGAAGTCAACCGCAGCCCTAGTTGGGAAAACAGACGTTCTTGGGCTGGCCGCTGACTGGCCAGGCAGGTTCCCTGTGTACTCTTAGCCTGTGGGGGGCTCAAGTCTGTGTGGCAATGGGCCCTGGACCCTGAGGCTCTGTGCCATTGAGACCACGTCGGCATCACCAAGCCCACCTCCTGTTAGTTTATGGGGGGCGGCAGCTGCTGCGTGAAGCAGATTCCCTGCTTCAGGGTTGCCAGTTAGTGGGAAACCACGAGGCCAGCACACGTTCCTTAACTTGTCGGGTAGCCGGTGCCTGCTGCTACATGTTGGGCCTGGTAGGGACACAAAGGTGGCTTTTATGGAGCTCGTGGTTTAGACAGAGATCAAATATGCACTGAAGTGAGGCACCTGGGTGGCTCGGTCAGTTAAGTGTTCGACTTCCGCTCAGGTCATGATCTCACCATGCTAAGTTCGAGCCCCACGTCCAGCTCTGTGCTGACAGCTCAGAGCCTGCTTCGGTTCTGTGTCTCCCTCCCTCTGTATCCCTCCCCCGCACTGGCTGTGTGTGTCTCTCTCTCAAAAATAAACATGATGAAAAAAATGCACCAAATTAATCACAGTTTTGCCAATGACACTAAAGTCTTTTTCTGAAGGAGCAGAATCTCTCTTGTCCGACACATGTCCCTCTATCGCGATCATTTATAGAAATAACCATAACAATGCTACTTTAAATGTTTTTTTTTGGTCAACTTTCACAAATGTGCTCCCGAGAAAGATTGGGAGGGAGGTTACCACAGGTGACCATGGGAATGGACGGTCAGTGCTGGAGAAAGTCAGATGGGTGGGGCCTACGAGGGGTAAGCTGGAGGTGGTGGGAGGGCTTTCACTCTGGTGTAACACCTGCCTGCCTAGGCCCCTCTCATTTCTCACTCACAGACTTGGGTCCCAGAGAGATCAGGGTCTTTGGCGAATCCCTGGACTGGGCCAGCTGCTCACGCATGAGCCTCACACACACAGCCGTGGGAAGGGCCTACAGGTCAGCCCTGGCTCCTCCTTGCCCACCTGCCTGAGCAGTTCAGGGAAATGGTATGCAGTTTCAGATCTCTTTCCTCCTTGAGTCTTTGGACTTCATTTAAAATAAGGCTGCAGCTTGTATCTGGCTTCCCATCAGTCAGGAGGTACAATCCTTCCACATCGTGAAAACTGAAGGCTTTCTGAAAGAGCGTGGAGGGTGGTCCGGCTCAGGTCTAGGCGCTAACCAGGAAGGGCAAAAGCCAATTGCCTGCAGTCCCCAAGGGAAGTATTTCCGATTAGAGCCACTGACTTGTCCATTAAGAGTGAGAGACATCCTCCTCCCCAAACCCCCCACCGCTTCAGCCTACCACAGACCAAAGAAGCTGCCAGGGTTTAGGAGAAAGACCATGGCGCGCTTCCTGGCTGATTAACCCCAGCGAGCCACTTAACCTCTCTGAGCCTCTGTGTCATCATCTATAAAGTGAGAACGAGGATCATTTTCTTATCAGGTTGTTGGGACAATGAAATAAAGTAACAGTAAATCTAAAAGTGCTATTTGTAATTTGAAAGCATCGTGCAGGATCAGTAGAGGGGGTGATGGTATTTCTGTTTTGCCAGGGGGTCGAGCTCGGGGATAGAACTTGCCAGTAATGCTTGCAAGACTGAGGTGCTCCCCCGAGCGCTCAGGTGGGTTACCCACTGCATAGCCTCGTGACAGGCTGTGTCTGTGGTCTCCACCAGAGTGTCCCGCCACAGCCGTAGGTCCTCCGCAAAGCTGAGCAGGTTAAACCTGGGAAAGGGAGTGGACAAGATGGGGGCAGAGCGGAGGTGAAAGAGATGGCCTGGGTGAAGTAGCCTCTGTGAGCTATGCATGCTTATCAGTGTCAAGACTCTACAGCAGAGCCCAGGGGCCCCTGGGGGAGAATGAGAAGGTTCACACTGAAGATTCTAGGTACAGACTGAAATAGATTTACATCCCACCTCGGCCACTTACAGGTCATGTGATCTCTAGCAAATTGCTTAACCTCCCCAAGCCCTAATTTCCTTTTCTGAAAAATGGAGATAATAATGGCAATACCTCATGGGGGCGCCGTGAGGATTGAATGAAATCATGTAGGTAAAGTGCTTGGCACACAGCAAGTGCTCAATAAATGTTTACTGTTGTTAATATTAAGGCAAGGATGAGTCCCAGCCTAGGACCGGAGTTTCCTACTATCTCCTAGTGTCAATTTCTCTGGGTAGAGAAAACAATCCCCAAATCCCATCTCTTAAAAAATCAAGTTCAAAAAAAAAAGGGCAAAAAAAAAAAAAAATCAAGTTCAGCTGAGATCTACAATTGAAGGCCACCTGCTGGTTCCTTTGCTCTGCTTGCAATGGTCCCTGGGCCCGAGATGGATTTCTAAAGGCTGCTTTACCTCTGCAACAGGATGCAGTGTTCTTTACTGCTCAAATAAGTTATGCCTCCAGGTTTGTGAAGGGTGAAGAGGGAAGCCCAATGCACTTCCCCTTTGATCATCCTACTCCACACCCACTCGCCCCTGCCTCTCACCTGTCACAGTGCTTCCGCAGCTGCTCCCAAATCAGCAGAATCAGCTCCATCTTCACCTGCTGCAGGTAAGGGCCCACAGATCCCGACGTGTCCACCAGGATGCACACTTTGCTCTCCAAAATGGTGCCAAATAATCGGCGGCTCCCTGCTCCGAGGGGGTGGGGGCAGAGGCGGGGAAGGAGTGAGGGATCGCTCCCCCACTGCTAGTTTTTCTCACAGCAGCTATCAAATACAAGGTCTACCAAATACACCCATTGCCTGTTTGACAATCAGATGTTAACCCACTGGGAGATGGCCTTTGTGTTGTTGTCGTGGAGTGGCGGGGGCAGGGCAGGGCATCAGTTGTCCAAGGGCAGAGCCGGTCAGTGGCCTGGGCTTTGGGATGCTGCAATTTCAGCTGTGTCTTTGTCTGTGCTCTGTGATCACCTGCACAAGGGGTTGTAACTGCTCTGGCCTTGGGTTTCCTCATCCGTACAGTTAAGCGCCTGGACTACGTGGCCTTACAGTATTGTTTGGGGCTGGAAAAGACGTTAGAGAGCACAGAGTCCTTCAGCTGGTCAGCAGAAATCAGCGGAACCTGGTGCTGTGCAAAGTGCAATGGAGGGGGGTGCCTGCCCTCCTGGAGCCGGGAGTTGGGCAGGTTAGACCGACGTTACATCAATAGTTACGGCTCTCCAAGGGTTATGACAGAGTCCGTAATGGGAAGAATCTCAGTTCGATGGGTGAGCTACCACCATAGGATAAGCAGCAGCTAGCGGAGGAAGAGGTGGAGGAGTGGAAGAAACAGCCTGGGAAAGCCTGGACGAAGAAGAGCATAGTGTGCCCAAGGACAGAGAGAAAGGCTGTGTAAAGAATCCGGAGGACTGGGATGGAGAGACCCACAGGGAGGAGACGGCAAGAGGTAAAGCTGGTGAGGGTAGGAAAGGATTTGGGATTTATCCCTAGGGATAAACAGAGAGGGCTGGGGACTTGCCAGGGCCACACAGACTGGCGGTGGCCACTGAGAAACCCACGTCCTCCAACCCACACTTTAGTCAGACAACCACTAACCCAAGCCCTTCTGGTTTCAGGAGGCTAAATACAGAAGTGACCCAGGGGAAAGCGGAAGAACAGAACACGACACATCCAGTGTTCTCGAATCACGCCTCAGGGACATTCCTGGAAGCAGCTGGAGCAAAAATGGAAAAACTGCCACAGCAAAGATGGGCTGCTCTCCAAGAAAAGACGGAGAGAGATGGCTGGACCCACTGAGGAATCTTCCGGGACTCATCTGCGGTGTTCTCTGGCAATGCTCACGTCAACATGACAAGAGAGGGGCCATCCTGAGGCATGGGAGACGTTCCATGAGGGTGGCCGGCCAGCTGTCGAGGAAACTCCAACCACAAACGGCCGGCTGATCTGTCTTAGGAACCAGATGGTGGAAACAGTGCAAGCCACCAAGCCCTGTCGCTTTTACGTCCCGCATCTCTCGGACTGCCTTCCATCCATCTTCACCATCCCCACCTCTTCCAGCTAGCCTTATGTTTCACCTGGGCTATTGCAAGTTCCCCTGATTCCTCTCCGTCCCCTCAACGATTTATATTCCATGCAGAACCAGGGGCATTATTGCCAGTGCTAACTTGATCATTTTCCCCTTACTTAAAACATTCAGTGGCTTCAATTGCTCTTAGGATAAAAGACAGTCTAGGCATGACCTTGTCTCTCTGGGATGGTCTCACTCTTACTCTCCCTCATTCTCAGCCACAAGGGCTTCCCTTTGGTCCTTATACTCAGCATCTCCCCAGCCCCCAGCACCTCAGACATGCCTGTCCTTTTTCTCTTTGCCCAGGTAACATCTATTCATTCACTCTTCAGATGGTGGCTCAGATATCACCTCCTCCGGGAAGCTCCCTGTGATATTCCTATCCAGGTCCATTGCCCCTCTTAGAGGCTCTCACTGCACCATGCCCATCTCCTCCCTACACATCTCTGCTGTGACATTAGACTCATTTGTGAGACTCTCTGGTTAACGTCTATCTCCTAGACCATATGCTCCATGAGCTCAGGGACCGTGTTGGGTGTTGCCTTCCACCATCTCCCCAGCACCTGGCGGGAGAGCAACACACATTTGTTGAATAATGAACAAGTGAATAAGTGAAGTAGCCCTGAGTTTTGAAGTGTTGGCGGTGTTTTGAAGTATTAGGTGGCGCTGTGGTGGCGGCATCGCTGATCTTCACACCCTTCCCAGCAGCAAATGTGCACTGCGATTAGAGAGAAGCACACAACCTCTTTGCCCCATGGCAGCCTCTGACGTGAAAACTACACGTGGAGCTGGCAGCGCCCTCCAGAGGCTTTGGAAGCCAGCAGTCATCACTATACCCCATGGCACGTGGTCTGTTTTACCAGGTTCTACTGCAGAGGATTGGATCTAGTGAATCTGTACAGGACTCTGAGGGGCCCCCACAGGGACGTATATATAAAAGGTCCCTCTCTCCTTCCTCCTGCTGTCCCAGGAACCCTCCAGGCCCTAAAGCCTAAACACTCTCCTGTCCAGCTCCAACTATCCGCCTGGCCTCTTGGACTTGATACTTCTGCCCTTCTCTTGATCTCTAGTCCACCCTCCTCTAGGGTGTGAGCCTGGCTCTCCTGGGCCAGGCCTGCTGTTTGCCTGCCCTGGAGGGATCTTGGTGCCCTTTGTAAAGAAGAACAGGGGATTCTTCTCTGTCTGGACCCCCTCTCATTTCTGCCTTCCTAGACAAGTTCTATGGGGTCCAATCGATATTGAATTGAGCCTCTTGAGAGCAAGCCCCTCTGTCACATCCAGGAAGACAAGGGTGGGGACATGGCCTTGCAGGGTGGGGCTGCACAGGCCTGGGTCCCACTGGCCCATGTTCCACCTCCCTGTCATCCAGCACCTTGCCTGAAATGGCACCTAGGAACCGAGAAATCAAGTTGTACCTGGATGACCCTCCTGGCCTCATCCTTGATCTGTGTACCTGGTCTGGAAAGGACTGATTCTCGTCCCTGGGGTTGACCCTGCACTTTGCCTCATGCCCCTCCACCCTCCGGGACAGTAGGCAGGCTCACCAGACAGCAGCCACTGCAGCCTCTGGACGTAGCGCCTCATCACCTTCTCCAGACATGTGATGTATGCTTCCATTTCCCTGGGTGTCCACTGGATATGTCTCACTACCCCCTGGATTAAGACAAGTCAAGGCAAACTTTGCCCCATCAGCTATTTCTTCATATCCCCTACACCTCCTTTAATAGTTTAGTCGGTTGTGGTTAATAATTTCCAAAACATCTATTAGGCATATATATTTGCTTAAAAGGCTTTTTTCTTTTATCGAACTACTAGGCAAATGCAGTCACTGAAATAATAAAAAAAAAATAGCATCTCTAAATTTTAAATTAGAAAACTCTTAATGGTAGAATGGGAAGTCCATAAAAGTCAAACTAAAAGATGACCTCAGATGGAGAAGGAGATGGCGTGATAAAACTCCCATAAAATCCTTCTGGTGAATAATTTTGCATTTGGTGGCTACTTTTGGCTTTCTAGTTTCCCCTAACATCAATAACGTCATATAAAATGGCAAGGATAGAAAATGGGGTCTTCTAAAAAAAAAAAAAAAAACCCCAGCATGATTCATTTTTCATTTGTACTAAATTTACTTGTTCCAGTATCAAAGCAATGAAAAAAAATTATCCCCAAACTAAAAACTAGAGAACACTGTCACCTCCCCCAGGGGGAGGAGGGAACCTGCTGGTGCTCCCCACCTTAACAGAATCATGAGCAGTATTGGGGTATGGAGTTTTGCTGAGTTCTTCAGCCACTGCCCTATTCTCAGCAACTGTATATTTTTTTAATTTTTATTTGAGAGAGAGAGAGAGAGCAGGGAGAAGGAGCAGTGGGAGAAGGAGAGAGAGAAAATCTTAAGCTCCATGAGGTGCTTGATCCCAAGACCCTGGGATCATGCCCTGAGCTGACCTGGGATCATGATCAGAACCCAAATCAAGAGTCAACTGAGCCACCCAGGCGCCTACTCATCAACTCTTTTTTTTTTTTTTTAATGTTTTTTATTTATTTCTAGGAGAGAGAGAGAGAGACAGCGCGAACAGGGGAGGGTCAGAGAGAGTGTGTGTCATATTCTGAAACAGGCTCCAGGCTCTGAGCTGGCAGTCAGCACAGAGCCCGACGCGGGGCTCGAACCCACGAACCGCGAGATCATGACCTAAGCGAAAGTCGGACGCTTAACCGACTAAGCCACCGAGGCGCCCCAGGGTTTGACTTTTCTAACATGATCTGCATCCCTATTTGCGAGAACAGTCCCGAGTCGTGGATAGGAGCAGGAAGAGAAGCCGCGGCTCGGACGTTCACGTCGAGTTCTCCCCGACACATTGTGCCATTTGTGGCTGATCACAGGCAGGAGGCCGAAGAAAGGCAACAATAGCAACAAAAACCATGACTTACATTGATCTCTATGCTGGGCAGGATGTTGCAGTATTTGGCTGACGCCAGCCCCTGGACTGACTTCTGATGAGTGCATCTGGGACCGATGTATCTGGAGATTTCCATCCTCAGTTTTTTTAGCCCATAATTTGCTACCCACTTCAGAATAAAAGAAAAAACTATTACCTTGGGTAATGTAGGCTTAACTGAATGATGGTCTGACTCATCTTTTAAAACATTGTATTTGAAATCTGTCTCGTGTTTGAAGTATGGGGTTTCTGGGTCTTCACAGAATACCCACGCCGTGTGGATTTCCTTCCCCTGTGCGGGGGAGAGATGCGCAAGAAATACTGGGAACGAGGAACCTGCTGCTTCCTAGTCTGGTGGACAGTGTTGCTCTTCCAATATCCATTTCAACTCTCCCACAAAATTTGAGTGGAAAGCCATGATTAGTCTGAAGTTCAGACTCTAAATCGATTAGGAGGAGCTCCGTCCGCTTGTCACAATAAGAGATACAAGAGAGGGCAGGCTCATGACAGTCAAGCATGGCTCCAGGATCGGCCCAATCAGAACCAGCTCACTCTTCTACGGAATCATTGTGGGAAACAGGATGGTCTGTCTTCAGGATACGAACAAGAAGGGGGATTCGCCCTGTCTGCATCCTAAAGGTTCTGACACTGCTAAGCGCTTTACCCAAAATATACTTCAATAAGTCATCAATCCTAGAAGATATACAACCGGCTTCATTTTACAAATGGGGACACTGAGGTTGGGTGTAGCTAAATGACTTGCCCAAGGCCATCCAGCTAGGAAGCGGCAGACCTGGGTTTCAAACCCAGGTCTGCTTAAACTCTTTCCCCACCTGCCACATGAAGGGGTCATTGTGAGAAGGTATGTCTCCACTTCCAAGAATGTCCACTTTTCCTACAAGTGGAAGGTTGGTGGAGGAATTATTGCTTGAGGGGTATGTGCAGGCTCCAAGAACTTAATACCTCTTGGCTTGAGCAAACTGCATCCTTCCTGGGCAACTGGATAGAAGAGCTAACCCTTTGTATCTTCCTTCCTTGAGGGTATTTCTTGTAGACTGAGCCTAGGAGAAACAGAGTGAGGTTACTTTAAGCACCTCTCTTCCCTCTCCCCTCTTCTTCCCTCCTCGTTTTGGCTTCATTTTGCATTTAATTTCTCTGTCAATCAAATCAGCTGGAAAATTCCTTAGGCGAAATTTGTTGAAGGATAGAGGGAGGCTTATAGGGGAATCAGGGGAAGTGTTGAGACCTCCCCTGTCTGCACCTCAGTGAATCGTTACTGGGGGATTTGTATCATTTCACAGCAGTCAATGGGGAGAGGGTTAGGGACACAAGAAGGGACACTCATCTCTGCTCCCTTCCCAACCAGCCTTAGAGCCAAGGACACTGCTTCTGATGGATGATGAGTGGTGTCAAGAATTTGCACGTCCATTTTCCTGGGCTGGGACAGCTGAGTGGTTTGAGGACAGGCCCGCTCTGGAGACACTGCTGCCTGCATCCTGGGGCAGCTGGAGGGGTCTCCCTACCCACGGGGCCTGCTGACCTTACAGTTCTTACAGACATCTGTGTAGCCTTCAACTTACCCACATTATTCCCTGTCTCCATATAAAACAGTGAGAGAGATGTCTCTGCCTCCCTCCATTTGGTCTTCTTCCTCTGTTCCTTCCTCCCAGCTGTCCCTTCTTTCACTGGCTGAGCTGAAGCTGGAGGAAAATTGACCTGTTGGCTGGAGCAGCCTCGTGGGGTCACGTGGTGATACTATCTGCTTGTCTGGGAGACTTGTCAATTTCAGCTATGCTCTGCCTTTGAAATAGGGCTTCAAGATGGCCTTGAGGTCCTCTGGGACTACCCCAAGTCTTCTGGCCTCACCTGGATCGGCAACAGTCAAAGTTGCCGTTTACCAAATACCACCGTGTACCAGGCATGGAGCTAAATGCTTTCTGTAACCTGTCTTGCCTTATCCTCAACGTGCCCCAGTTTATAGTCGAGGCAAGTGGGGCCCAGGGTCAGTAAGGGCAGAGCAAAGATTCTACCCAAGTTTGGTGACTCCACAATTCTGCTCTGAACCATTCGGCTCTGTCTCTGACATTAGAAATAAGATGCATGGGGGCACCTGGGTGGCTCAGACAGTTAAGTGTCTGACTCTTGATCTCAGCTCGGGTCTTGGTCTCACAGTTTGTGAATTTGAGCCCCACACTGAGCTCTGTGTAGGCAGCACAGAGCCTGCTTGGGATTCTCTCTCCCTCTCTCTCTGCCCCTACCCCACTCGCACTCTCTGTCTTTCTCTCAATAAATAAATAAACTTAAAAAAAAAAAAAGAAATAAGATACATGATCTTGCTTCTATGAGCTAAATACTTAAATAAAAATACTGAGGCCCTGTCATGACCAGCTGGCATTGGTCATTATCCTTAGCCGGTCTGGGCCTAAATTTCTTTATCAGTGAAATGGGGAATAGATTACCTGGCACACAGGATTGATTACTGTAAGCTTTACAGGCGACAATCTTAGCAGAAGAGTGAGCGTGTGATCAAGATTTGTGATCATCAGTCATTCTCGTTACCACTGTAATTAATACTTGTCTCAGCCATGCCCACCCCCTCTCCCCCACCAGCCTGAGCACGGCCATGCTTACCTGCTGGGATGCCTGCTTTGTCACTGAGTGGCCGCCGTGTCAGAGCTTCCAAGGGGGAGCTCTTCTCTCTGTCATGGTCGTCTTTAAGGCTCTAGAAAACAGGCCGTCTTTCCTATCAGTGGCCTGTTCTCTGTGGCAGGCCCAGACCATGTGTAGCTTACTCCCATCCCAGGGGCTGTGTTTCTGGAAGGTTCTGTCCACATGGGTGCTGCCCACATTCAAAGAACTCCACCAGGTTCCATGAGCCGGCCCAGAGGCATCGCCTTCCCTGCCTTCCCAAATTTGGGGATGAAACCCCAGTCTCAGCCTGTCCATTGGGAACCTATGTGGGGAAGGGCCTATGGGAATCGATGCCTCTGACATGTTTACCCCATCTCCTGCAACAGATTCAGAGGAGACTGGGTGTTGAGGTGAGACAGTGTGTATGTGTGTGTGTATTTAATAACAAGGAGGGAGGGCATGCTAGCATACCCGTGGGAATTGCCAGAACTTTCTTCAGTTACCCACCCTTCTTCCTAGGACTGGGATTTCTGGGCCTCCAGCATGACAAGCAACCATTTGAGTAACTTCTGTGCCCTTTTGGGCATCCAGTTTTAAGGGAGGAGCCCTTCATTACTGGGCACAAGTGGAATGTGGCCGTGGCTGAAGAGTCACCCAGAGCCCTAGACCAACCAGCTCACCCCATTGGGTGAGCTGCTGTGTAAAAGGCCTGGGTGCTGCTACCCCAGCAGGCCCCCAGCCCTCATTTCAGGAGGCTCTTTAGAGGCGTTGGCACAGCCCAAGCCTCTTCAGGCTGAATCAGCTCGGAAAGCACCAAAGGCCTGAGACACAGCCCCCGAGACTCTGGGGTTTCGTCCCAGAATTTGCGTCTGGGCTGGCTCCGGAACGTGCTGGAGGGTTGAATGAGGGTAGAGCCTGTGTGGACAGAACCTCCTAGAAATGCAGCCTCAGGGCTCGGAATAAGCGACACATAATCCGGACGGGTCCCCTTATTCTGCAAATGCACTGTGTTTGCAAGGATCTGTCTGTCAGTGGAACACTGAAGACCTCCAGATACTTGCTGCTTCTGCACACGGCACTGTGGAGTCTGGGTCCTCTGAAGTCCCGCTGATTCCTGCAGGGGTGGAGATTTTAGGCAGGACAGCTTGGACCGGCTATGACGGGAATAAGGCCCTGGCAGGCGCAGGTTCACCTCAGGGTCCTATCAGGTCCTGCTAAGCCTTGGGCAGCAGTACCTCCTGTAGTAGCGGGAGCTCATTAGATACCCTAATACCCTAGTTCCTTTGCCCCGGCAGACCCTCTAGGGTAAGTGCTGCTGCCCTATAGCCATCAGATATAACAGTGGGTGCCAGTCTCATGGAGTCCTTGGCACCCGGCTAGGGATCCAAGCTGAGATAGCCAGACAGAGCCAAAGGTGGGTGGAGAGGAGGCCAGAGATGAGCTGAGAAGCAGATCCCCCAGAGGAGGTGGGGGCTGGAGGTACCCCCAGGATACTGACCACTGAGCACCCTGCCTCCTCCCCCACCCTGCTGGCCTGGGGTCTGGGGGTCTAGGCGGGTCATTTTAAGATCTCGGAAAGACCAAGAGACAAGGTGGCAATGAAGTCCACAGTGTGTTATTAGGGAGGGAGGGGAATCAAACCATTCTGGCCACTGAGGGAGCTGTGGGCTTGAAAGAACAGAGTTTCCTGGGCTGACTTCTTTGCTTGAACACCTTTGGATTTTCTTTCAAGAGGGCTGAGCTTTTCAGTTCTTTTCCAGACTGGTTCTTCAGGGAGGACACCAGCAAGGCACACTGCAACAGAGATTGGAGGGTTAGCAACGCCCCAGCCCTGGTGTGCCTCTGAGCAGGGGACAGAGAGTGTGCACACTCACAAAATACACACACACACACATACACACACACACACACAGAAGAGACTGGGTCCAGTGGGGCTTCTGGATTCCTCTCTCTGTCCCTAGAATGCCTCCTGGGGTCATAAGCACTGTGGATCAGTCCTATGAATTGTTAAGTCCCACGTATGTAGGGCGTGGGATCCCTCAGGCACTGGGCTAGTTTATTCCCCGGGCGTCCCAAATCATCTTGCCAAGAAAGCATGCCAACTATGCTTTTAGAGCAAGTGCTATTTAAAAAAAATATTTTAGAGTTTATTTATTTTTGAGAAAGAGGCAGGGAGGGTCAGAGAGAGAGAGACAGACAGACACAGAATCGGAAGCAGGCTCCAGGCTCTGAGCTGTCAGCACAGAGCCCAACACAGGGCTCAAACTCATGAACCACAAGATCATGACTTGAGCCGAAGTCAGATGCTAACTGATTGAGCCACCCAGGCTTCCCTAGGTAAGTGCTGTTTTATCCCCACTTTACAGATGAGGAACCCAAAGTTCCATGAGTTCAAGGGATGTGCCCAAGGCCACAGTACTCATATGGAGAGGACCTTCTATTCAAACCCAGGTGGGTCTGGTTCCCAGGCCAGTGCTTTCCATATGTGGACCCAGCATCATCCACAAACGCCCATCAGCTCACCACGTACCCAGTGCTGGTGGAAACGTGGTGGAACACTTGGTTCCCTTTGCCAACACATTTCTCACCTGCCTGAAAGCTTCTCCAGTAATTTTCAAAGCACTGAGACACCATCTGAATGTAAGCAACATCCTGGGAAGGGTGGATTAAACCATCATTGCCCACTAACATTTTGTGAGTGCTCGTCACATGATGAAACAGACTAACTTGCACTTGAGAAGGCATAAACAAAGCATGGAGGAGGGGTCCCCTCAGGGAGGGCAGCTAGGGGAAGCACAGGTATGCCACCCCAGGGACAGGGAGGGAAAGGACGTGAGGCTGCGGGCCTGCCCTCCCAGGGGAGCTCACAATGGAGTCAGGAAAATGTTGCCCTGCAAATGTCTGCGATGACAACGTGAGTCAGGCTGAGTGTTCTTCACGGGCTCTTTGTCCCTCCCTACCTTAGCTGTGACCTTCTTCATGCTATCTGTCTACCCCTGTGACTTGCACTGTTCCACATCTGCCTCCAGCCCTTATCTTCTCCCCCTTCTGAACCTCCACTTGTCAGCTCACAGGCCCCACAAACTCACCTTTGTCCTAGGCCCACCCTCCCGCAGCCCCTGTGGGATCCTCTCCTGTTTTCTCTCTCTTGATCAGCGGTGCCACCATCTGCCAGGTCCCCCAGCAAGGAACTTGGAAGATCTGAAACCCTGGAATTTCTCTTTCCTCACCTCATACATTCAATTGTCACATATTTGGTCAATTTTTCCTTTTATTTTTATATATTTATTAACATTTTTAAAAAAATGTTTATTTATTTTGAGTGAGAGAGAGAGAGCACACGTGCATACGAGTGGGGGGAGTGGCAGAGAGAAAGAGAGAGAGAGGGAGAGAGAATCCCAAGCAGGCTCCTCGCCATCAGTGCAGAGCCTGACGCAGGGCTCAAACTCACAAACAATGAGATCAAGAACTGAGCTGAAATCAAGAGTCGGATGATTAACGGACTGAGCCACCCAGGTGCCCCCAATTTTTCCTTTCAAATGTTCTTAAGTCCACTCCCTTATTCTCATTCTTATGGCTCCTGACACAACCTGGCTCCTTTCCACCCCTCTAATCCCACCTAGAACTTCTCAAAGCCATCCTCTGAGGCAGTACCATGTTAGCGAGTCTTGAATGATAAGGAGCAACCTATGGGCCATCTGGGAGGGGATGGAAGGCAGAAGGAAGAGCAAGTGCAGAGGCTCCGAGTTGAGGAATGAGTTTGGGAGTGAGCTCACACATTCAAGGAACTCCAAGGAGGCCAGGATGTTTGACACACAGACCTAAGCCATGACTTCTAGGAAACTCCCAGGCTTCATTCAAAGCCTTGGGTGCCAGTGGACAGGACCTGAGGAGGGAAGCTGATAGGGGTGAGTGGTGTCCCCCAGAAAGATATGTGGAACCTCCAGTACGTATGCATGTGACCTTCCTTGGAAATCGGGTCTTTGGAGATGTAACAGAGATGTAAGTTAATGAGGTCATAGTGGAGAAAGGTGGGCCCTTAATCCCATAGGACTGGAATCCCCACAGGAGGAGGAGAGATGCAGACACACAGAGAGGGGACCCATGTGAAGATGGAGGCAGAGATGGGAACTGTTCTGCCACAAGCCAAAGAATGCCAAGGAGTGCTGGTGACAAGGACTCTCTCCTTGACTATACCTTAGCTGTGCTCCTGGAGCCCTCTTCTCAACCAGGCCTTGACTTTGGCCTAGTAAACCCAGTTTTAGTAAAGAATCCTGTTAAGCCCTTTGTGCAAGAATCCCCCTACCCTTGATATCTAATTAAGTTCCTCATAGTAAATTTCCATCACCTAACCCTTTCCCTCTGCTCATTGGCTATAAATCCCCACATATCTTTGTATTCAGAACTGAGTTCAATTTCTCTGTTACTGGATAAAGTCTTTCTTGTCATCTTTTTTGAAGTTTATTTATTTTTGAGAGAGAGAGAGAAAGAGAGAGAGAGAGTGTGTGTGTGTGTGTGTGTGTGTGTGAATCGGGGAGAAGCAGAGAGAGAGGGGAAAATGAGAATCCCAAGCAGGCCCCACACTCAGCATGGAGCCTGACTGAGGTAGAGCTTGACCCCACAACCGCAAGATCATGACCTGAGCTGATATCAAGAGTTGGACACTGAACCAACTGAGCCACCCAGGCACCCTTCTTCCTTGCCATTTTTGACAAGCATCCAGTGCAACTGACAGAGTGCAAGCAGGAGAGGGGAGGAGAGAGAGGGAGACACAGAATCTGAAGCAGGCTCCAGGCTCTGAGCAGTCAGCACAGAACGTGACGCGGGGCTCGAACCCACAATCCCATGAGATTATGACCTGAGCTAAAGTCTGAGGCTTAACCAACTGAGCCACCCACATGCCTCCTGTGCAATTTTTTAAATTTTTTAAATGTTTTATTTATTTCTGAGAGAGAGAGAGAGACAGCGTGAGCAGGGGAGGGTCAGATAGAGAGGGAGATACAGAATCTGAAACAGGCTCCAGGCTCTGAGCTAGCTGTCAGCACAGAGCCCGACAGAGCCCGACGTGGGGCTTGAATTCACAAACCATGAGGTCATGACCTGAGCCGAAGTTGGACGCTTAACCGACTGAGCCACCCAGGCGCCCCTCCTGTGCAATTTTTTAAACACTAACCAGCACTGGCAGCTAGGAAGGGCTAAGGAGGGATTCTACTCAGAGCCCTCAGAAGGAGCTCTGGTCCTTCTGACACCTTAATTGCAGACGTCTAGCCTCTGAAACAGTAAGAGAATAAACGTCTATTGTTTTAAGCTGCCTAATTTGTGGTACTTTATATGGCAGCCCCAGGACATGAATAGAGAAGGGCAGTCGTTTGCCCCACATGAAAAGCGTACCTTTTGGGAATAGTTGAGAGCCTTTTCCATCTCAGACACGATGGCATTGATGTCATCGCTTTCATAAATACCTGGAAACAAGGCACATTGTGAGCACGGGGGAGGGGTGTAGATCCTGGTGAGTGTCCATATCTACATACGTGAGGGCTATGTGGAGGTGACCTGAGCCCGAGGGGTGGGGAGGGGTCCTGATGGGCTGCGTGGACCAGGTCCCTGCTCCCTCCCCACCCCATCCAGTGGTGAAGGGGATGGGCAGTTAGGGTGAAGCTACCAGCAGTGGGGTGCATCCAGCTGACTGCTTTCACCCAGGGGAAGGATGGGTTAGGAACGATGGTCCTGCTATGGCAATAACTAAAAAGATCCACCTTGGGATTAAACTATCTAGTGTCTGTAGTGAATACTGGTGACTTATTTGAGAGGGATTGGAATGTAATGACTAAGACAACCTCTGAAGTTGGCCTGCCTAGGTTCAACTCCTGGTTCTACCACTTACTACCCATGTGCTTTTGGGTTCTCTCTCTCAGCTTTCCCAGCTGTAAAATAGAGATAATAGTAACCTACTTCATAGGGTTATTGTGAGGAATGAAGAAGTAACTTCTTCATTCTGGAACTGCGTCTGCCATATGATAACTATCCTAGAAGTGTGTGCTATTATTAGTAATAATCACCAACAATAACTTCTATGTATACACCCAGCGCTTTTCATGGAAAGAGCTGGGAAACAGGGCCCCAGGGTTCCAGCCCTAGCTATATGTCACTGATTTTGTACCACAGGTAACTCATGTCCTCGGAAATCATTTCTTCATTTGTAAACCAGAGAGGGTGGAATATACTAGTGTGTCCTGAACCTCAATCGCTCCCGTATTCCTGTCATGATTTTGCCTTATCTGCATACCACCCCAACCATTATCTACTTAATATATATTTTATCAATTCACTTTTGTTTACTTAAAAGTATACATATGCCTATAATATAATTCAGATATATATTATTGACATAATATATTACATAAAATGACATTATAGTAGTTTCATGTATACAACAAAATGATTGGATATTTGTATATACTGTCAAATGATCACCATAATGTCTAACATACTTAAAAGTATATTTTAAAAAAGAAAATTTATGGGCAGCTGGGTGGTTCAGTTGGTTAAGTGTCCAGCTCCTGATTTTGGCTCAGGTCATGGTCTCACAGTTCGTGAGATTGAGCCCTACATCAGGCTCTGTGCTGACAGCCCAAAGCCTGTTTGGGATTCTCACTCTCTCTGTCCCTCCCCAACTTGAGTGCACGCACACGTCCTCTCTCTCAAAATGACTAAATAAAACTTAAAAAAAAAAAAAGGAGAAAATTTATGTCACTTCAGACCACAGAACGCTAGCATTTTTGGTAAGTTTATTTATTTATTTTTAACTAGGCTGTATGCCCAATGTGGGGTTTTGACTCATGCCACGGAAATTAAGAGTTGCGTGCTCTACTGACTGAACCAGGGAGACATCCCAGACAGTTAGTACTTTTTTTTAAAGTTTATTTATTTATTTTTCAGAGAAAGGGAAAGTACAAGTGGGGAAGGGGCACAGAAAGAGCGAGAGGGAGAGTCCCAAGCAGGCTCCATGCTGTCAGCACAGAGCCCTACGTGGGGCTCCATCCCACAAACAGTGAGATCATGACCTGAGCCAAAATCAAGAGTTGGAAGCTCAACCAACTGAGCCACCCTGGTGCCCCAACAATTTCTTTCATTGTGATTGTGTAGGGGGTCAGAATATGCATGCCATCCCAAAATATGCAACTTTGGCATAAGGATTATTTTGCGCTGAAGACAGTTGAGAAACAGTGAAAAAGTTCTCTACCTTCCTCCCTCCTTTAGAGCAGGATGCAAATTTCCATTTTAGGGTGTCTCCCTCTGCCAGGAGGAGGAGGAAGAGCATGGGAGACAACAAGCCTTATGAAAACAACCCTGACCTTCCCCTTAGTTCCCTCCCTGTTTGCCTTCCCACAGTCTGGTCTACCACTCCTAACAGCCTAACCCCCTTTCCTCTGACTTGTCACTTCTTTACAAATGCCTTGTCCTTGGTTAAGACCCTATATAGGCCTTAACACATTTTTAAGTCAGGGCACCTGGTGTCAGTAGGAAGATCATGCGACTCTTGATTTCAGGGTCATGAGTTCGATCCCCACACTGGGCGTAGAACTTACTTAAAAATAAATCACTGGAAACTCCCCTATGACCCAGCAATAGCACTGCTAGGAATTTGCCCAAGGGATACAGGAGTGCTGATGCAAAGGGGCACATGTACCCTAATGTTCATAGCAGCACTCTCAGTAATAGCCAAAACACGGAAAGAGCCTAAGTGTCCATCAACGGACGAATGGATCAAGAAGATGTGGTTTATCTATACCATGGAATACTACATGGCAATGAGAAACAATGAAATCTGGCCATGTGTAGCAACATGGATGGACCTTGAGGGTGTTATGCTGAGCGAAATAAGTCAGGCAGAGAAGGACAAATATCATATGCTTGCACGTATAGGAGGATTAGGAGGAACTTGACGGAGGAACAAGGGGGAGAAGAAGGGCGGAAATGGTGGGGGAGAGGGAGGGAGGCAAACCATGAGAGACTCTTGAATGCTGAAAACAAACTGAGGACTGATGGATGGGGGGGGGATGGGCATGGAGGAGGGCACTTGTGGGGATGAGCACTGGGTGTTATGTGGAAACTAATTTGACAATAAACTATTTGTAAAAAAAAATAATAAATGAATCACTGAATAAGCAAATAAAATGTTTGTAAGTAGGTTTGCTTTTTTCCTTTTTTCCTCTAAAAATTGTGATAAAGTAGGCTTCACATGAAATGTATCATTTTAACCATGTTTTCAGTGTACAGCTCAGTGGCGTTAAGCATGTTCATACCGTCCTGCGGTCCTCATGACCATCCGCCTCTAGGACAGGAATTCTACTCTTCCAAATGTGAGTTTCACATGCCCTTCTTCTGGAACACATCTATAGCGTGGGGAGCTATGCTGGTACCGAGACAACTTTCTGGAAGGAAAGAGGTGGAGGGCCCGCCAACACTCGCTCACGCACCTGTGTCTCCAAACCAGTGGAAGCGCCCAGCGGTGGCCCGGGTGACCTCCCGGTAGGCGGCGGCCGTGTCGCTGCGGCTGGCATAGCAGGCAGGGGGCGTGCTGTCCATCTGGGGCTCGCCCACGTAGAAGAGACACACGTTCAGCTGGAGGTTGCAGCCCCCACAGGCCTCAGCCATGTAGGCGCTGAGCATGGGCTGCAGGGGGAAAGAGGGCAGGGAGGCCCCAGCTGAGGGCTCCTGCAGCAGCTGGTCCCAGGCCAGTTGACAATAATCCTCTCTCTTCAGGGCCTGCCGTGGGCCTGGTCTAGGACTAGATGCCGGGGACAGAAGGATAACTGCACTTGGGCCACCACGTCTCTGTCCTAATAGGGTGAGGCCAGGGGGGTGGACCCGAGAGACCGGCCATGCCATGTGTGGTCTGGGGACCAGAAGCATGGATGTCACCCTGGAGCTCGCCAGCAAGGCAGACGCTCAGGTCCCAGGCCAGGCCTTCAGGAACAGGACCTGCATTTTCACAACATCCCCAGGTGATTTTTCTGCACATTAAAATCTACTTTGGGGGGGCCCTGGGAGGCTCAGTCGGTTACGCGTCTGACTCTTGGTTTCGGCCCAGGTCACGATCTCACGGTTCCTGGAGTCTGCTTTGGATTCTCTCTCCCTCTCTCTCTGCCCCTTCCCTGCTCTCTCTCTCAAAATAAATAAATAAACTTAAATTTTTAAAAAAATAATAAATAAATAAAATCCAGTTTGGAAAACCATGCTGGAGAAACCCATTGCTAGGCATCCACCTAGGGGGAGTTGTGGGGTCAGAAAGGCTGCCCAGGATGAGGCCTACCCACCACTTCCTGGTCAGGGATGCCCCCCGTGAAGAGATAGATGCCCTGTGATTGGTGTTTGTCTTTGTCCTTGAAATCCACTTCCACAGCCTTCCGCAGGGCGCCAAGGACATTCCTGCTGCCCTGACACTGCAGAGTCAGGGCCCACCTGGGAGGCAAGGAGGGCCTTGCTGAGGGGGGCCGGCCACGATACCCCAGAGAGGGAGGCCAGGGATTCTGGTGAGAAGGAGACAGAGAAAACAGCACCGCAAGGGCCACCCTGAGACACAGCAGGTGCCTCTGACAGTCACCTACCGCCAGGCACTCTGTAAGTTTTCGTGGTTCACGGCAGCCATCTCCGGCCTCCAGCTTTCTATTGTGCTTCCAAACCTTGACGGGAAAGGAAAGAGGGCGTGTTCTTAAGCAGGAGATACAGCCATTCTACACCCCAGGTCTTTTTGGGGAGTAAAATTCTGACTACACTCAAAAATGCTAGGATGTCCCTGGCCTGGGCCAGCCACAAGATTTCCTTGCTGGTCATGATGTGTCACAGTACATTCCCAGTACGAGCAGAGCTGAGAGGCTCTCAGTGGAGGCACAGAGCAAGAACCAGCTGTGGCCAGACTTCGTTTCTGACACCACCTCCCTTTTCTGGGTGAACTTCCCCTTCCCCCCCACCCCTGAAGGTGGGAATCATTTCCCCCTTTGTAAATTCCCCCAGTACTGATTCAGTCCCACAATTCATTTGTTTCACTCTCTGTCTGCACTATAATTTCTAATTTAAAAAATACGCATCATCTCATCTTCCTATGAGGCAGAATTTAAATCCTTGAGAAGAGAGAGGACTGATCACCCTTCTCAAGGAAAAGGTGTCCCCTCTCTGGCTCAAGATTAAGTCTTGCATCTGATTTTCTGAGACTTGCCCAGAGATACCTCCCTCACCACCCCACCTCTACTCCATTCTTCCCAATTGTCTCTGTGCATGTTTAAGCCTGTCCATTCTTTTTTTTTTTTTTTAAGTTTATTTCTTTATTTTGAGAGAGAGAGGGAGACAGAATCCCAGGCAGGCTCAGTACTATCAGCACAGAACATGATGCGGGGGCTGGAACCCATGAACCATGAGATCACGACCTGAGCTGAAACCAAGAGTCAGACATTTAACCAACTGAGCCACCCAGGCACCCCAACCCTGTCCTGTTATTAAAAATAACTTCCTCTTTCTACCAGGGACCACTCTTATTAGCCACTTCTCTTTCCCATGTATGGACGAGCTCCCTGGAAAAACAATGTCCCAGCACCTCCTTACCCCTCAACCCACTGCAGTCAAGCTTCTGGTAGGGTCTCTGGCAAATATTAACAATGACCTCCGTCATGATCTTACTGTCCGGAGATGGAGTGCTGTCTCTATAGCGTGCTGATAGTGCAGAGCCTGCTTCGGATTCCCTCTCTGAAATTCTCTCTCTGTTCCACAGACACTGCCCCTTGTGTGCTCGCTCTCTCTCTCAAAATAAATAAATAAAACTTAAAAAAATATATACCCAATGACCTCCTTCTCCCTCATGCAAATATCTATTGTAATTGGATAATAAATTCCCTATTACAGGTTGATAAAAATTCTAACAACATCCAGAGAGTAAAAATTCCTCCAATTTTATTCCCCAGAAAAAAATTCTCTTAACTTTTTACCCTATATTCTTTTACTCTATATTTACTCTATATTCTTTCGGATTAAAAAAAAGAAGAAGAAGAAAGCATAGGAGTGTCTGGCTGGCTCAGTCTGTGGAGCATGCAACTCTTTATTTCAGTTGTGAGTTCGAGCCCCACAATGGGTGAAGAGAGTACTTATAAATAAAATTTTAAAATTTTAAAAATAGGTAAACATGTAAAACTTGTCAAATTAGTGAGCTGTATCCTTGAAACTAATGTAATATTGTGTGTCAACTATACTACAAAAAACCAGAATAAGTAAATACATATTTACAGAAATGAAATTACACAGTACGTGCTATTTGTAATCTATGTGTTCCCTTTCATTGGGACTTACTGAGGATGTTTTTCTAAATGCTCATGTGTAACTCTCCCTCATTCTTTTGAGTAATTGCACTGTCAGGATTGTTATACCAATTTTGCCAATGATCATGTGGTTTGTTTCCAGTTTTATCCGCATTAGAACTCTGTACTGAACAACCTAGCATGGTTATCTCTGTAAACTTGGCTTTGTATTCCCTTCAGATAATATATAAAGGTTTAACTTAAAAATTTTAATTACAAGGGCTATACCAAATTACACTTCTACTGACAGTTTCCAAGAGTTGCCCTTCTCATTGCATCATCACCAGCACTGGCCATTGTTATTATTTTAAATCTTTTAAATATTCAGTTGCCAAACTGAATTCCAAAAATCCTCTATCCAATTGTTTTGTTATCAGTGAGCTTTACTGCCAAATTCAGTGGTTTCCTTCATTCTTCCTCTTCCTGCTTTGCTTCTGCAGAATCAAACTCTGCTTCTTTCTGAGACCTGGCTTCTCAATACTGTTCTCTTCTCGTTTTCCTGCTACCTCTCTGCTGCTCCTCTCCTGTGTTCCTCTGGCGGTTCCCTGCAAATGTCAGAGCCTCATCAGTTCTGTCTTTGGTTGTCTTCTCTCTCCTTCACATCTCCACAGGTGCAATTCATGCGCTTCGTGTTTTGAACCACGTCACCAGAATAGTGAGAGCTCGGATACCTGTGTTTCCTAGCTAGAACGCTCCACTGGAGACCCTACGAGGACATCTCCTCTTGGAAATCTCCAGCTCTTCATGGCTAAAACTGTCTTCTACTTCCAAGATCTGCTCCATCTGGAACATCTTCTCTTCACTGTTCTCTCATCCCCTAGCGCCGCATGGTAACGACGTTTTGTAGATTCTAACTCTGCAATAGTCTCACATGCATCCCTTCCTCCATGGCCACGGCTCAAGCCTGCTCCACACTAGTGCAGACCACTGGAGCAGTCCAAATGGCCTCCAGCCCCCCAGTATCGCATCCCTTCAACGCACCCTTCACACTGTGACTTGAGCATTCAAGATCTGATCGTCTTATTACCTTGCTTAAAATCCTTTAATGCCTGTATGTCCCGTAGTATAAAAGCTGCTGCGCACACCTTGCATGTATAAACCCTTCATCACCTGTTTTACTGTCATGTGCAATCTCTCTTTCTCAGCCTGTAACCTACCGAACTCCCCGATGGTCTCCCAAAGGTCCAGTCTCTATTCCGACACAACACACAACACTCCATAGTTCCAACACCTCTATGCCTCGTGTTGTTCCCTTTGTCTAAAATCCCTTTCCTCCCCACTTGGCCCCATCATTCCCATGTGCTAGGCAAACACCTGCTCATTTGGCAAGACTTGGCAAAAGGGTCAATTCCTCTATGAGCATTTTCTGACCTCATTGTGCTCAGGCAGGATGTTCTGACCCTGCCTTCTACCTATTTCTGTAGAAAACAGTTCATAACACATTTTTTTAAACATGCCTGTCTCTACTAGACCTCAAGTTCCTTGAGAATAAGTATTATGCATATTCACTTCCTTATGCCCAATGCTGAGCACAATGACTGGTATATGGCAGGCTTTCAATAAAAGTTTGTTGAATGAATGGATGGAGATGGATGGATAAATTAATGAAAACATTGCCTAAAATGTATCTCTAAGTATTTTTTTCTGTAGCATTTATTAGAAAAAGATTAGGCTCTGGTACAGAATAATATATATTAACCGCTGTCTTAATTGGTTTAGAATACTCCCGATTTAAGGGACACCTGGGGGGCTCAGTCGGTAAAGTGTCCAACCTCCGCTCAGGTGATAATCTCACAGTTCGTGAGTTTGGGCCTCGCGTCAGGCTTTACGCTGACTGCTTTGGACTCTGGTCTCCCTCTCTCTCTGCCCCCTCCCTGCTCACACTCTCTCCCTCAAAAATAAATTAATAAACATTAAAAAAAAGAGAGAACATGCCCTTTTTGAAATGAAGTGGTATAAAAATGTATAATTCAAGTAGGTTCCTTTTCTTTCGCTCCTAATTAGTGAAAAAGGTATGCAATTATAACACTATATATATTTGAATTATATAAAGCTATATATAAAGTATAAGTAACCTATATATAATTTAATAATTATAATTAAGTTAAATATAGTAAAATATAATTTAATGATTGTATACTAAGTTAATAATTTAAATATGATATATACAGTTATGTATAATTTAAATATGTATAGTTACATATAATTTTTTTTTTTTTTAATTTTTTTTTAAATGTTTTATTTATTTCTAGGAGAGAGAGAGAGAGAGAGACAGCGTGAGCAGGGGAGGGTCAGAGAGAGAGGGAGTCACAGACTGAAACAGGCTCCAGGCTCCGAGCTGGCAGTCAGCACAGAGCCCGACGCGGGGCTCGAACCCACGAACCGTGAGATCATGACCTAAGCGAAAGTCGGACGCTGAACCGACTAAGCCACCCAGGCGCCCCAAGTTACATATAATTTTTTAAAGGTTTTATTTTTCTTTTAATGTTTCATTTATTTCTATGAGAGAGAGAGAGACAGCGTGAGCAGGGGAGGGTCAGAGAGAGAGGGAGTCACAGACTGAAACTGGCTCCAGCCTGAGCTTGCTGTCAGCGCAGAGCCCGACTCGGGGCTCGAACCCACGAACCGCGAGATCCTGACCTAAGCGAAAGTCGGACGCTTAACCGACTAAGCCACCCAGGCGCCCCTTAAAGGTTTTATTTTTAACCAATCTCTACATTCAATATGGGGCTCAAACTCCCAACCCCAAGATCAAGAGTTGCATGCTCCGCTGACTGAGCCACCCAGGCATCCCAGTTATATGTAATTTTTTAAATACATATGGGGCACCTGGGTGGGTCAGTCAGTTGAACAACCAACTTCGACTCAGGTCATGATCTTGTGGTTTGTGGGTTTGAGCCTCCCATTGTGCTGACAGCTCAGAGCCTGGAGCCTGCTTCTGATTCTGTGTCTCCCTCTCTCTCTGCCCCTCCCCCACTCATGCTCTGTCTCTGTCTCTCAAAAATGAATAAACGTTAAAAAATTTTTTTTCAAATATATATTTTAAGGGCACCTAGGTGGCTCAGTAGGTTAAAGCGTCCAACTCTTTATCTTGGCTTGGGTGATGACCCTGGGGTCATGGTTCATGAGATTGAGCCCTGCACTGAGCTCTGTGCTGACAGCATGGAGCCTGTTTGGAATTCTCCCTCCCCCCCTCTCTCTGCCCCTTCCCTGCTTACTCCTTCTCTCTCAAAATAAACAAACACTTTAAAAGATATATTTTTTTTTACATACAATATCAATATTTTTATGTATATATCAAATTATTTATTTATAAAATATATCATTGAAATATATAGAATTATATATTATATAGTAATACATAATTTAAATATGTGTTATATAGCACTATATATAGTATATATATATATGTATATATACATAATTAACATTTGAGATTGGAATCCTAAGCGTATGACATACTGTGGGTTGCTAGACATGAGCTGGGATCTAAGACCGGGGCACGCTTGGGGGCCCTTCTTTTTCTCTTTCATGTTTATCAGCTCAGAATCCAAATGGGGCAACGGGCTGAGTTACTTTATCTTGGCCGATCAAGCAGTGTGTTTTGGGGCCACTTACACCTTTGCCCCAGTGGGACTGTCCGGCAACCATTTAATTATTCAGTACCCCAAACAAGATGATTCAAATCAGATAAGCTGATGGCCACCCTAGGATGCTGGGTGCTGGTAACATCTGTCATCTAGCCACCTGCCGGGAGCCTCAGCACCCACACCCCGTACCCCCAGCCCCCCCCACCGGGACCCAGGAGCCTACGCGATGAGGTTGAAGCAGTCTTTGTTGGACAATTGCTCCTCCAGCAGAAGCCGCAGGGAGTGCTGGATATGAATAATGTACATGGAATTGGTCACAGAGATATCCAGCAGTATAACCACCCTAAAAAGAAACACAAGCTTTAAGAAGAGAACCGAATCTCTCAGATAATGTTTATTTTGTTCCATTTTACTATTTAAAGTTTTTTCCAGGGAAGTTCTACATGCCAAATTCACAGGTGGCCAAAATCTTTTCCGTGGTGTGAGGTCAACAGGAGTGGGTTTACAACAGTAGACTAAGGGGGTCGTGGAAGCTTCCGTCCCAGGGAGCTTCTGTCTCATCATGGAGTAAAGTCGCATCATGGTGGAGATAATTTAAGGGGCGGGGGACACCTGGGAAGCAGGCATTTCCCTGTTTTAAAGCCCTAACATTCAATATTATTATAGGTTGGGATCTCTGTAGGGGAAACAAATAAGGTAAGCAAATTAGATGGGGACTTAGGTGTATCTGAGCCTCTGGGGGAAATAAATGCATTTTTTTGTTTCCTCTCTCTGTCTTAAGATCCTTAGCCCCATCTGGTCTTCCTTCACGACTTCAAATCAATTCCCAACTCCATCTTCTACTCTCATTTTGAGACAACAATTATGGTTCTTCTTCTTCTTTTTTTTTTCTTAGTTCATGTGCTGCCAAAGCCAGCACGAGACAGCAATTATGGACAGCAGAAGCAAATCCTCTGGATTTAGAGTCAGAGTTCCACTTACTGTGTGACTTAGGCAAGTCACAAAACCTCTCTGATCCTTCTTATATTTAACTAGGAACTATTTATAAGATTCCTCATAGGTTTGCTCTGAGAATTAAGTGACTGAATAGTATTAACAAAGAACTATATATGACTTCCTCATAGGTTTGTCTTGAGAATTAAATGACTGAATAGTAGAGTACTTTGTAAGTAGGAATGCATCCAATAAGGTATGGAATGGTAATGATGGCTATAATGGCTGCCAATTGTTTCTCCCTATGCAGAATCCATCACCTCCTGTCACAACAGCATCCTGATTTTCCTTTGGAAAACTCCTCATCCTCTATCAGTCCATCTGAACTGGATGGAATAGAATGACCCCAAGCTTGAAGGGTGGGCATTTGACCTTAGGCAATTAGAACATCACTCTGACCGCCCAGGCCATAGTGAATAGTCCATGGAAGGGCCCCTGCCCCAAGCTCTGGGAATGCTAAACTGGTAGAAAGCAAGTCAGGAGTTTCAGGTGGCTATCCTGCTACGTGGAGGGGTAAAGCCTGCCTGAAAACAAAGCCAAGAGGGAAGGAAGCAGAAATGAGAGATGGAGAAAGATCCCTGACATGCAAGAAACCCTGGATGGAGCCATGCCTGGATAGACAGCAATCAAATCTATCTTAGAATTTTCAGTTACCTTAACCAGACTTCCTTGCTTTGTTTAAGCCAATATGCATTTAGTTTCTGTTGCTTTTTAATTGAAAGAATCCCAAGTAAACACAATGATGATGTTATTGATATTGATGATGGTAGTGGTGACTTTTTCCTTCAGGGATTCTGCTGAGTTACTGTTGGCCCTTAATCTAGTGATGGTTTCTGATGCTACTAACAGGCACATCATGAGTTTGATGAGTGTGTATATCACACACTGGACTCACAAAGGCCAAGAATGCTACTTGAGGGAAGGTACCTTTTTTCGCAGACGGTGCCCCAGATTCTTCTGCTGGCCAAGGAGAGCCACTCGATCCGCCTCTCATACATTCGCATAGCTCTGCTGAGCTGTTTCTGTAAATCCATAGGCCACACAGAGTGAGTGATGGATCAAAGGATGGCTGGTTAAAGGGTCTTTGGGAGAAGGTTGGCTTCTGGGGATGGGATGTCAAGGCCATGGGTATCCAGGCAGTATAACATTCCACTAAATCATTGATGAGTCTGCCACAAGACCAAGAAGTCCAAATATTTCATTGCCTCAAATGGGAGAGGAAGTAGGTCTTGCCCCAAAAGATTAGAGACTTTTGACTGGTCCCTCTCTGGAGAGCAAGGGGAGAAAGTTCTAGAAGTGCCTGGAGGCAGAGAATAGTCTCTGTTTATAGAAGGAAGTCCATCAATGGTTTGGTGTCTCCACATTCAATGATGCCTTCCTCACATTCTCTCTTCCCATACCCATATTCTGGCTGATTGGATCCATTACTAACCTGGTACTCATAGAGGAAGGGCAGGTCCACATGAACATTCTTTACTGTCCCGTCATGCCATTCAAATTGTACCATTGCCTTCTGCACTCAGGTGTGGCCAGAATGGGCAGCAGGTGAACAGAGCACATGTAAAGAATGACTGTAAGTTTAATTCGGGAACTGGGCTCTCCAAATCAGATGCATAAGAGGGAACTGGGCTTTGAGCACATCTGGGGTTGGGTTATGCCTCCCTAGTCACTGCCATGACCGGAGCTGGTGGCAGAAGACCTTCAGGACAGTGGTCCCTGAATGCACCATGCCTGACAGCAAGCCAGGCTTCCCTTCTGGGGAGGCTCTTCCAAACATCAGGGTCCTGATTATAAGATATGGCTGGAGGTTTTGTAATAGAGTTGGAGACCTTGAAGCATACTGGCCATGGGTTCCTAGGTTTGGGAACCCTGAGAGACCTTCATGAACCTTTTGAAAATCTAATTTTTCATCCTCTACCAAGTTGTCATATCCATCCACCTGGTCATTCATCAATCCACTGCTACAGTGATCTATCCCACTTCCCTTTCGTTCTTCCATCTTTCCATTGACATTTCTCTTCACCTATTATTCTAGCCTTTCATTTCTCCATCCTTTCATTGTACTTTTTAATCTTTTCATCCTTTTTAGTTCTGTCATTCATCCTTCTACTTTCCCCTCCATATTTCCATCCATCCATCCATCACCTATCCAATCATCCATCCATCCATCCACCCTTTTATCTATTCATTCATCGCCATTTCTTTCTATCCATCCATCCATTCATTCTTCTTTTCCTGCTTTTTTCTATCCTTCCTTCTACTCAGTTAGCCCTGCGAGGAACATTCATTGGCTGCTTACCTGTATTAGATATTGGGGATACAGGGCTGGAGAAGAGTTTGTCTTTTTTTTAAAATGTCTTTTTTGAGAGAGAGAGAGAGAGAGAGAGAACGCACAAGTAGGGGAGGAGCAGAGAGAGAAGGAGACAGAATCTGAAGCAGGCTCCAGGCTCCGAGCTGTCAGCACAGAGCCCGATGTGGGGCTCAAACTCACAAACTGCGAGATCATGACCTGAGCCGAAGTTGGATACTCCACTGAATGAGCCACCCAGGCACCTCGAGAGTTTGTTCTTTTAAAGGCTCATACACCAGTGGGGGTTTAGACATATACACATATCAACACATTACAAGAGCTGGAGCAGAGCTGTACCAGGTACAGTGAGGACACAAGGGGAGCAAGTGTGTTCTGAGCGCAGAGAGGAAAACCTTCAAGGAGGAGGTGACTAGAGTACCTGACTTTCTCCCTCTTGTCCCATCTCTCAAGGTTCATTTTTCAAATCTTTTTTTTTTTTTTTTACATATAGTTTATTGTCAAGTTGGTTTCCATATAACGCCCTCATTTTTTAAATCTTTGCAAAACAGCAGTTGGAGTAGATCTGATGAGAGATCTAGAGTCCGGGGTGGAAAGCCTGCATCCTACTCCAGACCCTCAGACCTCTGCTCCCTGTGATCTGACTGATGACTCTTACTTNAAAAATCGAAGCTAAAATCCTTTATAACATTCATGGGATGGTTGTAAATCTGATTAGTTTGTGGGTATTTGATATTGAAAAATTGTTTTAAGATTTAATGGTATTAAGATATAATGGTATTTGTGTGTGTCATTTATTTTGTTTTTAAAGAATTTTTTTTTTAATGTTTTTATTTATTTCTAGGAGAGAGAGAGAGAGACAGCGTGAACAGGGGAGGGTCAGAGAGAGAGGGAGATACAGACTCTGAAACAGGCTCCAGGCTCTGAGCTGGCAGTCAGCACAGAGCCCGACACGGGGCTCGAACCCACGAACCGCGAGATCATGACCTAAGTGAAAGTCGGACGCTTAACCGACTAAGACATCAGGCGCCCCTGATGACTCTTATTTCTTGAACATTTAAGAAGGGAAATGTCACAAAGGAGCTCCCCTGCAGAAGACTGAAGAGAACTTGGACTGTGAGTTACCTCATAGATAGATGAAGACACAGTTTTCTGGAGAATAGGCACAAATTCCTCCACGGGAGAAAATGCGTTGGGTGCCAGAACCTGATAAAGGCTTAGCTTTTTGGCTGTAAAAATAAATAGTGAGTTTTGAGGTACAACTCGGAGCCCCAGAGGGTTCATGCCATTTAGTCAGTCACCTGAGCCCTGGGTTCTGCCCTCAATGGGGACTTACCTTTTAGGCCATTGATCTTTAGCCATTCTGCAGAAGTCTTGTCCAAGTTTGGGAACTCAATTGTGAGGGGACCCTCATGCTTTGGGGGTTTACGCAAGAGACCTGTGAGTGGCCCTTTTGCAATCTCTGTGGAAATCTAAATTAAATTTAAAAGCCCTCATTACAATATCATATTTTAGAGCCAGGAAGTCCTTAGTCTCCCCAACCCACCCCAGTTCCCGTGAGTGGAGAGCATCTGAACATATTATCTGGTAAATTAAGGCAATTCTGCCTTCCCCTCCCTCCATCCCCATCCCCTTCTCTGGAGATTGCTAGAATTTCCAGAGTAAGAAGATGTCCCCAGAAACTTGCTTCATCTTTGATTTTTCTGTCATCTTCGTCCCTTCCCCACCCTTACCATCAAGATCAGCACCTTGGGCTCCAGGATGACAGACAGCCCCTCCATGGGCTCTTAACACAAGGCTTCGAAGAAGTAAAAAGTAATTCCCACACCAGACCATTTCAGGGCCCTGATCTAGCCCAGTTTCTCCTTGCCCACATATAAAAACTGAACACCTGAGGTTCTGAGATACTAAGTCATAACTCATGTATAAATAAGACACAGAACAGCAATTTTCACACTTTGGACACTTGAGCACTGCCTTCATGAATTTTGCTGTATCTGAAATATCACTGTACTGTTGTTTAGAAGTTTTTTAAAATTTTATTTTAAAGTAATCTCTATACATAATGTGGGGCTCGAACTCACAACACTGAGATCAAGAGTCACATGCTGCTCTGATGGAGCCAGCCAGTCGCCCCAAAACAGCTCATAGCTTTGATGGTGCTGCATCCATGAGTTGGCCACGTGATTTTGCTAATGTTACAGTAACAAAGTCACCAGGCAGGTGCCTTTGTGCTGAATGCCAAAGACTGCCTTCAAGATGGCCCACTCTGTGTGGCTGAGGTTTTTATCCTTCTCCACATTGGGAGGAAGGGAAGGGACAGTGATAGATGGGATGGGTGGCAGGAGCCTACTGGCCTTTCTCTGAAATCAATTTTTCACCTAGAAAATCCATCAGGATCCTTCCAGCACCGGGGAAGGCCCACCCAGCTCAGGACTGTCAGGTACAGCAGAGGGCACAGCTTTGCCTTGTTTTCCTTTCAGCACACGGGGGCCTCAGCAGCCGTGCCCTCAGAGAGACAGGTGAGAAAGGAGAACGGAGTGAGGCCAGCTCCAGAATCTTCACCCATGCCACCTACCTCCGTCATCATGCCCGTTAGCTCCTCACAAGGGGTCCTGTTGTGCAAGGCTTGGATGTGGCTCAGGAGGCTCTGGGCCTTCTGGATTTCTGCCAGGATCTGGTCCATGTCCCAGCTGGTACAGACCTGGGGTAGTGGGAGTAACAGCCATTAGAGGTCACTGGCTACTAGCAGTGGCCAATGCAAGGCAAGCAGTCATGTCATTCTGAAGCTGAGTGGAGGACTGTTTAAACCAGACATTATCAAGCAGGGTTCATTCGGGCGCCTGGGTGCTCAGTCAGTGAAGGGTCCAACTTCAGCTTAGGTTATGACCTTGTGGTTCATGAGCATTGGGCTCTGTACCAGCAATGCAGTGCTTGGGACTCTCTCTGCCTCTCTCTCTGCCCCTTCCCCACTTGTGCACCCTCTCTAAAAATAAGCAAATAAACTTAAAAAACAAAACAAAACTAGGGTCCATGTGCTAGATACAGCCTGCAGATGTGTTGTGTTCCATTTCTATGGCATTGGTCTACAGTGTTTTGGTTTTTTTTTTTTTTAATTTTTATGTTTATTTTAGAGAAAGACAGAGTGTGAGCAGGGGAGGGGCAGAGAGAGGGAGATGCAGAATATGAAGCAGCTCCAGGCTCTAAGCTGTCAGCACAGAGCCCAACACAGGGCTCAAACTCACATAGCACGACATTGCACTCAGAAATTTAATAGACTGAGCCACCCAGGTGCCCCCGAAGTGTTTTTAAATAACTGAAGGGTTTTTTTTTTTTTTAATGTTTTTTTTTTTTAATTTATTTCTAGGGGAGAGAGAGAGAGAGAGAGCAGGGGAGGGTCAGAGAGAGAGGGAGTCACAGACTGAAACAGGCTCCAGGCTCTGAGCTGGCAGTCAGCACAGAGCCCAACGCGGGGCCCGAACCCACGAACTGCAAGATCATGACCTAAGCGAAAGTCGGACACTTAACCGACTAAGCCACCCAGGCGCCCCAAATAACTGAAGGGTTTTCTAACCTTAAAGACATGAAGAACACTTTACACCCACTGGGCTGGCTACACACATAATTTAAAAAGGACTTGAACAAACACTGGTGAGGATGTGGAGAGCTGGTGCCCTGTGCACTGCCGGCGGGGGCCAGGGGGGTGTAAAATGGTGCAGCTTCTGTGGAAACCAGTTTGGAGGTTCCTCAAAGAATTGGACACAGAATTACCACATAACCCAGCTTTTCCACTTGTAGTTATATAATGCAAAATAGTTGAGAACAGGAACTCAGAGACTTGTACACCAATGTTCACAGCAGTTCAGAACAGCCCATCCCATCAGGGATGGAGACAACCCAAATGTCCATCAACTGATGAATGGATAAACAAAAGGTGGTACATCTAGAAAATGGAATATACTTCAACTGTGAAAAAGAATGAAGTTCTGAGACAAGCTACAACATAGATGAACCTTGAAAGCATTACACTAACCAGTTGGTTAAGCTTCTGACTTTGGCTCCACACATGGTCTCACTGTTCATGGGTTTGAGCCCTGCATTGGGCTCTGTGCTGACAGCTCAGAGCCTGGAGCCTACCTCAGATTCTGTGTCTCCCTCTCTCTCCACCCTTCCCCTGCTCACACTCTTTCTCCTCTCAAAAACAAAAATTAAAAAAAAAAAAAAAAAAAGAAAATCTTATGCTGAAAGAAGACAGACACAAAAGGTGTATGATTCCATTTATATGAAATATCCAGAATAGGTGAATCCATAGAGACGGGAAGCAGATTGGTGGTTTCCAGGGGCCATGGGGGAGGGGAGAGAAGGAGGAACTGCTTAATAGGTATAGAATTTTCTTCTGGGGGGATGAAAACATCTTCTGGGTAAAATTGGTGGTTGCACAACATAGTGAAAGTACTAAGAGCTTCTAATTGTTCACCTTTTTAAAAAATTTATTTGTTTATTTATTTTGAGAGAAAGCGAGAGGGGGAGAAGGGCTGAGAGAAAGAGAGAATCCCAAGCAGGCTCTGCACTGTCAGTGGGGAGCCCAATGTGTGGCTCGAATTCATGAACTGTGAGATTGTGACCTGAGCCAAAATCAAGAGTTGGATAGTCAACTGACTGAGCCTCCCAAGTACCCCTAATGGTTCACTTTATGTTATGAGTTTCAACTCCATTTTTAAAAAATGTAAAGGAGTCCTACATATATACAAATCCAGATTTCTGGCTCTTGAAAAATCGGAAGACCTGGCAGCACTGGGGTCACTTTCCTCTAGAGCAACAACTGGCTGGGGCTGAGCAGAGGTGCCTCTCTAGACGGGGCATCCACTGCCTAGTCCTCCAAGCCCCACCCACTCTCTGCTGCCCCCCACCCCCATCCGAGTCAGCTGTAGGGTTTATACTATCCTTCTACTGTTATTTTGCTCATATTAAAAGAAGACAGGGGCATCTCAGTGGCTCAGTCCTTTAAGCCTCCCACTCTTGATTTCGGCTCAGGTGGTGATCTCATGATCAGATCAAGCCCCACATCGAGCTCTGTGCAGATAGCGTGGAGTCGGCTTGGGATTCTCTCCCTCTTTCTCTCCTTCTCTCAAAAATAAATAAACTTAAAAAAAAAAAAAGCTGAAGACAATGAAATTTGTTGTACCCATATCTCTATCAAGAGCAGAAAAACAACAGAGAAGCCAAGAGGGCTATGGGTATTAAGATAAAAGATTTCTTTATTTTAAAGTTTGTTTGTTTATTTATCTATTTAGAGAGAGTGAGTGCCTGACACAGGGCTAGATCTTATAAACTGTGAGATCATGACCCAAGTTGAAATTAAGAGTCAGATTCTTTTTTTTTTTTTTTATGTTTTATTTATTTCTGAGAGAGAGAGAGAGAGAGAGCGCAGGAGCAGAGGAGGGTCAGAGAGAGAGGGAGACACAGAATCTGAAACAGGCTCCAGGCTCTGAGCTGGCTGTCAGCACAGAGCCCGATGTGGGGCTCGAACCCACGAACTGTGAGATCATGACCTGAGCCGAAGTCGGATGCTTAACCGACTAAGCCACTCAGGCGCCCCAAGAGTCAGATTCTTAACCAACTGAGCCACCCAAGCACCTGTCTATTTTTTTTTTTTAAGATTTTATTTTTAAGTAATCTCTACACCCGACATGGAGCTTGAACTCACAAGAGTCACATGCTCCACCACGTGAGCTAGCCAGGTGGCCCAAGATAAAAGATAAAGGATAAACCAGCCAGTTTCATTCATTTACTGTACCTTCCTAGCCCCTGTAGTCCATGGCCTCAACAAACAGTCTGGGAAGTGACAGAAATGACATAACCAGAAGGGGTGTTACCCAAGGAAAATGTTGCCTGACCTTGGCTCCTTGGTGTGAAATGCTAGACATTGTGACACTTGAACACTGTGAGATGTGAATATTCATTTGCTTATGGCTATTCATGGTTATAGGCAAGATACAGCCTGTTAGCTGAACAGACAGTTGGATTCTCAATCTGCCAAACAGGTCCACACACACATTTGCTAATTGTTATCTCCATTGTGGACACGTGGCACTAATGGATGGATTGTTACAGAACTGATCGTTCACCCATAATTGATGCTGCGGGTCCCCTGCAGTAGCAAGGATGTATCTTGGAGAAAGACCTGAGGCAATTGATTCAGACTCACAGCTTTGATGGGAGGGAGCAGAGGTGGGGTGGGGCCCACGTTGTTGGTGACCGGATAGAGATTTGGGATTCTACCATCTAGGCTTTAAAAGGCCTCCAGGCACACCGGTGCACAATCAACTCATCATGCACGCTGAGCAAAGGATCTCCTGTGACTTCACACTGTCCCTGTTATTCCCACATATTCATCTTAACCTGATTATACCGAAGGTGATGGTGGGGGAGGGAGGCAAGTATGCAGCATACTCTGTCCTGGCCCAGATCCCCCAGGGACAGCCTTAGAGGCAAGCAGGGAGGGAGGAGAGGGGCACAGCGTGTTGACAGAAGGGCTTACCTCGGTCTCTGTGCTGTAGCAGTGGTAGTAGCCTCCAAGAGCTTCTGCAAGGTTCTTTAGGACAGCCTGTGGGGGGTGGAGACAGGGTCAGCCCTCTGTAGGGCGACGCCAGTAGTCTGACAAAGCTTCTCCTTGACTGAACTTCCCAACTGCCCCAAGGAAGAACTAGGTGCAAGGAGAGTTGTTTTCTGGTCCGTAGCGTGTGAGAGGGTCCCTGTCCACGTACAGAGCTTCCAAGGGTGGCCCAGCTAGCTCACTATGGCCAACCCAAGGGAGACATTGGAGAATCCCGGGTACTTACAGGGGGCACCTGATTGCTGCATTTGTAGGTGATGAAGTGGGTGATGAGGTCCCGTCCCATGGTGGACTGTTGGATGTAGTCGGACAGAATTTCAGAAGGCTGATCTGGGCTGGGGAGAAGACAGACAAAGAAAAAGGGATGCCCCAAGTCAAACCACTTTGAGGACCATCCAGAGAAAACGGGAACATCTACCAAATCGAGCTGATGACATGTGTCCCAGGTCACTTGGGGAAGGCATGGGGAGGAGTGGGCTGTAGGACTGGCCTGCCCTGGCTGCCCCCTGCCTTGACGCCTGTGGACGGGTGGCCTGTAAACGAAATCCTTCTCTCGAGCATGTGTGAAGAGTCATGCTTGATGGTCTTTCCTCAAACAATGGATTGGTTCTCCAGCCCCCTTGATGTGGTCTGTTACTCACATAGGAAAGTAGACCTACCAGCTGCCCATTATGGTCACCAGAGAATTCAGCCCCTTCAGAGTGAAGATTTTCCTCAGAGCTTGTAGCAGATTGCCACCCTCATCAGGCTGGAGCTTCTTCACCCAGAGCTTGAGTTCCTGGAGACTGCATAGACAACAAACACCTAAACACGGCGTTCTTCAGAGTGCCAGGCCCAGGACAAACACAAGCTCATTTCAGACTAATTCTTTTCTTTTTAAATTTTTTAAGTTTAGGGGCACCTGGGTGGCTCAGCTGGTTAAGCGTCTGACTTCAGCTCAGGTCATGATCTCACGGCTCATGTGTTCAAGCCTCACGTCAGGCTCTGTGTTGACAGCTAGGAGCCTGGAGCCTGCTTTGGATTCTGTGTCTCCCTCTCTGTCTGCCCCTCTCCTACTCATGCTCTGTCTCCCTCTCTTTCAAAAATAAATAAATAAATATTTAAAAATAAAATTAATTTTTAAGTGTATTTATTTATTCATTTTTTGAAAGAGAGAGAGAGAGTGCACAAGCAAGGGAAGGGCAGAGAGAGGGGGAGAGAGACAGAATTCCTAGCAGGCTCTGCACTGATGGTGAGATGTGAGACTTGAACTCATGAACTGTGAGATCATGACCTGAGCTGAGATCAGAGTCAGAGGCTTAACCGACTGCGTACCCCAGGCACCCCAGACTAACAATAATTCTTGAGGTGGATACCTTTATTCCGATTTTATAGACGAGAAGACTGAGTTAGGACTTGCCCAAGGTGATCCTGTAAGCAACTGGCAACACTGGGATTTCAAACCACGTCTGACTCTAGGACCTGAGGTTCAAGCAACTCTGCCCATCAGAGGGTCTGGGCTAAGTTCCTTCTCCCCCACCCTGCCATACAGCCCACAATCCAAGTGCAGGGTGAATGCTTGAACCCTAGGAGCACTCCCACAGTAGGTACTGTGGCTGTGTGGCCGCATCTCATGTGGACTGGGATACACTCCAGCCCTAAGAGGGAAGAAGACATGAAGCAGTGCTGTCTCCATTAAATACCTCACATGGCACCAGTGAGAGAGTTCTGCTCTTTCCGTTTCTCTTTGATCAAAAAAAATAAATAAATAAAAACAAGAAAAATAAAAATAAAATAAAAAACTTCAACTCGTAGCTAGTAAGTCTGTCTTTCATTATTATAAGTGTTGAATCTCCCTTTTAAACAAAGGGAGATGGGCGCCTGAGTGGCTCAGTCGTTTGAGCATCTGACTCGATTTTGGCTCAGGTTCATGAGTTCAAGCCCATGCATTGGGTTAAGCACTGACAGTGTGGAACCTGCTTGGGAGTCTCTCTTTCTTTTTCTCTCTTTCTCAAAATAAACAAGTAAACCAAAAAATAAATAAACAAAGGGAAAGCAAATCCCAGGCCTACTGTCTTCTCTGGCCGATAGGTTTCAATTTGGAATTTAATATTATTGTTTAGTTTGCTTTTGTTGTATTTATTTTATGGCTGCATTCTAATTATAGCAAGTGATATGGGCTTCGTGGTTATAGTACTGATCGTTTTGTTCAATAATCCATGTAAAGTTGATGTTTTAAAATAGGACATGTGGCAGAGATGTGACATAAATCACAGGAGTCGTTCAGCAATGACTGAAGTTGAAAAGTTCTTGTCTATGACCTCATGGTTACTTCCAGGTCTAACATTCCAGAGATTGCCGTCTAACTGGAGTGGCAACCACAGCAAAAAAAAAAAAAAAAAGGTCTCATTCACTGAGTGTCTGCTACCTGCCAGATACTTATCCCTCATTTCACGTTCACAAGAGTTCAGTGAGGGATCGGTATCTCTGACCTCACCCTGCTGAAGAGAGTTGAAGGACTGGTCAAGGTCATCTGCTCTGGGCTTTGGCAGCCAATCCTGACTCTGCTACTTTAGGCACGTGCCCTAACCTGAGTCCCATTTTTCATTGGCAGATTGGGAATAAGAATCCTATTCCAAGTACTGGTCCTAAGTATTAAATAAGATAGTATATGCAAAGTACTCAGCATGGCACCTAACATGTGGGGGGCCATCAAGGATATTCTCTTCATGGAAAAGACATTTTTATCTACTGGCATAAGTAAGGAGAAATTCTTACACATCTTCCTTTTCCCCCCTTTAGGCTCCCCGCCAAAACCCCAAACTAGAAGCTTCCAAGTAAAGGACTAGCATAGTACATTTACCCAGTGGTATACCATGTAGCCATTAAAAAAGAATAAGGTTGAGGGTGCCTGGGTGGCTCAGTTGGTTAAGTGTCTGAGTCTTGATTTTGGCTCAGGTCATGATCTTATGGTTTGTGAGATCAAGCCCCACATCTGTCTCCCCGCTGTCAGTGCAGCATCTGCTTGAGATTCTCTCTCTTCCTCTTTTTCTGCCCCTTCCTCACTCACATGTACTCACAGTTTCTCTCTCTCAAATATAAATTTTAAAAATAATATTAAATAAATAATAACACTAAAAAATAATAAGGTAGATCTGTGTGTACTGAGAGAGAATGCTGTTCAAGATTAAGTGCAAAGTCAAAGTGCAGGACAGTGTAATGCACTCCTGTTTATTAATAAGCACACTGATGCACATATGTGGCCAACTGTGGACGTAGGTAGAAGAAACAGTTATTGGGAGGTGACAGAAATTCTGCTATTATTTATCCTTTTATGCTGTTTGAATTTTTTAATGTTTATTTTTGAGAGAGAGAGAGGGGGTGGCACAGAGAGGGAGGGAGATACAGAATCTGAAGGAGGCTCCAGGCTCTGAGCTGTCAATGCAGAGCCCAGTGCAGGACTTGAACCCATAAACTGTGAGATCATGACCTGAGCCGAAGTCGATGCTTAACTGACTAAGCCACGCAGACAAACTCCATACTGTCTGAATTTTTAAAAAATGAACATGTATTATTTTAAAAATAACAAAATGATCTTTGCTAGTTGGCTGGAGAAAATAGCACCTTGTGATTGTCTTGTCTTTTCATTTTGTGGATTGCTCATGACGCTGGCCGCTTTTCCAAAGATTACTGGTCCCTGGGCTTTTGCTCTGTGAATTGACTCTTCGTACTCACTGACTTGTTGGGGTCTTGGGTTTGCAATGTGCTCATTCACAAAAGACACTACCACATAGGGAGGAAAATGAACAGCAAACAATCTGGCCAAGGCGGGGTAGTTACTCACGTGGAGGGGCTGACTTCCACGGGGTCTGGCCAGAGGGCGCTGGTGGTGGTGCCGAAGGACAGGACATACAGCTTCTCCTTGTGGCTCAGCTGCTCATCAATGAGGCTCTGACAGACAGAGGGATATCACTGACTCCCGGAGCTGTGGGCCACATGGAGCCTGACTTCACTCCCCATGCCGGGGCTGCCCACTGTTGGCTGGGGTGTGAGCTGTGCTGGGACAGGGCCACTTAGTGGCCCCAAGCTGGCATTTGCTTCCTGCCCACTGAGTTGCATGGACATGTGGAATGAGTGGCCCTGGTGACCCATCCCAGCCTGTCTGCATGGTGGAGGCAGGGCACTGGCCTCAGCCTGTAGATCAGCACACCGCCCTGGTAGTCTGTGTCCTGATTCATTTCCAGTGACTGTATACTAATGTCTTCTGGTTCATCTCATCATGTTTGTCATACTTTCGTTTCATGTAATATGGGGGGGGGGGGGGTTTGAGCATCTTGGTTATTGATCTCGGCACGAGCTATGGTTGGACCCTACACTGTGGCACCCAGAAAGGGGAGACAGAGGTCAGGGGCAGTGGTTTCTCGCCAAAACACAGTGACTATGCAATGGGCACAATGCCAGCCTGTTTGATGCTCTCAAGCTATAGCCGATGAATCCCCAGCAGTAAGATAGCTCCCCCTCTTCTTCCTGGCTACCCAGAATTTCATCCGTATGTCACCAACATGACCCTTGCCCTGGCTAATATTCCACCAGCTCACCTGGGGGATCTTTAGAAATTCAGCCCCGGGGATGTGTCATGAAGGCATCTGCACTGTTTCCTGACATCCACTGAGCCCAGGAACAAGGGATAATTCTGGACAATGAGTCCATATTGAACCCTAATAAAAGTCCTTGAACTGACTACTGCTTCCAAAGTTCTAGAGGTTCCCATAAGAAAATAGCCTCTCGACATTAGTTCACAGAGGCTACAGAGGTTTTTTTCCATGCCAGACTTTGTACCGAGCACTTAACTCGAGTGAACTCCTTTCATCCTATGGCAACCCCATCAGGTGGCCACTGTTATCTTCCACATTTTACAGATGAGGTAACCTAGGTACAGGGAGATTAGGTAGCAGGGTCACAGCCTCCAAGTGTCAGAGGTGGCTAGAACTTGAGCCCAAGTCATCTAACTCTGGAGTTCTTAGCTTCTTTGTTATGGACGATGCCAAAGCAAACAGCTCTTGGGTGCAGAAAAGGCCAGGAGACTGAGGCTATGTTATGCTGGGGTCAGTCCAGTTGATTAGTCTTCCCGCCCTCTTTCCAGGGAACAGGGAGCTCTTCTGGCAAATTCTCACTAGAGGGGACTGCTGTGGTAAGAACATGAGAAGCTCATACTGGAGCTGAAAAGGACTCCATGGTTGGGTTTCGCAGAACATATAACCATATAACGATAGGTAGGTGCTAATTAAGTGTGAACTGTTCTTTGCAAAACATCTCATTTTGCAGTTGCTATAAAGGAAGCCAAGGAGCAAGTTCACAACAGGGAAGGGGTTAAAGGAATGTTACCAGGTACTTCTCTGTGCCAGAGAGACTTACCAGGAGGTCGTTTTGGAATGCCTCTTTCTGAGGACCACTGCCAATGGCAGACACATCAATGATGATGCCGACTCTGGCTCCCTTGATGAGGCCAAATGCCTAAAACCAAAGAGGGCGTGTGGAAATAGCCAGCACAACTCTGCTTCTCTGAAGCCTCTCACTGGGCATCTCTGCATGATGCAGACGTTGGAACATACCCCCGACCACAAAAAGCAGCAGAAGGCAGGCCCATTTTAAAGAGGAAAAAGCAAGACTTGACATCTTGATCTGGGCAGTATGTGCTCCTATCTCCTGGCAGCCTACTCTTTACAAGTGTTTTTTCCTTCGCGTCTACTCTTATAAAGTAACGCATGTCCATTAAATTTGGAGACCAGAGAAAAGTGTCCTTTGTAAGATATAAAATCGGATATCTAATTCCATCAGCTGATTTTATTCCATTTCTCTAGCTCCTTATTTATTTTTCGCCCACTCTTCCAATCAAAGGCAGATGTGTCAAGCTCGCCGGCTGCCATGGTATTTCTGTGAGTTTCTAATTCTGTTTCTTTTTTTTTTTTTTTTTTTTTTTTTATTTTTTTTTTTAATGTTTTTACTTATTTCTAGGAGAGAGAGAGAGAGACAGCGTGAACAGGGGAGGGTTAGAGAGAGAGGGAGACACAGACTCCGAAATAGGCTCCAGGCTCTGAGCTGGCAGTCAGCACAGAGCCCGACGCGGGGCTCGAACCCACGAACCGCGAGATCATGACCTAAGCGAAAGTCGGACGCTCAACCGACTGAGCCACCCAGGCGCCCCATTCTAATTCTGTTTCTAACGGCTCTCGCATTCAATATGCCAATGCGGTCTGACTCTGCCTCAGACTTCATCCTGGTACAGCTGCATCATGAACTGGGATTTTCATTCATATGAAACCGCTAGTTCTCTGGGGGCAGTGGGTTCCATTTGATGTTTTTGGCCTGAAATCTCACTTTTCTGCGTGCCCAATTTTCCTGTTTGACTTACTTCTGCTCTCAGAGAGGCGTATTTTAGATCTCTCACACCCCAACATTTCCTTTCTATACTCCCTCAGAAAGTGATTTTTGCCTCCGATTTCACTGAGACAAGAGAAATGAACCAGAGTTTGGTTTTGTTTGTTTAAGTTATTTTTTATTTTATTCTTTTTTAAGTAATCCCCACACCCAATGTGGGGCTTAAACTCGTGACCCTGAGATCAGGCATCACATGCTTCACTGACTGAGCCAGCCAGGGGCCCCTGTTCTGTTTCATAATGTTTTACTTATTTCTGAGAGAGAGAGAGAGAGAGAGAGAAAGAGCATGATCAGGGGAGGGTCAGAGAGAGAGGGAGACACGGAATCAGAAACAGGCTCCAGGCTCTGAGCTGTCGGCACAGAGCCCAACGTGGGGCTCGAACCCACGAACCGTGAGATCATGACCTGAGCCGAAGTCGGACGCTAAACCGACTGAGCCACCCAGGTGCCCCAGCCCTGTTTTGTTTTTTAATCTTTCCATGCTTGCCTGCCCCTCTTTGCCCACACACTTCAGCTTTCCCCTTGTTACAATGTATCTATGGCAACTACCAAAGCTCCCAAGGCCAACCCTGTGGCTCCCATTACTGGCTCATCTTTTGTCAAATCGGGACTTTGCTACTGTCACCATCCCTTCTCCTGGACCCCCAGTTCCTCCTTGTCTGTTGTACCATTTCCATCACCATACAAATACGCTGTACTATTGCCCATTGGAAAAAGGAAATAAACCTTTCAGGACCCCACCTCTCCCTTCTGCTTACCCCCTACCCCCGCATTTCTCTGCTTCCTGTTTTAGAGTTGCTTCTTTACCCCCCATTTCTCTACGACCCCCTCATATTAGGCTGTCACCTCCTTGCTCCCCTGAACCACACGTGACAAGGTGATCAATGAGCTCACTCTTGCCAGACCCAATGGTCAAATGTAAGTTCTCTGCTTTATCCAGTTCTGAGTGCCATAGGACACCATTTGGCTGTGTCAAGAATGTGACAAGTTGAAGTACTTAATAAATACACTTGTCTTGTAGGCCGTCACATTTTCCTGTTTTTTCTTCCACTTGCTGGCCAGTTCTTCTTACCCTCCCCCCTCTCCTCCCAAAGTCTAAATAGGGGACTGTCCTGAGAACTTGCTAGATGTAAAATCTCAAGTCCCACCCTATACTTGCCTAATTAGAGTCTGCATTTTAACAAAATCTGCCCTCCTCCACTACCAAAAGAGATCTGGCTTCCATAAAAGTTTGAGAAGCACAGGGTTAGGGATCCATCCTCCTTTCTCTTCCTTATCTACACCAGGGTTTGTCAAACCCCGAACTTTTGACATTTTTAAAAAATGTTCATCTGATGGGGTGCCTGGGTGGCTCAGTCGGTTAAGCGTCCAACTTCAGCTCAGGTCAGATCTCACGGTTCGTGGGTTCAAGCCCTGCATCAGGCTCTATGCTGACAGCTCAGCACCTGGAGCCTGTTTTGGATTCTGTGTCTCCCTCTCTCTCTGTCCCTCCCCCACTCATGCTCTGTCTCTGTCTCAAAAATAAATAAACTATAAAAAATTTTTTTTTAAATGTTCATTTGATAAAGATCAAAGGGGGAAGGGGCAGAGAGAGAGAGGGAGACAGAGAATCCCAATCAGCTCCAGGCTGTCAGCACAAAGCCCGACATGGGGCTTGAATCCTGAACTGTGAGATCATGACCTTAGCCAAAATCAAGAGTTAGATGCTTAACCGAATGAGCCATGCAGGCGCCTCCTAAACTAGAGACAGTTTGAGCTGGACAACCCCTGTTGTGGGGAGCAGACCATACATTGTAGAATGTTCAGCAGCTTCTCTGGCAAGCCGCACTCTCAGCCTGGACAACGAACCATTTCTCCAGACCACACCAAATGTCCCCTGGGGTGGACTGAGGGGGACAAAATCACCCCCCCATTAAGAACCGCTGTTTTGCACTCATCCCCTATATGATCTCCCGTGTCTCAGGGATGTGAATACCATTTGTACACTGATGATAATCCAGGAGGCAGGGCTCTCCTGCAGCTCCAAACATGTGCATTCAACTGCCCCCTTGTGTCTCTGCCCAACTGTCCCGCAAGCCTCTCAGACTCCATGCGCTGAAACCAAGACCTCTTGATTTTCCTCCTCACACCTGGTCCTCTCGTGAACAGCCTGGAACACACCCCCAGCCACTCTGACCCCAAGCCCAGGCAGTCCATCAGCCTTGCCAGGTCTACCTCCAAGCTAAGCCCTGAGTCCACCATTTCTCATTCCATCCACCTGAGTCCTTGAGCCTAAGACACCATCATTCTGACCTGGTCTTTGTTCTCTATGATCAATTTATGAAGCAGCAACAATGACTTTTTTGAAACTTGTCAGATCATGTCACTTCCCTGCTTAAAACCCTCACCTATGGAATAAGATCTGAACCCTGCAAGGACATTCCTGATTTGAGCCTCATCTCCTCCCCTTCTCCACGTTGTTCACTCTGTGCTTGCTGCACTGGCCTGCTTGCTGCTTCTAGAACATGCTAAGCCTGTTCTTGTCTTAGAGCCTGGGCATTTGCTGTTTCCACTGCCTGGAACATTCTCCCCTAGATGTCTACATGGGAATGGCCTCATTTCCTTCAGGTCAGTTGTCTGTTCAAATGCCTCCTCCTTGACCATTGTATTTAAATAGCCCTCCTTTGGAATCCCTGGGTGGCTCAGTTGGTTAAATGTCTGAGTTCAGCTCAGGTCATGATCTCACAGCTCTTGAGTTCAAGCCCCGTGTTGGGCTCTACGATGGTAAGGAGAAGTCAGCTTCAGATTCTCTGTCTCCCTCTCTCTGTCCCTCTCCTCTTTCCCCTATATCAAAAATAAACAAACATTTAAAAGAAGCACAGCCCTCCTTCATTCCTACTCTCGACTCCCTTACTTTGCTTTACTTCTCTTTAAGTACTGTCATTAACTTGATCTTGCATGTGATTTGCTAAATTATTCATTGTCCTCTTGCACTGGACTATAATCTCTGTGAAGGAGGGACCTTCATATTGGTCACGCTTCTAACCCTTAATTCTGGACCAGTGCCCAATACAAAGTAATCCTCCAATCAGTATTTGCTGAACTCATGACCCAGATGAGGTCTGAGGCCTCTAACATACTACCAATCCTCAGGGGCCAAAAGGAGCTCAAATCTAGAGCCAGTTCTATTCCTTTTAAAATTTAAGGAAACTGCCTTTAGAGCTTTTATCATTGAAAACGTTCATTCTCTTACACTTATAGCCATTGGAATTCTAGATGTTTTCCTGTGGAAATAACTGGATAAGTACTTAAGACGGAATTGGAGCCTGGTGATGCTAGGTATTCCCATTTTTCAAGAGAGGGCTAAAAAACAGACATAAACATGAAACAACAGAATTTTCAATCTTGGCAACTAACTTAAGAAACATTTTAAACTGTGTGGGCCAAGAAAAGCATGGCTGTGGGCCAGATTTGTCAGCATGCCACTTATTTTAAGCCATAATATCCTCCATAAATATGGAAACAGACACCTAGAGAAGTGAGGCCACTTGCCCATGGCCTTGCTGACAGTAGTCAGGAAGTGGGCCCAGTGCTGGCCTATCCAGCAACCCGGGCTGCCTCAGCACCCAGAGAACCCACGAATTGGTTTAGGGGTGATTGCTTCCCTGGGATCCAATCTGGGCTTATTTCATGGTTCCTCTGTTGCTCCATCAGAAAAGGGTACAGCAGGGCCACCTGGGAGGGGTCAGTGGGTTGAGTGTCCAACTTCAGCTCAGGTCATGATCTCACAGTTCGTGAGTTTGAGCCTGATGCTCACTGCTGTCAGCACGGATCCTACTTCAGATCCTCTGTCTCCCCACCTCTCTCTGCCCCTCCTACTCACACTCTCCCTCTCAAAAATGAATAAACATTAAAAAAGAAAGAAAAAAGGTACAGGAAAAAAGGGTCTGGCAATCCCTGCCTCCTTTGTCAAAAGGGCTAGGATAGGTGAAATGGGGGTGAGGAGGTGTGCAGAGCATTCCCTGAATGGATGTTTTTGGAGTATGTGAAGGTTTCATCCCTCAGGGTTTTCTCTGCCTGTGTTATCAAGTGCAACCAGAGGGGCCATGCCAAAGCTGGATTCATGCATCCACTGACCAATCTAAGTGGGTGAAGAAGGCTCTGGATCTGAAATGTAGATGACACCAGGGAATCGGCTGTGACAAGCAGCCTCAGCACTATGTTGTCACCTACTGGTCTTGTGTAGGGGTGGGGGTTGGGAGCAGGGAGCACGAATTTCAGCATCTGCCTGTCCCAGGGTTAAAGCAAGAATTGAGGATTACCTAAAATGAAGCAAATGGTGAGCCAGTAATGTATCAGCGGGAGGAAAACAGGTGGACACAAATAAGAAAGCAAAACAAAGGTTAATTTGCCCATGATCACTTTTCAACTCTTTGGGTCTGAGGAAAGCATTTATTCAAACTTCCCAGAGAAGTTATGTCCAGATGATCAGCCTTAGTCATGACTTGAACTGTGGGTCTGAAGTTAAATGGCTTAGGGGAACATCTGTTGTTTTCACCTGTCCAGGATCCATTTCCTCTTCTGGTAACAGCACTCTGGCTTTCCATGTGCTACCACGTGTCCCCCTTTCTCAGTCTATGAGGTTTGGGGGTACATACCCAATCTCCCTGCATGTCCCCCACCTTCTAGTTCCAGGTCTAGCCAGTTAGCATATCTCACCCCTTGGCTACGGTGATGATCTAAATTGGCCCAGAGAGAGTCAATCCTAGGACTTGGGAGGGTACACTGGGAAAGGAAGGTAAGGACTTCTTCAAAATGTCACTTCAGCAGGTGTCATGTAAGCCTAGAGCTGCTGGTGACCACTTTCCCGAGTTGGGGAGAGACTTCCTAAGAATAAAACCCGAGGAAAGCAGAGCCCAGTGACAAAGGGATGACATCATCTGAGCCCATGGATACAGCTGTGTTTGGGCTATTCATTTATGTAGGTTGAGAAATTCCTTTTTTTAGTTTAAGCCAGTTTAAGTTGGAGGTCTATCATTTGCAGCTGAAAGGGCTGTAACAAATACAGATGGAAGGAGGAAAAGGGGGTGGAGAATGAAATCCAAGTCTCTTACCTTCCTGCTGCTTTCTGCGAGCCACTGGATTCTCTGTTGATAGAGTTCAATAGCTCTGCCAAAACACCAGAAAGGCTCATCACCCAAGGTCAGCTTCATCAGCGAGCAACAGCCACTTACATGCGTGGGAAGAAAGTGTGGATGGGATTTTTGGGTAATGTCTTGCTCTTCTCAAACCTGTGTCTCCTCAGGTGAGACTTCCTAGTCACCGGGAGATGATCATAAACGCCCAACAGTGGCAGTTCAGCAGTGTGTTCTCCGTGGACTGATTAACGTAAAAAGACTTAGTTTCCAAAAGGGAGCTGGGGGATCTTCTTGAACTTGCCTCATTGTAAACCATTCCAATGGCTGGGTGGAGACAGCATGTAACAGGTTCTCCATTTAAGGACTCATCACTTGAATTTAACTGAATTGCCCTCATTGAGAGCAGGTGGGATTTGGGAGCCTCCTGAAGGGCAAGCAAGACCTTTGATGTGAAAACATGGGGGACTGGGTGGTAGGGACAGTTTTAAGCTACAAATAGAGCTTAGAGTATGAGCTTCATAATGAGACATGCTGGTCCTTGAGATCCAGCTTTGCCATTTACTAGCTGTGTGACCTTCAACAGGTGTGGTAACCTCTCTGAACCTAAGCTTCATCATCTCCAACATGAAGATAATTCCAGGGCTCTACCCAAGTCAACTTGCCAATAGTCAATTTGCTGAAAATCAAATTGATTCCCTGAAAGTCAATTTGAATTTACTGAAGAGGCTTGAACATTCCTTAACATGCCTGATTCAAAAATAAAATCAGCCAAGGGGAGCCTCGGTGACTCAGCCGGTGAAGCCTCCAACTTCAACTCAAGTCCGGATCTCAATGATCTCACAGTTTGAGGATTTGGACTCAGTGCTGCTGCTTGGAGCCTGTTTCGGATTCCCTGTCTCCCTCTCTCTGCCCCTCTCCCACTCGTGCTCTCTCCCTCACAAATAAAGAAATAAACATTTAAAAAGTCTGCCAAAATATTGCAGAATTCTTTAAGAACCTGTTTAAACCTTCATACCCAATATAAATTGTTACAAAAGTTAGTTAAAACGTTTTGATAAATCTGACAAATTGGTCAGTTATCAACTGAATTTTAGATAATTGGCTTGAGAGTGACACTGTATTTCCAGTTGTTGAGAGGTTTAAACTGATAAGAACAGATACTATACTCGATCTGCCAAAAGGCAAAAGAGAAGCGGAGAGGCTTAAATAAGATAATGCACATAGGCCTTGGCAGAATTCCTGACATGTTAATAAATGATGGGTATTAATTATTATTATAGCCTTTTAAGAAACTTTACACAAATAGTAATCATGGATCACAGATTGCTACAGCAGGGATGGAATATATACATATGCTATGAAAATCTGGTTTTGACATGCAATTTGCAAAAGTAGAAGCTCAATCAGTCTGTCGTTGAAAGTAGTCACTCTTAACTATTTCACATCAAATGAAGGTGTGAGGTTTTATGTGCTCAACCAAAGGGCCCATGGATTTTATTTTTAATTGTTTATTTTGAGAGAGGGAGAGAGAGAGAGCATGCACGCTGAATTTCTTTGATTACTAGAAAGAGTGAACATTAAGATATATATACTTTTAGGGGTGCCTGGGTGGCTCAGTTGGTTAAGTGTCTTGACTTTGGTTCAGGTCATGATCTCACAGGTCATGATCTCACAGCTCATGAGTTCGAGCCCCACATCAGGCTCTGTGCTGACAGCTGGAGCCTGCTTGGGATTCTGTGTCTCCCTCTCTCTCTCTCTGCCCCTCCCCTGCTTGTGTGCTCACTCTGTCTCTCTCAAAAATAAAGAAACATTAAAAAAAAGTAAAAAATAAAATAAAAAATATATGCTTATATATACTTTTAGTGTTCTGTATTCCATGTTCTGAATTGTTTATTCATTTTCTTTGTCCATTTTTCAATTTTTATGTTTGGTTTCATGTTGCTTTGTAAGGCCTCATTATATAGAATATTACCCTTTCTTTTTTTTTTTAATTTTTTTTAATGTTTATTTATTTCTAGGAGAGAGAGAGAGAGAGAGAGAGAGACAGCATGAGCAGGGGAGGGTCAGAGAGAGAGGGAGTCACAGACTGAAACAGGCTCCAGGCTCTGAGCTGGCAGTCAGCACAGAGCCCGACGCGGGGCTCGAACCCACGAACCGCGAGATCATGACCTAAGCAAAAGTCGGACGCTTAACCGACTAAGCCACCCAGGCGCCCCAGAATATTACCCTTTCATGTGTATTGTACAAAGGCTATTGTTTACCCTTAAAATACAATCATGGTCTTTTTATTAATAGAGGCTGACTTTGCAAATATAGAAAGGTCTTCTCTTTATTTCTAAGACCACACAGTCAACTCGCATATTTTCTTTTCTTTTCTTTTCTTTTTAACTTCAGAGATGTCAATTTTTATATTCATTTACCATGTTACTTTGGTGCATCAATTCATTTCTTCTTTTCTAAATGGTAAGCTGACTATCCAAAACAGTTTACTAAATAATCCATTCTTTCCATTGACATCTATCTATCTATCTATCTATCTATCTATCTATCTATCTGGAGAGAATGTAAGCATGGGAGGGACAGAAAGAGGGAGAGAGAATTCCAAGCAGGCTCCACACCCAGCACAGACCCTGATGTGGGCTCCATCTCATGAACTCTGAGATCATGACCTGCACTGGTGTCAAGAGTTGGATGCCCAACCAACTGAGCCACCCAGGTGCCCAAATGGTTCATGGGTTTTAAAGGGCTGAGAAAAATTGGTATGGTTCAATCCCTTCATTTGAGGAAAAAGGGAATCAGGGCTGGAAGTGGGAAAGAGCAGCCTGAGAACCCAGAGATTGTTGTCTGAACAAAGTTACTTTCAGGCTGCTGAAATGAGGAAATTCTGGAGCTCTGGGGTTTTTGAGAAGAGACTGAAAAACATACTTACCCAGAAAGCTTTGATTCAAATTGGTGGATGATCTGGGTGGAGAAGTGTACTTTCCTCATGACACTGCTGCCCTCCTCCCTGAAGAAGCAAAGTCTTATGAAGGGGTGTCTCCAGCCTGGGGGTGGGGTGTGTCATTGAAGGCTTGGGGGTGAAGGGAGTGAAGTCAGACTTACAGCACTGTGGTGCCCTGGTTTATCAGGTCAGCCAAGGTGAGCCTCTCAAACTGTAAACTGTGCGTGGAAAGCCAGTCTTCCGGGTCCTCCCAAGCTGAAGGTTGGGTCTTATCTCCCTGCAGCCTCTGTGAGACAGAGCCAGAATCAAAAGAAAACTGAGGAGAGAGAGGGCAAGGCTGAGGATGCCCTAGGTTCCCTCCACACAGATGTCCAAGAGTTGCCAACTGTGAATGTAGTCTGTTCAAGAACTCACCTTGCTGAGGAAACTGAGGAATGAGGAGGCCTGTGTCCTGAGCCGGTTGCTCTGGAAATCCCCATTCTTATCTGTCACCTCATCCCCAGAATGTGGCTAGACAATTCAAGTGTCACTCACCACATCCTGCCTCATGAGAGACTGAATATACAGACTAACAACGGCCAGACCATATACGACAATACAACTCCAACCCATGACCTCTGTAGCCGCCAGTGCACGAAGCCAAACCACAACTGTAGCCACTGGTTCAGAAGGGTCAGGACTAGTCTAAGATTGCTGGCTTTCCTATTTTTTATCCCACATCCAGCTCAGAAAAGGCCAAATACGCCCTCAAAACCCATCCTATGAGATGCCCGCCTCCAACTTCCTTATGTCAAACCCTTCTTTCAGGGCACACACTAAGCTTTCCCACTCCCCTGCCTTTGAGTCTCTGCCAAACACAAGAGACGGTGGCTGACTCCCTCGCTAGAGCAAGCTCTGAATAAATTGCCTGTTCTCACTCGGGTGGTCTTTGTTTATTTCTACACTTGGATTTTCTGTATTTTTCCAAGTGTATGAGTTTTGCCTTCCATCAGTCTGAAGGGTCCTCAACAAACATTTGTTGGCTGATGGAGGGGAATGGGCTTATCCTGTCTAGTCCAGAGGAAACAGGAGCAGCAGGTAAAAGTTTTACATATAGAATTTCCTCATTGTAGGACTCTGGCCATAAAAAGGACTATACCCCTTGTTTATACCTAATGACACAGTTACATAGTCCCAAGCTCAGGATTTGGGTGGTGGCCTTGGTGATGGAGCTGAAGTTGTCCATGGCAAGCATTCAACATTGGTGATGCTTTCTGGGAACCACACGGTGGAGAAAACTAATCAGAGGCTTTGAGCCCACCTGGCCTTGATCAGCCTCTCCTGGCGGCATTTCTTTCTCTCCCCGGTGGGTGTTCCAGAGCTCTTCTACACACTAGGCACGGTCACTTGTGGTAGGGCTACAGTGTGAACAAGATAGAAATGTTCTTGCCTTCCTGGAGCTTACGTTCCAGAGTGGGCAAGTGGACAGCAGAGAAAAAATGAAATCAATGTATAAAATTTCAGAAAGGAACAGTTATAGTAAGAAAATGGATGGGGTGCCTGGGTGGCTCAGTCAGTTGAGCGTCTGACTTTGGCTCAGGTCTTGCTCTCAGTTTCTGAGTTTGAGCCCCACGTTGGGCTCTGTGCTGACAGCTCAGAGCCTGGAGCCTGCTGCGGATTCTCTCTCTCTCTCTCTCTCTCTCTCTCTCTCTCTTTCTCTCAATGCCTCTCCCCAGCTTGTGCTCTGTCTCTCTCTGTCTCTCAAAAATAAATTTTTAAAAAAAGAAAGAAAAGAAAATAGAGCAGGGAATGTGATAGACAGTGAATAGGGTGGGGATGGAGAGGTCACTTCAGCTGGGGCAGGGATCAGAGGAGGCCTCTGTGAGTCAAGACCTGGAGGTCAAGAAGGAGCCAGCCCTGTGCATAGCTAGGGAACACATATTCTGGGGAGAGGCATGGAGCAGAAAAGGAGTCAGAGCATTTGAGGGGCAGAAAGGTGGCTGCTGCTTTTTGTAAGGTGACATGAGTAGGGGCTGGGTAGGCGTGCAAGGCCTGGTTCAGACAGGGCTTCCAGCGCGATCACTGCAGTTTGTGTGATATAGCTAGGATGTAAACACTGCCAGAGTTGGCCATGACTCACTCAGGGTGGGGAATGGCACCATACCGGAGGCCAGCTCAGTCCCACTATGACAGAGACTGCCCTGCAGCACCTGATGACTGGGGAGTAGGTCAGTAGGTCTGCACGCTGTTTATCCCATCGAGACTCCCTTCTACATTCAAAAAAATGGCTGCGCCCATCTCCCGGGCACCTGCTTGAACCCTAAGTAGGTGCTTCTTGGGCTTGTATTTGTCAGGGCTTTCATTGTAGTGGGTGAGGTGGAGCACAGGGGGTTGAAAATTCTGTGGGTAGCTGACTGACAGGGTTAGAGGACACAGGAAGAGGAAAGTCTAAAGAAGAGCAGGAGAGAAGAAAGTGCAGTATGCGGGGTTCTCCATCTACTTGCTTCGTGATGCTGGCCCAGTGGGTGAGGCTCTTTTTTCACCTGTAAAACAGGCATGTGAAGCTATGATAGCACTCAGCCAGGCATGTCACTGCGTTAACATCTCAACAACTGGGCGCCTGGGTGGGTCAGTCTGTTTGACGTTCGACTCTTGGTTTTGACTCAGGTCATGGATCTCACAATTGTGCTTTGGGCTCAGCATGGACCCTGCTTGGGATTCTCTCTCCCTCTCTCTGCCCCTCACCCACTTGTGCTCCTCCCCACTCTCTCTCTCAAAATACATACATAAAAACTTAAACAACAACAAAACCAAACCAGATCTGAACAATGATCCTTATTTCTCCCTTCAATGAAAATGAAATGCTATTATATTCCAGCTAGATAGCATTGGATGCCCTCAGTTGTATGCCTGAAGTCTGCTCACTGCCCTGTTTCTAAAGGAAATTAGCAAAAAAAAAAAAAAAAAAAGAAAAAGAAAAAGAAATTAACAAGTGTTAAAGAAGTGTGAACACTAAGAGCAAACACTTGAATAGCACTTATTATGTGTCAAGCAGTGTCCATATATTAACTCATTTATTTCTAAAAAGTTGTTACTATCATTACCCCATTTTACTGACAAGCAAACTGAGGCACATGGGGCATCTGGATGGCTCAGTTGGTTGACTGTCCAACTTCGACTTAATTCGTGGTCTCATGGTTCACAGGTTTAAGCCCTGCGTCAAGCTTGTTGCTGACAGCTCAGGGCCTGGATTCTGCGTCTCCCTCTCTGTCTCTGCCCCTCCCCTGCTCATGCTCCGTGTCTCTCTCTCAAAAATAAACATTAATTTTTTTTTAATTAAAAAGAAAGAAAAATGAAGTATAGAGAATTTAAATAGTTTTCCCAGTCACATAAGCTGGTAAGTGGTGCAGCTCAGATTCAAATCCAAGCTCAAGTTAGCTCCGAACTGTGACTATTCTAATGAAGGATTGAGGGAGAACTGATAAAAAGATAAATTTCTCATGTGATTTTATGCTAATTAATGTCCTGCCCTTGAACAGCACCAATTAAAATCATGGTCCCCATCTCACATTTAGGGAAACTCTGCTTTACATTGTATGAACACTAGGTGTCACTCTCTTCATCTTTCAGAACTCAACTCCCTTTCTTCCATTATACTTGAATTTGAAATAATTCATCATGTTTTGGGACATGGATTTTGTATGATTAATATTTGAAGATCCACCATTAACACATATATATTATAGATTCTGACTGTAGGGCAGACTGATCATATAATAAGGTATGTGCTTCACACTGAAGCTCTTTAATTTGGGGTGATCCTTTTCCTCTTTCCCACTGCTATTCATTTGTGAGGTATAGGAGGTCCCAGCTGTGGCTGATGTAGGAATGGCCCCTGTACACCTGGGAAGTCACATATTTGATATGAAATTAGATGAAGCAAAAACCCGTATTATCAACATCTGAAGTCATTGAAAGAATCCCCCAGAATCTCAAGACTGTATTAACGTCTCCTCATTTTCTTTTCATTAAAATCGCTTTCCTATTAGTGCTAATACTTGAGAAAAGTAAAATAGGACCATTTTCCTGATTGTTTAATTACCAGCCTTAAAGCTGTATTGTTTATTGACTGAATGTCGTTTCAAAGGTATCATCTTTAAACTCTTGTATAGATTAGGTAGATGATTATAGGCCAGGCTTGCACCTAACAGCTCCTGATCACACCGGTTTCTATGGTAGAGTAAATTTTGAGTTCTATACAGTCTAGCCACCATTGTGGGAAAATAGTTGACTGACATGAACTAAAACCTAAAAGTCAGCCTAAAACCACAGTTCTGGTTATTCTAGAAGTTAATTCTCCTGCCATATTGCTCCTGTTCTGATAGCATTTCTTGAAACTGAGTTTTGGATCTAGGTTTTAGAGAATATTAACAGAAAGGCAAATCTTAGAAAGAGGAATTTTAGAACTACATTCCTCCGTCTTCAGGCTTTCATATTATAGACAGTGTTCATTTACTCCTGAAGATTTAATGATATGGTCAAGAAGGCATTATAATTTTGCATAAAAGCATAGAGATTCCTGTCATTTCTAAAGGCAGAGGATGGTTTAGTTAGTTAAGTATGTGTTTCTTGCTTTCAGCTCATGTCATGATCTCAGGGTTGTGGGATTGAGCCCTGCATTGGGCTCCATGCTGGATGTGGAGCCTGCTTGGGATTCTCTCTCTCTCCTTTGACCCCTCTCTGCCCCCACTTACACTCTTTCTGTAAAACAAACAAAGGCAGAGGATTAGAGATGAATGCTTAACTTATCTTTTTAACCCCAAGATTCTATGTGAGGAAAGAAAGAACACATTCTGCATTTCCGGACTATGATTTGTAAGCACTATGACTCAGTTAAAGCACTATGGTTTTTACCAGTAAGTCCTGTGTCTGGTTAACATGTGTAACCAGTAGTCCATTGTCTGGATTTTGGCCAAGTCCACAGATATCCTTCTGGTCCAACTGCTTCTTTGGATTTCTGCCATTGGTTCTTCTCATGCTACAAAACACACAGTGAATGATTGGTCAATGTCCCAGCACTAGACATTTGATTCCACATTATAAGGGTCTCCAGAGACATTTTTATTTCTGTACAGTAACTGGGAAGGGATGCTGTAGAGGCCTGATAAAAGGTGGACCCCAGGTTCATAAGACATTTTATTCTATCGTTCTGGTAGCAAGGAAAACTGAAGCCATTGGGCATAAGATGATGCCATGATCATTTATCCAGTCTCACTTCAAGACAAGTATTCCCCCTTCAACTGCCTTGAACAAAACTTTGTTGCTATTGTTTTCATTTAAAAAATCAAAGATGCTTACCAGTGGTTTTCCAGAAACGTATGATCTTGACCATGGGAGACATGACTAGTATGTGTAGCCATTATAAAAACATCCAATGCTTATTTTCCTAGGGAGAAGAGGAATACCAGGAAAGAGAAAGATAAATGCAGCACAGAGACAACAGCCTTGGGGTATCTATAGTCAACTCAATTCTGTCATTCGTTCATTTAATAAGTTCTTATTGAATACCTCCTAGGTATCAGGCTTTGTGCTAGGTGCTGAGGATATGACGGTGAACAAGGTAACAGAGGCTTCTCAATTTTAGAACTTTTGACATTTTGGACAGGCTCATTCTCGATTGTGAGGCTGTTGGATGCTGCTAAGCCTCGACCCACTAGATGCCAATAGCATTGCTGTCTCCCAAGATGTGACAACCAAAATGTCTCTATGGAGCGCCTGGCTGGCTCAGTCAGAAGACTCTTGATCTCAGGGTCATTAGCTGAAGCTGCATGGGGTGTAGAGATTACTTAAATAAGGGATCTACCTTTGGATAGCTAAGGTGGTCAGTGTAGGTGTCTTGAACTTTGATCTTTGCGAAGGACAGAAAGGAGGTGGCCATGTTCAGAACATGATGAGGGCTGAACTGGGCAGAGAGGGCAATGAGTGACCATAAGGACTTTAAGAATAGGGAGAGGAGAGGAAAATACTGAGATGACATTGAGTTCTTTTCCTTTGAGAACTGCATCTGCACTCAAAGAGGTGACCCTGCAGCCTCCTTCTCCCCGCTGAGTCAGCAGTGGACAGGAACAAGATGGGTCCATCACATCTTCCCTGGGAATTCAGAGTTAAGAGCTAAGGGACCGCCATGTACATTTAGAAGCAGGAAAAGCCTGTCTTCAGATAAAGAGGAGTGAGTGGTCATTCCCTGCCTTGGTTTCCCTAGGGCCATTCTCTCCTGCCTTCTACCCTCTCTGCCAGATCCTTCCTTGTCTCCCTTCCAGGCTCGCTCTCCTTTACCTGAGCATTTTAAGTTGCTCTTGCTTGAGGCTAAATTATGCACTCTCTTCCCTTCTCTCTCTATCCGCTTTTCCTAGGCGGTCTTACCCTTCCTTGCCCATAGTTTCAACTACCACCTGCATACATCGACTCCTAAATTGTATGTCAAAAATCCAAACCTCCCACTCTGACTGCAAACCCATGTATTCATCAACACTGGATATTTCCCTCTGAAGTACCCCAAACCCAACGTGTTCAAGATGGAATTCATTTATTCCTTACTGACCTATTCTCTTTTCATTGTTCTCCAGTTGAGAGAATAGAGCCACTCTCCATCTATTCACATGGGTCAGAAACCTAGGAATTACTCCTGACACCTCATTCCCCACATCCAATCCATCACCTAATCTTGTTAACTTTCCCTCTCCACTTATCTGTCTCCAGTGACATTCTGTGTCCAGATCACTGTCATCTCTGTCACAGGCAACTGCAGTAGACCCTCACTGGCCTTTCTACATCCCCTCAGACTTCCCCCACCCCCATCTAGTCTGTCCTCACTGCAGTCAGAGTGATCTTTTAAAAACACAAAACCAATGTCATAACCCCTCTTCTCCCTAAGGCTTACCTTCATTTCTAGGATGAAGACTAACGTCCTTGTGATGGCATTTGAGGTCTTGCATAATATGGGTGCTGTCCACCTGTACCTTTCCAGCTTTCTTACTTCACCCCTGCTCCCCACACCTTGTGTTCCACAACGCCTCCCTTCAGTTCCTGGGATGGTATACAGTTCCTTTAACCACAGGGCCTTTTCATGTGCTGTCTTTGCTCTGCAGCATTCCACCCACCACACACCCCTCCCCCAACTCATTCTTAGTGTTTTAGCATCAGTGTCACTTCCTCTGGGAAGTCTTCACCCTCTCACTGTATTTTGGCTCCTTCGTGTTATGTAAACTTTCACAGAACTGTGCTTTCTTTTGGAATACTTATTTTTATTTTAGAATGATACATTAGTGTGATTTTTAAAAATTATGGTGTCTCTCTCCTATTAGACTGTAAGCTACATGAGAGCAGGGACTGGCTGGTAATAAATATTTGGGGGAGGGGAGGTGAAAGGAGAGGAGGAAGTCAAGAAACTGCCTTGGTTCGTGAACTTCTAAATGCTGATCCCAGGCACCTGTGAGAACTGCCTTCGCTTTCCGCTTTTGGGTTCCATGAAAAACCCTGTTCCTTATAATTTCCAATCTTTCTGCTGAAGCTAGCTCATTTAGGTTTCTGTTACTTGCAACCAAAAAAAAAAAAAAAATGGCCGAGACACAGCAAGTGAGAAACTCCAAATGGAGTTGCAGCTTGAAAAATAAGAGTGTGTGTTCTTATGAAATCATTAAATAAAATAGCCTAATGATGGTTCAGCAACTTGCTTTTCTCTCTGGGGTTTTTAACCTTTTATTGAGAGGATGCTTTGTCATCTGGGAAGAGCCAAGATAATGTGGTAATGTTGTTAATGCTAAAAAATGTTTAAAAACAACTGGCTTTCCTTCAGTTACACCTGGCTGAGAGACCAGTGGCAGAGACTGTTGAAATAGTAATGCTTTGCGAACACTGGACACCCACAGGGTTCCAGTTCCCTCTTTTCAGTGAGTGATTCACAATTTCATGAACTCAGAGGCCTGAGGATGGGAGTCTAGGGTGACCGACCAGTGTGGGCTGATGGAGGAGAGTGTGGTCAGCATAAAACCAAAGAAACAGTGTGGTGTTCTAGAAAGCACTGGAACTTGGGTTTATTCAGTCTGCCGAATGCAATAGGGTTACTGGTAACTGCTTGGCCTACTTCAACTCAACTGTCAGGTCAAAGGAAGTTGAGAATGTCAAAGAGCTCTGTACATACAGAGTACTATAGAAATGTAGAATAGCATTAGAATACACACTCCTACTTCAAACACTTCAGTATAAAGTGATCATTCATTCCAGGAAAGTTTTTTAGGGTATCTGCAGGGATGCCAGCAAGAGCTGGTACTGGGGAGGCAGAGATGAAGTGGACACAGGTCTTACCCTCAGGTCTTGACTCAAATGAAACCTAATTAGAGACAGCTCCTTTGATCAGCTCATCTCAAAGAGTACCCCCCTCCACCCTGCCTTGTTTCCTCCAGGGGCCGGTTTATCATCTGAAGTGCTCCATATTTACTTATCACTGTTTGCCCCCACCCATCAACTCACTAAAAGGAAAATACTCGAGGGCAGGGACTTAGTTAAGGTTCATTTTTAGAACCTTTTCGCTTAATCAGTGCCTAGAACATAATAACTGCTCAAAAAAGCATTTGAATAAATGCATTCAGGGCAGGTCCAGAGTTCAGATGAAGGTGGGTCACGTTACCCTGGGGGACTGGGCTCAGGTGGGAAGAGAATATGTAAGCTGGCCCTTAGGAGATGGCATCGAGAGCAAAAGGAGAAAGCTCTGGTTACTGGATAAAAGAAAAGCTCCCGTTGGTTCACTCACTCCTGGTTTGCTAATAGCTGGATTATCCTAAACATCCAGGAAGAAACCACACCCAGGGTTTGTATTTTGAATGGCCAAATAACCGAAGTCTTGTCCCCATCCAATGCATTTTACATTCTACTGCCAGAATGATTTTTCCGACATGCAGAGTCGTTCACCTGTTTAGAATCTGCCATGGTGCCTGTGGATAATCAAGCTGAACGTTTGAAAGGTTTACCTTCCTCCAGGACCTGTTCTTAACCTCTTCCTCATCTCTTACCCTTCTATGGCCTGGGCAGCCCCTACTTACGTACACCTGGCTGCTTCATAGCCTTCTTGGCTCCAGGTGGACCTACTAGAAACACCCTGTGCCCTTTTTGCTTGACAAGAAAACCCATCAAGTCTTTTCTGAACCCCATTTGTTGCCTGCCAGCCCCCAGGAAGGAAATCGTTTCCACCTACTTCCGCCCGCCCGGGGCTGCCTCATACCAAGTTGTCAGGGTCCTTCTCCCAAGCAGCCTGGCTCCTTCCTGGTCCACTGTTACATCTCCAGCACCTGGCACAGTACCTGGCTTGTAGGGAGCGGAGGCCCAAGGGCCCAGGCTCCCTAAACCTTTCTTACTCGGTTCCAAGCTTAGTGTCTGAGTGTGCCTCACCCTCTCTTAACCACCCTGCCAACCCTGTGACACTCACCCTCGCCTGCATTTCTCCATTTATTTTTCCATCTTTGGGAGAGAAAGAGAGGTCTCTGCTTTTCCTGGCTCCCACTTCCTCTAAGCTCCTCCAAGCAACTCCACAGTGTAGCTCGATCAGCCCAGGAAGTGTTAGCTGATCTCCAAGGTAACAGACTGCACCACTTTAGCCTGAGGGCAGGGACAGGGGGGGAAAAAAGCCCAAAAATCGCCCTCACCCCAGGGAGGACATTACCAGTTTGTTGTTGCTAACAACCTCTTCCCCAGGCACTCTGCTTTTCTCCACCTCTACAAAAGCCTGGAAGCAGAGTTTGGACTTTTCTATTTCTAGAACTTCTGGGTCAGCAGAAAACTATGGTTTAGACCAGTAGAGCCCAGGTTACATGCTGCCTTACTGCGGTTGGAACTGAAGACAGATAGCAGAGAGGCTGCAAGCCGCCTGGCCAGGCGTGAAAGGTGGTAACTGTCTCCTCCTCAGATTCCCTGGGGTCCCCCCAACACACACCCTGAGAGAGGCCTGTGTTCCCTCACCCCCACCAGCTCCATTCCCACCCAAACCTGGCTAATACAGCGGTGGGCTCAGTGACCACTTAGTGTCAGAAGATATCATCTACTGCAGTGGTTCCCAAACCCAGGTGCCCATGGGGTGTTTGCTAAGAAAACATACATTTGCATTTGGGAGACTGATACAGAACTGCCATAGAGTATGGGAACAGGAATCTCTAACAATGGTCCCAGGTGATTGTGATGTAACCAGCCCTTGGCCCATAGTTGGGGACTTCTTCAACTCCTTTTATGGACATCAAGAGATGAAGTGATGTACCCAGTGTGAACTAGCTTGTAAGAGGCTGGGAGATGTCTACTTAGTTCATCTAGGTAATTTCTCAAATCACTGTCTTCACTTTCTGAACCTTTAATTTTATAATTTAGAGTATGTGCTACTTGTGGTAATGATCATACAGCAGAGAACCTCTTCCGATGTTGACACTACCAGTGGCTCCTTTAGGCCAGATGGGAAACAACAAAACCCCTCAAAATAGATATTGTTTACCTACCCCCAGTTTCTGTGGGCAGAGTAGTCATGGGTTGAGACTAGTGTGGCATTTGGGAGGGCATTTCGTCTACACCCAACAAGGCAGGAGAGGAGGGACATCAGAGAGAGGTAAGAAAGTCAGAAAAGGCTGAGAGCAGCTAACCAATAGCTACTCTGTGAACAAGAGGTGAGGGTCCTTGTGCCCATCCTACTGGAAATCCTGGGTAGAAGGGGTTGGCTAGCTTTGAGATGCCAGTTTGGAAGACATGAAGGCCCAAGACACGTAGTTTGATGCCCTCACCATTCCCATTGCTCCAGGATACATAGATTTTCAACATTTTACAAGAAGTAAAACCCGATACTGAAAAGTCATTGTTACTGCTTTTTTCTACTTGAGATTACATGATACACATATTCTGGATGTATTTGCCCCAGATGGATAAAGCACAGTGAGATTTTCAGGCTGTATGACTGGAGGAAAGCTCTGTGTGGCTATGGTAGCATCTTTCTCAGCTCTCCTCAGACTGTATTTAGCTCATTTTGGCTCCATGTAAGGGATTAGAGCACAATAGGAATTTGTCTTTCTTAGGTTCTTGGAACCCATTCAGGGTCAACTCATTTCTGGCCTTTAGGAATTGTAGCCTGGTCCCATTACCCAAAATATATCGATTGTGGGATTTACTAATTCTCCCATTAGGAATTCTGTAATTCCTAATTCCAAAATAATTCCAAAAAATAATTCTATTTTTTGCTTCATGTATTTTGAAGCTCCATTATTATGAAATACACACTTAGGCCGTTATGTCTTCCTTCTTAAATCACCATTTGCTGTGGTCTGAATGTTTGTGTGTTCCCCCTAAAATTCCTATGTTAGACACTTCCCCCTAAAGTGATGGTGTTAGGATGTGAGACCTATGGGAGGGGTTAGGTCGTGAGGGCAGAGCTCTCATGAATGGGATTAATGTCCTCATGAAGGAGGGCAGACAGAGCTCCCTAGTCCCTGCTGCCCTGTGAAAACACAAAAAGTCTGTAACCCAGAAAAGAACCCTTACCCGACCACACTGGCACCCTGATCTTGGACTTTCAGCCTTTAAAATTATGAGAAATAAAAAAAAATTTAAGTGATGTTGCAGTGAACATTGTTTTACATCTTTGTGCACTGTGAGATTTTATTTCTGTAAGATAAAGACACAAAAGTAAAATATATGAATCCAGGGGTTTTATTTTAAAAGTACTCTAAAAAACAAAGTTTTTCCTTAAGTTCACAGCAAGCTCATAAGTACCTCATTGCTTTTCTCCAAATCTAGGGGAAAAAAATGAATTCCAAAGCTCTTTTAACTTCTTGATAAATACTGTAGTGTTGTGCCATTATTTAGTCTATAATTCTCCTTTTGTTGGAATGAGCATATAGTAATGACTTTGATGATTTTATCTTAAGCATTTAAAATCCCCTTTGGTTTCTGGGCATCTGGGTGGTTCAGTTGGTTAAGTATCCAACTCTTGATTTGGCTCAGGCCATGATCTCATGGTTCATGAGTTCAAGTTCCACATCGGCCTCTTTACTGACAGTGTGAAGCCTGCTTGGGATTCTCTCTCCTTTTCTTTCTGCCCCTTCTTCACTCTCTCTCTCTCTCTTTCTCAAAATAAACAAACCTAAAAAAAAGTCTCTTAAAAAATCTCCTTTGGTTTTTTTTTTTTAAATTGACATGACACATAACATTAGTTTCATGTGTACACCATAATAATTTGATATATGTATCTGTTGCAAAACTGATACCACAGTAAGTCTAGTTAACATCTAATTAGATATGTATCTTATAAGCCACCTAGTCTGTGGTATTTTGTGATAGCAGTTCAAACAGACTAAGACAGTATTATTGTGCAACATATTTTTTTAGATATTATGCTTTCTTTCTTTCCCCCATTTCAAGCAGGTGCTTTTTGTTGGGTTGACAAGAAGTAGCCTGAAGTCTACATTTTTTTTTCTGTCTTTCGTAAAATCCTAAACTAACTGAAAGATTAAAGTGATGTGCCAAATCACTGTAGGTGAGGGATGTGTTTAATGTCCAAAGAAAAGTATGAGTGTATCAGGATTCTGTCAGTTAAAAGAGACAAACCCAACTCATACTGGCTTAAGGAAAAGAGGGAATTTATTTGCTCAAACAACAGAAAAATCCAAGAATTTTCTGGCTTTGGCCATAGCTTGATCCAAAAGACAATATGATGTTAATAGAAATCTGTCTCCATTTCTCAGCTCCTTTCTTCTGTGATGGCTTTATTCCTAGGCAGGCTCTTCATGAGTGGTCAGCAAACTTGGACTCCAGTAGCATGAAGCTCCTCCCACCACAACTTAGCATCTCTTTCCCTGGAGCTCCTGGGCTCCAAAGGCCCAGGCTTGGCTTTTTGGTCACATGACTCATTCATTTCTGAAACAATTACTGTGGCTGATTGGCTGCACCTGGCTTCTGCTTCCAGTCTTGGAGCCAGAGGGTGCAATTAGTCCTTTGAAAAAAGGTGTGTTTGGTTTTTTTTTGTTCTGAATCAAAGAAGGGGACATGGGTCCTAGGCAAACATGCTTCTGAGGAAAGCCAAAGGAGAGAAAAGAGAGACAGAGGTCAAGACATCAGGTATCTGAAAATCAGATGCAGTTAGGGGCCTACTCGGTGTTTGGTAGCTTTGAGAGGCCAAGGCCTAAGAGGAAATGGAACCTTAGTCCAGGGAGAAGGTCTTCCCAGTTCACCAAACTTCACCATGGCCCGAGAGTGGGATGGACACGGAACTACTGCACCATTCAGCCTGGAATAGTTGATGTCTCAGTAGTAATAAGTGTAGACCGATGACAAATGACTAGAGGGGCTTTTTTTTAATTTTTAAAGTTTTTTAATTTTTAATATAATTTATGGTCAAATTGGCTAGCATACAGTGTATACTGCATGCTCTTGGTTTTGCGGGTATATTCCCATGGTTCATCACTTACATGCAACACCCAGTGCTCACACCAACAAGTTAGAGGGGGCTTCTTAATGTTTGAGCCATAGACCTGTGCACGACCCTAGGGTAAACCAATAATCAGATTTCCTATCAACAAGGTAGAAGGGATCTAGTTAATTGTTTTTTATTTTTTTAAGTATTACAGAGGGGACAAGATACAGCCTGTTTGGGAAAATTTTCCTGGGTGCGCAATTCCCAAAAGGGAAACAGTAAAATCAAGGGGTGACATCATCTAGTTCACCAATCAGTGAAGTTACCACATAGCAAAATTGCAGAAAGCCTGACAATGAGAGGGGAATGATGGAAGATTAAATACAACTTAATAATAACTTACATACTTTCCCCCTAACAAAATATATAACATTTATAGGTTGTTTCTAAGCAGGACTACCTTTTATGGTTGTATGCATTCCTCATCCAGAGGAAGCAAACCATAGATTCAGCTGTTCATGTCTGAGCCAAGAAATCATGCAACTGGGACAAGCTATTTTTATTTCCTTTACACTAGCCAGGACAGCAGAGGTAGTCCTCGATTTGAAGTCAGAAAACCTAGGTTTGAAACCCAGATTCAACAGTGACTAGTTACTGAAACTTGGGTAAACTGTTCATCCCTCTGATCCATGGTTTTCTGGTTTATAAAATACCACCTCCACTTCACCTTAGGAGGAGGATTAATTAAGAGGATATATGGAAAAACATAGCATAGGGGCACCTGGGTGGCTCAGTTGCTTAAGCATCTGACTTTGGCTCAGGTCATGATCTCACAGGTCATGGGTTAAAGCCCCGCATCGGGCTCTATACTGACAATGGGGAGCCTGTTTGGGAATCTCTCTCTTTTCCTCTCTCTACCCCTACCCCACTTGTGCTTTCTCTCAAAAATAAATAAAAAAGCTTACAAAAATAGCATGAATTTAATGTTAGTTTCTTTCTCCAAACTCTTATTGAATGCCATTATGTCTTAAACACAATATTTAAAGATATATGAACTGCCTTAATACGGTAGTTGATATGCTTCAGTTAGAATGTCAGTTATGATATTTAGGAAGTTTCTGTTACCTAAGACCTAACTTCATAGCAGCATTATTTGTAATAGCAAAAAACTTGGAAATAACAATGAACATCAACAAGAGAGGAAGAAAATACACACACACACACACACACGCACATACACATACACACACATATAATAAAGCCACTA